AATCATTTCATCCATCTCTTGTCATGCCATTGCTTACTCATCTTTCCTCCTATGGAGTGGCTCCATTCCCTTGGTCATTTCAATTGCCGTTTTCGGAAACTTCCCCAGCTCAAATATATCCTTTTTGAGGTGTAGCAACTGGAATTGTTCATAGTACTCCAAGCGCAGTTGGAGGCCTATAGAAGGCATTGTGACAGAAGTAGTTTTGTTATCAATCCACAACGTGGAATTAGCAGTTTTCACAACTGCCACATAACTGGGTCAACATTTTCACCAAGCTGTTCACTGCAACGCCCAAATCACAGTCCTGGTTAGTCACTGCTAAGTCACGTTGAGGCTGTATAAACATTACCATTGACTCCACAAACATTGCTCCAGTGAGCTCCCAATCACACAGTGTTAGCCACAAACCATCTGCATCCTGTAGCTTCTTGGGGAAAACAGTCCGGTTGGATGTGGTTTCCCACAAACCAGCTCCAATCCAATTTGAAAATGGAAGCCACATTCACTTTGCTCTTAAGTGGAGGTGTGTACATTTTGGACATCCATTGCACATGCGCAGCTAGTGGCTTCATTTAACAGGAGTTTGGGGGGTTGCAGGCAGAGGGAAACAAATCAGGTAATCAGACAATGGTGTACACAGCAAGTAAAAATGTGTCTTGCAACGCAGTGTGTGTGTGTGAATTACCTCCCCGTGTTTTAAGCAGTTAATGTGTATGTAGCCTGTACCGGGAATCTGTGTTCATGCTGCAGTTGGAAGTCTGATTCATACAACTTCTTATTTTATACATTATCCAGTGGGAAGGATACACAATGGTATTACTTTTTATCTGTTTCTTTATACAAGAAGAAAACAGAAAAAAAGAATTTTTTAAAAAATCATGTCGCATGAGTCAGAAAAGAAATGTTCTAACCCATGGGTAGGCAAACGAAGGCCCGGGGGCCAGATCCGGCCCAATCGCCTTCTCAATCCGGCCCGTGGACTGTCCGGGAATCAGTGTGTTTTTACATGAGTAGAATGTGTCCTTTTATTTAAAATGCATCTCTGGGTTATTTGTGGGGCCTGCCTGGTGTTTTTACATGAGTAGAATGTGTGCCTTTATTTAAAATGCATCTCTGGGTTATTTGTGGGGCATAGGAATTCATTCATTTTCTCTCTCCAAAATATAGCCTTAGTTTGCCTACCCATGCTTTAAGCACTGTGATCTGTGTACAAGGACAGATAAAAATATAAGAGCTGCTATATCTTTCTTTCTTTTTTTAAAAAAAATGCATTATATGAAACTGAGAAAATCAGGACATGAAAACATGTCTTTCTGCAGGGGACAGAAGAAGATATACAGTGGTACCTCGGGTTACATACGCTTCAGGTTACAGACTCCTCTAACCCAGAAATAGTGCTTCAGGTTAAGAACTTTGCTTCAGGATGAGAACAGAAATCGCACGGTGGCAGCACAGCGGCAGCAGGAGGTCCCATTAGCTAAAGTGGTGCTTCAGGTTAAGAACAGTTTCAGCTTAAGTACGGATCTCTGGAACGAATTAAGTACTTAACCCGAGGTACCACTGTAAAGGCAAAACTTCTAGTCTTCCTTCACACTTACTCCTGCTCAGTTCTGCTTCAAAGTAGGGAGCTTTCTACACCCAAGGCCTGCCCCCCCATCCAATCATCAGAAAAAGAATGATCAAGTTTCTCAAAGCATTTTAATCTTACATTTTCTTACTCAGGGCCGGGGTGGGGTGGTTCTCTCTAATACAATGATGAGACAGCAAAGTGAAGAAAAATGCATCAACAAGCCAGTTTCTACATAAAGACATGGTATGTTTCTCTTCCAAAGGAAGCCAAACCTAAGGAGCACTGCCCTAAAACATCTTACTGCGTGGGGAAGTGAGGAGCCCTGTCAAAAGAAGTAACTTGGTGCCCTAGGGCAGAGTCCGGCATGCTGAGGACCTTGGGTTTTCTTGTTTTCTGCTCAACAAGCACGAAATCGTGACACAGCCATTCTAACCAAGAGCATTCGGCCGAGAATCCAGCATGGATGACTGGACTTGGGCAGAACTGGCCATAGCACACCAGCAGACCTGGCTGGCTGCACATCTGCAGGTAAGTTCGTTCACACTCAGCACGTGGCTCTGGAATCTTTCCCTCAGCCCTCTCAGTATATAAATCAAGCAGCAGGGAAGTTTGGAAACATGACGAATATTTTGGCTGGAGTGCCTCCTGCTTTAAAGACCCGGAGCAGAAAAAGGAGGGTGGAGGACGGGGGCCTGATACAAAACTAACCAAGCTCCAAGTGGAAAAGGCGGCTGAAATTTAATGTTCTTGGAAGCTGGCCCTGGGCTGTTCAGACAGGGGAAGGCCAGGGACTCCCCAGTGGGGGCATTGCTCCCTCTCTCTGAAATAGAAAAAGAGAGAAGCATTGGAATCAGTTGACCGCATTGTCCAACCATTTTGTGGAGGATTCCAAGTAGGAATGAAAGCCACAAAACAAAACAAATCATAGTTGTGTGCCTGAAAAAGAAGGCGACAGAGTGGTGATTTCATGCTGGATTGCAGCCCTGAATGGAATACCATGCTGGGCCAAGCAAGGGGAGCAAGCTGGCTGTAGCTTCTTTGGAGATCTTCTTGCCGACAGCAGCGGAAGCCAGCTTGGTGTCCTATACATGTTGTTGAACAACGGCTTATATAACCTCTCAGCATCTGCTATGCTGGCTGGAGCAAGACACAGTCCAACAGCACCTAGAGGGCAACCTCTAGTGCATGCCTAACACAACCTTCTTTTTGAGAAAGATAAGAAGAAAGAGCGTGGATGGGGCCGAGAAGAGAGCAAGAGAGACAGAAAACCCATGCTATTGTCACAGGCCCTCTTGTTGTTGAGCAGCAAGAGACTCCAAGGTTCATAGCTTTGAATTTGGCACAGAGACCAAGTCCAGCCCCTGTATCTCTTTCCAGCTTCCAGATCCACACCAGATTTTTTAAAAAACTAGGTCCTTGGTCTATTGTCTTCCCACCCCTTGGAAGATGTGGTGTGGCATCTAGCCAGGCAAGCAGGGAGGAGGCTTATCCCCTCCTGAAAGTCCACCACCTGCCAGTTGTTTCCATAGTGACATGTTGAACCCTTTACAAAAGTAAAAAAAAAGGTACTTGCAGGTCCAGCTAGGGCCATTGACTTAACAAAGAACCTGGTTTGATAAGTTCAGCAGTTCCTTCTACTGCAGACTACAGTCTTTCAGATCCTAAAGCACAGGGTTTGGTTGAGACCCACATGCACCCCCCCCCCCGAAAAGAAAACCCTATAGCACAATATCTTGCACTATACATTCAATCCACCCCCACCCACCCCGCAATACAAGTTGGCTTCCAGTTGCAGGTTGGAGTTGACAAATAGAGGGAAGGCTTTCGTTGCAATTTCTCACACTGATGGCCATGAGGTAACACAAATCCCCTTTAGTACTACTATGTTTTGTACTGTGTGGAAATTGCAAGCTGGCCAGGTTGCAATAATTTCAGTGCAGCAGTGGTGGGCGGGATGCTATAGAGAGGCATGGAAATGATTTGTCCTTTCTGCTATGCAGTAGCAGCTTACTCTCAGACTGTGCCAACATCATTTTTATTTTAATATTGTGTAATCGTCCTTCCTGCCAGAGAGGTACCTATTTATCTACTTGTACTTTGATGTGCTTTTGAACTGCTAGGTCCCTGCTCCTGCCAATCTAGCAGTTCGAAAGTATGTCAAAGTGCAAGTAGATAAATAGGTACCACTCTGGCAGGAAGGTAAATGGTGTTTCTGTGCGCTGCTCTGGTTCACCAGAAGCAGCTTAGTCATGCTGGCCACATGACCCGGAAGCTGTATGCTGGCTCCCTCGGCCAATAAAGTGAGATGAGCACTGCAACCCCAGAGTCGTCCACGACTGGACCTAACGGTCAGGAGTCCCTTTACTATTTACTAATTGTTTGTTTGTTTGTTTTTTTGTGTGTGTGTCTTTGGTCAAAAAGCAATATTAAAAATAAATCTCAACCTAACCATGTTACTAAACTGCCTTTAGAGATGGACGGATTGCTTTGAAAGTGTTTTCACGGGGCTCTCTTGCCATGAAGCCTTCCTAACACCACCTTTTCCCTATTAGGGCTGAGGACCGAGGGATTAAAATTCACAAGCAACACCAGCATTTTATTCAAAACAAAGTTATTTCCATCTAAAAAGGAGCGACAGCTGAAGAGTTGTAGATGGAAAAGAAGAATCAGCTGGCAGTGCTGAATCCCTGCTAAGCCAGAGGAGAATTGGGAGGTGGGTGGTTTGCCCCCACTCCCAAGATATTCATACTTTTTAAAATAGACACACACTAAATTCAAGGCAAGACATTTCAGGATTTGGTTCCAGACGCCATGTGCGTGCAGTTAATTGAAACCAGTAGGGTCCAGAACTGAAATGACTAAGGCTGGAGACAGTCTATAATAGATTTGGTTGATGTTGGTATTGCAGAGCCATTGTTGCCTGTGATAGAGGCACACATTTCTTTTGTCCTGCAATAATCCCCTGGTCAAAAGGCAAAAAAGGGAACCACTAGCAGCAGGCTTGCACACCTTGTGGTGACTCAGGAGGCTCCTCTCAGGACTCTCATATGTCTACGGCCTTTGTGGTTTTTCTGCCACTCTTCATCTCCTTTTGAACTAAAGCATGTTATGAACCCTGGAGACATCAACAAGATCACTTGAGAGCCAGTGTGGTGTAGTGGTTAAGAGCGGTAGTCTCGTAATCTGGGGAACCGGGTTTGCGTCTCCGCTCCTCCACATGCAGCTGCTGGGTGACCTTGGGCCAGTCACACTTCTCTGAAGTCTCTCAGCCCCACTCACCTCACAGAGTGTTTGTTGTGGGGAGGAAGGGAAAGGAGATTGTTAGCCGCTTTGAGACTCCTTAAAGGGAGTGAAAGGCGGGATATCAAATCCAAACTCTCTTCTTCTTCTTCTTCTTCTTCTTCTTCTTCTTCTTCTTCTTCTTCTTCACTATGATATCAAAAAATTAGATGTGGGTGCCTTAGGATGATTGAGAGAAGAGGAAAACTGTGTTTTATGATATCTCAACTTCAACTGCAAAGGCGCAAGAGTCATTTTGTAGTTTGTTTTTGAAAGCTGGTGAATATGAATAGGGGGCATTTTCTAAACTATTTGAGATGAAACCTGGATTTGGTTCCGAATGCACACTTTGCAGGGAGCTGCAGCCAATCTCCACTCTCTGATGGGTGTATTTGTACAGTAAGCACATTCCCAAACTTTACTCAACTTTACTTTTTCCAGTTGTACACTGCTCAACTTTACGTTTTCCAGTTGTACACTGTAAAAAAAGTCATGTATGAAAAAGCTTATCTCACACAATTAAGCCTGCTTACAGATCGTTCAGGGTCTTGCCTTGCTTCAAAAACCTGGTTGGCGGAAGGGGACAAAGAAATGTGCATATACATGAAGGGAAGCTAAGCCTCTCTCAAACCATCTACTCTCTTCAAAACTATTGTCTGTTTCCACTCCAGCAAGCTGACGGGAATCTACTGGCATGCAGGGATGTAAGGAGTGGCTTCTCCAGGTTCTGAATTAGTAGCCAGGAAACTATTTTATTGTGACAGTTCTTGTACACTTCAGGGTAGATGGACAAAGAACAGCACAAGAACTTGATTTAAGTACGGCATTGTTTAGGAAATGTTTACTGGATACCATAGTCGCAAGCTTGTTTTGTTCCCATGTAATGGGTACCAGACATCCATAACTAACCCAGTAATGACTATATTTATTCACAAATAGTGTTGTTGATCCCCCAACCCGAGGCGTAAAGCTTCAGCTATAAACATTAATCTCTCCTATTGTGCAGAGAGCTTTGAGCTGGCATCAAAAAAGGTACATCAACATGACTTAATTCATCAATTGGCCAACAGCTAAGCATTCATTTAGGGCTCAACTGCTTTGTTATTGCATTATTAGCCTGTGGTGTACAGAATGCCTGCTTCAAGCATTTGCTATTCATTAATCTAACCAGGCACCCCCTTCTGGTGTTATGCAATGGGTGAAGAAACTGCACCCACCCAGCTCTTTTCCTACCCAAGAGCTAAAATATCTGGTTATGTTATGTAACCGTCTACATTATTTCCTCCTGTGCTCCAACATGCAAGATTTTCCTCTTATTCATTTGACAGACCTCATGGTTCCTTTCCCTCAAAGCTGACTGACTTTGTATGAATTCTTCCAAACAGCAAGGGGTGGGTAGGAAAACAAAACAAAACAAAAATATTTAACAGCGATAGGGAAAAAAGCATTAAAACTCCAGATGTTTTCCGAAGGAATCAGTGTAGTAATGAAACTGGAAGCTATTTGACTTATGGAGGACTATTGAAGAATTCACAAATGTATGCTCTCCTTCCTCAGCACCTACATCCAAGCTTTTTTTTGCTGGGGCCCACAGCAGAGAAACCTCTTTCAGCTTTCCCATGCGCCCCTTCTTCCAATGCCTATTGCTGCATAGTACAGAGAGAAAAAAGAATTTAAAAGGACACGTTTCTGCAAAGAACTGCAGTATTGACACAGCATGAGGCGGGGGGATGAGTAAGTGGCAAAGGGAGATTAGAATGTGCATATATAATTATATTCCTGAAGTTCAGAGTGGATTCTTACATAACCAAAAATGGCACCAACAGCATCCTAAAAAGCAGACATCACCTTGCCAACAAAGGTCCGTATAGTTAAAGCTATGGTTTTCCCAGTGGTGATGTATGGAAGTGAGAGCTGGACCATAAAGAAGGCTGAACGCCGAAGAACTGATGCTTTTGAATTATGGTGCTGGAGGAGACTCTTGAGAGTCCCATGGACTGCAAGAAGATCAAACCTCTCCATTCTTACGGAAATCAGCCCTGAGTGCTCACTGGAAGGACAGATCCTGAAGCTGAGACTCCAATAATTTGGCCACCTCATGAGAAGAGAAGACTCCCTGGAAAAGATCCTGATGTTGGGAAAGATGGAGGGCACAAGGAGAAGGGGACGACAGAGGACGAGATGGTTGGCCAGTGTTCTCAAAGCTACAAACACGAGTCTGACCAAACTGCGGGAGGCAGTGGGAGACAGAAGTGCCTGGCGTGTTCTGGTCCATGGGATCATGAAGAGTCGGACACGACTAAACGACTAAACAACAAAAGCACACAAGGTATCAGTAGGAGTGGCGGTGGCACTGGGGAAATACAAAAATATTTAGGGAAAACCTTGAAAGGGAGAAGGAACCTGCCAAAGCAGCTCTTTGAGGACTGATAAAGTTCCATGGCAATGTGATGCAGGCTGGCTGTTGGCGGGAGACGGGATTGAAAACCAGGTGAGAGGTGGTGGGATGGAGCGGCATATCAAAAGAAGGCTGACTGTAACACCAAACAAGAGTATTCCACACCACAACATTTTGCTGCAGGTTCCAGGCAGGCAACTCACCCTGTAGTCCATAGGCCAACCACACACCAATTTTCTATGTTCCTAATGATTGAATCAGCCACCACCAGGATCCCTCTTCCTCCCAGCCTTCCAGAGAAGCACCGTTGGCATGAAAGGACAGCTGCCCATGCTCCAAGGAAGGGGTCCCTTCTAAGGGATTGTTTCTCTCTTCCTCAGAGTGAAACCTTCCTTCCTTGAGATCCTTTCTAGGCCAGCCACTGTGGCCTCAAGGGAACAAACTTGTTTCCAGAGAGCAAGGAGTTCGGCGCACCGAGGACACCCTCACAGCTTTTGTCCAACAGGCAGGCAGTTGTTCATATGGCAGACAGTGCAAAACACTGGGGAAACCGTATACGCCTTGTTGGCTTTCCAAATGCATAAGTTATTAGAAGCTGAGGTTTTGTTTAGATCAAGGAGAGGAGGGGCAGAGTAGCGCGCCCTGGCCTCACCCTGCTGTCAAATTCACTCCACGGTTTAACTCGCCTTGGGTTCACTTCAGTTCGTGGACTCCCATCGCTCTGCTATTCTAAATTTATTATGCCTGGCTAGTTCCCCCTGGCTACTATTGCAGTCAACGAAGTCAGTGTAGTATAGTACAATAATGGTTGGACTTGGTTGTGGGAAACCTGGGCTCAAATCTCCACATCATAGAATGGTTTTGACAAAGTCGTTTTAACTAAACATGAAATGTCCTCACAAGATTATTAGGAGAATAATCACCTACCTTCAGATACAGGGCCCTGAGCTCCTTTAGCAGAAGGCTGGGATAACCAAGCGATAAATCTATCTATTGCACAAAGGAGAACAGCATGCCAAATTTAAATAACCAAGGCTGTTATGTGCAGAGAAGTTAAGACAGGTGAAAAAGACCTCCCCTGAGATTCTCGAAAAACACACGTTTCAGGAAAGAGTTACAGTCTCCCATGGCAACACCACCTGAACTGCGGTGACCCAGGTGTGCCCCAGACACTGTCTGCAAGCACAGAAACCGTGTGTATGCTTTGGAAGCAGGTCTTGTCAGAAAACCCGACAACCAACTTCTGCTGCGGTGAACTGAACTGAATGGTTTTATGAGGGAAAGAAATCCCTGGAAAAAAATGGACAGAACCCCCCAGACAAATTAATTCCACATTACTGTTTAGCAGTATTAAATACTTTACAGGATTGTAAAAAGTTCCATAATTTGGAAATAATGAAAACTCTGCTCTCTCTCATTGAAAGAACACCCAAAACTCAAGAAAAACCAACAGTGAGTGTAGAAGTATATGGTACTATCAGGGAAATAAGGTAGAAAGGAGCTTTAGACCCACCGCGCCAGATGTTAATGCACCTAATTTCTTAACAAGAGCTAAATGAATGTACTCTAAAATGGTGTAATGCAGAGAAACAGCACAGAAGGATTGACATGGAGTATCATGTGACTCCATGTTCTCAAGAATATGTTCATCTTACCTTAAATGCAGCTTCTCCTTGAATAAATATCAAAAAAACTTTTTTTTAAAAAAGTTGCAACCTTTTTGCCTTCAGTAGGTTCATATGATTGTATATTTATTGGTGAAGATAAACAGTATAAAAATGGTTTGTTTTTCAGTAAGAAGGGGCAAAGACTGAGGATGACTTTTTATGTCACATACAGTGGTACCTCGGGTTACATATGCTTCAGGTTACATATGCTTCAGGTTACAGACTCTGCTAACCCAGAAATAGTGCTTCAGGTTAAGAACTTTACTTCAGGATGAGAACAGAAATCGTGCTCTAGTGGTGCGGCAGCAGCAGGAGGCCCCATTAGCTAAAGTGGTGCTTCAGGTTAAGAACAGTTTCAGGTTAAGTACGGACCTCCGGAACGAACTAAGTACTTAACCCGAGGTACCACTGTAATTAGGTGGTGCTTTTAATGCAACATCTCACCTGACCCGCGGTACCACTGTCTATATCTATTTTCAGTTTAATCCTATGTATGTGTCCATGTATTCAAATAAATACGGTAAATCCCATACCATGTATGGGAATGGAAATCCCAATCACATCTGGCATTGAACTAGATTAATAGCACAATGTGTTAGTTATTTAGCTTGATTCTCATCAGCTGCCGAGTGGAGGGTTCAGTCCTGCTGGGGAAGCAGACCAGCCAGGAGGACTGAACCTTTCACTCAGTAGCTGGTGAGAGGAAGGTTTAATACTGCTGGTGCTACTTTTGCCAGCGCATCCCCTATGGGAAACATGCTGTGAAAGCAAACCTACCCCTGGGGATCAGCTTTGACAGGTGGATGAGCTCACAAACCTATCAATAACTGGACATGATGTCAGGGACTGACTGGATAAGGAAGAGTGGCAAGCGCTGTCTACCCTAGAGTCCCCCAGGAATGACACCGAAGACAACTTAGAAGGAGGAGGAGTTTGGATTTGATGTCCCGCTTTATCACTGAGTCTCAAAGCGGCTCACAATCTCCTTTTCCCTTCCTCCCCCACAACAAACACTCTGTGAGGTGAGTGAGGCTGAGAGACTTCAGAGAAGTGTGACTAGCCCAAGGTCACCCAGCAGCTGCATGTTGAGGAGCGGGGAAGCAAACCCGGTTCACCAGATTACGAGTCCACCGCTCTTAACCACTACACCACACTGGCTCTCAGATCATGGTGACCTCAGATCATGGTGGTGGGAGCAGTCTGGGAGATGGAATAAGCTGGGAGGTGCTGGAATCAGGGTTTGAGTGATCAAGTGGGGGTCAGAAGGAGGCCCTTCCAGGACAGGGCTAGAGGCTGAGAGTTGCAGTGTGAACACAGACTCAGAGAGGAGCCAGAGATTGCCATTGCTACCCAGCAACATGACAGTCTCAGACCTGCTGACTCTCCTCCCTCTCTGACACCCCCCACTCTAGGAGAGTCCTGCAAATTGCTGAGCAACAGGCCAGACAAGCCCAGAGGAGAATCAGTGGTCAGTTTCCGCAACATCTCGAGCTGAACGAGTCGAGCCTGAGTAACTCTGCTGTGTTGTTACTTTTTGTGAATAAAAGCTAATTGCATTTCACGCCTCAAGTTGTTCCTGCCCTGTGGATGACCCATTTGCCTGATGGCTCCTTGACACATGACGTCAGATGACTGACAGGTGAGTGGGCCTGCCCAAATGTCAAAAGTTTGCCCATGGGTGTGGTGGGGAGATAAAGATCTGGCCCACAGGGCCAAAAAGATTCTCCATTCCTTTCCTTAGCTAAAATCATCAGGAGGACTTCTCCAAAGCAGCTTCACTGGCAAATTGCACCCTATTGCTAGTATTAGAACTTCCTAAAACTTATTGTTATCATCGTCGTTGTCGTCATGAAGATGAGTTCTGAGTCCAAATGGTCTGTGTTTTATGCTCATTTTAAAAGGTTCAATTTGTGTGCATGTATATCATGTATATGTTATTTTCTTGCTGTGTTTGTCTTGGTAACACTACCTGTATTTCATTGTTTATTGTCAGCAGACCAAATACCGTATTTTTTGCTCTATAAGACTCACTTTTTCCCTCCTAAAAAGGAAGGGGAAATGTGTGTGCGTCTTATGGAGCGAATGCAGGCTGCGCAGCTATCCCAGAAGCCAGAACAGCAAGAGGGATTGCTGCTTTCACTGCGCAGCGATCCCTCTTGCTGTCCTGGCTTCTGAGATTCAGAATATTTTTTTTCTTGTTTTCCTCCTCCAAAAACTAGGTGCGTCTTGTGGTCTGGTGCGTCTTATAGAGCAAAAAATACGGTAAATTGAACAACATGACCAAGAGGTGTTGATGAGGCAACTGTGGGATCTCAAAAACATTCCCAGTACTGCTTTGCAGTGATTTTCCTTGTTTTTAACAGGGAAGACACAAATGTGATCAACGTCTTTATCCTCTGGAAATCATACAATTGATTTCAATGTCCTTAACACACTTATCTGGCTATGGGATTTTGTGCCATCAGTAAGATGATGGGTGCAGAGATTTTTCCTTGTCATATATCTCAGGTATATGACTTGAGAGATTAAAATGCCAGTCGCTGCTTATAGTCAATCACAGCGATATCTCCAAGAGCTCATTTCAACAAATTCACATTGTGAAAAGTTTGTGACAAGTCTGTTGATTTGTCACTTAGAACTCAATATTCATATTTTCACTGATTTGACTCACTGACCATATTACAACCAGGGTACAATATTCTGGTGCTGTTTGGGAACAATTTAGAGGGTTGGCTTCGATTAATGAAAGCCCAACATTGCTTGGGGAGGAAATACCTGAAAGATTGCTGCTTCTCCTTGGGAAGAGGATTGCCCTGTGGAAAAGTACTCTTAGCTGCTCCCAACTTTGTTGCCCTGGAAACTCAAAACACTTGGGGTATCTTGCATAAGTGCTCCAAGATAATGCTTTTTAAAGTTTGCTTCAAGATTATGAAGGAAGCTAGAAGAGACTTGAGAGTTTAGTACTTATAATATTTTAGAAAATTAATTAGATGCTACATCATGCTTTTCTGCTATGCTGTTTAACACCCCAACCAATTTGCTCATTTTAGTTATTGGCAATAGCATATTCCCATTTTGCCTCAGCTCTTCTGAAAGCCAGCTTGTTACTGCCAAATTTCAGTTGATCCAAGGTGTCACTCCATTTAGAGAAAGCTGGCTCCAAACTCAAGATTTGCTGCAATAGACATGTGAGTATGTAAAACGACAATGCACATGGTTGAAATTTTAAGTTATTTATTTCAGTAGGAAAATTCTATTTTTAAGTCCATACTTGTAGCCATGTTGAAATAGCTAATGCAAACACGCAGTTCAAAATGCACGCACGCACGCACGCGCACACACACACACGTATTAAAAATCGGGAGGAAAAAGGACAAGGAACAGCGAAACTGCACATCACTCATTGAGATCATAGTGCATTCAACCTCAATCAAAATGGTGCTTCAGGTCAACAGGGAAGAAGATTCATTAAAAATGGCTTGTGTTTTGCATAATGTGGACTTTGCATCTCTTTCTTTCTCCCCCTCCTATAAATTAACTTGCAGTAGGTTATGAGTAGCATAAGCAATAAATTAATTTGTAATTCAGGATTCCAGGAATAGTAGTAGTTATTGAATTTGGACATTGTTGAACAAACCAGAAGGAAAACATCTTTCTCCTTATTTCTCCATTGCACAAAAGAAATATTTTCAGCTTCTTGGTTGTTCAACAAGGCCAAGATTCAAGAACTATCCCAATATGGACAGTAGCTTCCTTCATCTATACACAACCTTTCACAATGAGTCTCTTATGATACTGCAATATCTATTTCTAGATGTGAACATTTACTTTTCACAACTTGCAGCTGTCAACCGCTTGCACTATCATATCTGAGGTTTAGACTTAAAAATATATTCGGTTATGATTCACATGGGTGTTGGGCTGTGGGGGGAATATAACAGTTTCCTCAATATCTGAAGAAATAACAATTGTTTCATGAACATAGCCTTCCGTTTTATTTATTGAGTTAGTTTTACTCAAGTTTAATTTTGTTTCTCAAAACCCCAGTACATCAAAGCTTAAAGACAAATGTGTTACGTTACTTACCAAGTTTTGCATAGGATTTTTTCCTGATGACTTCCATACATTGATATACTTTTTAAAAAGGGAACATGCTTTCTGTACGAGTGAGTTCAAATAACACAATAAACCAAATTGGGGGGGGGGCATGTTCCGATTTCTTTATGAGTGCCGTTAGGTGACTGAAAAAACCCAATGAAAATATTGAAATGCTCTAGAGATTATTTATATTTAGGTAGCGGGAGATCAGATGTGACCTGGTCTACCTTAAAACCTTAGGTTGCTAGTATGACAGAGACATTTCAAACACACAGCATCATGGAGTGCTCAGTTCGTAATTAGGTTGAACTAGCTTAAAAGCCCATATTGTGTGATATCCAGAGCTGCTCTTTTAAATGACTCAAGGGCTCACTCACTCCAATGGTGCTGATGAGGGTTGGGCCTGGCTGCCCTGAAGTGCCCGGCTTACCATAGAACCTTACCACCTAGCAAAGGTCTGAATTGTCATCCAAATCAGCTCTATACTATTGTTCAAAAAACTTGAGAATGGAATGAATCAAAACCACCGGGTCCACTATATACTAATACTGAACTTCAAAGCAAAAGGAAGGCAAGAACAACTGAGTTATTATACTGACTATTCAAGCTTCAAGGAGGCTTCCATGGGGCTCCTTCAAAAAACAAAACAAAACACAATTTGCATGAATGGGGTAATGCATGGGAATAGTGATGGTTCGCTAGCCCAGTTGGTCTTCAAACAGGTAATTAAGGCACTGGCAAACATCTTATGCAGATATGTTGTGCCCAATGATGGGCAGGGAATGGCATTCTGCTTTGAAGGGACATTTTGTATCTGCTTATCGTTTTAATCGCAGCTTTTAACCTTAGACACAAGCCATTTTTAATGGAAGGAAGGGAGCAACTTGCAAACAGCAAACTATTAAAAAGGGGGATTTTTCAGGGAAATGAAAACTGGCTATTTAGTACCAGTTTTAGTGTTTTTCATAGCGGCCAGCATACCAAGTGAGAAAAGTAGATCAGGATTAATAACACTTAGGAATGAAAGAGAAATATGTACAAAACAATGAGAAAAAAAGATGCAACTGGAAAGATCACCTCATGACTGAGCTTCATTTGAAACTGATTTGTGTATCCCTGACTAATACACAGGGTTATAGGAATGTGTTTCAAACTTAGCAAGTAAACTACGAGTTTTGCTTCACAATATTCTTTACACCAGTCTTTATAACTGGTGGTGGTGTGTCTCCAATAGCAACATTCGCAACAGGCATTTACAGTTCAGGTGTGACCCGCAAACTATTTATGCAAGCAATTTCAGGGTCATTTTTCTTACAATCTCCATGTAGGGAAAAATGTGTGAATCAAGATGCAGGCACAGTGCTTGCATCAATTTCCCCTGAAGCCACAGATTTTCCCATGTACATTGATGTAATTTCCATGAAGGAAAAAGTCACGTGTGAAGTTGTCCTCACCTGTGGTTTCATTACAAAGATTTGTTTTTGCTGAAATATGCCAGGAAAGGAGTCTGATGACATTAAACAACTTACACACTGCTGCCCAATTGCAAATGAGCAGGACAAGAACAAAATTATCCGGGATGGTAGAATGAGTGAAAAACTAAGTGAAACACCATGTGGAACAACTGATCCCTAAAGTTTATTGCATGGAAAGTGAAGAAATCTGATATATTTGAACTTAAGCTTGATAAATTCAGTTAAGGAGTGCTATAGAGATTCTCTAATCAAGGTGTTGATAACAGCAGTGTGAAAAACAGGCACAGTAGGAGGAAGGTATTCTGTATTTGTTGTATGTTTTCAACCTTAATAAGGGTGTTTTTTTAGATTTTAACAGGAGAATTTTACTCTTTTGAATTAAACATTCCTTGTAGGAAACTTCAAAACATCTTATTAAACATCTTACCAAATTGTAAACTAAATTACTGTAGTACAATTAATTTCATTTTTACAAAGTGCTCACAGAAATCGGCACATAACTCAGAGTGTGAACTATAGTGTGAATCGTTTTGTTAAAATCAAAACATCACTTATTCAAGATACTAAGACTACTTGACTGGTTTTAGGTGGAATAATAAAAACATAGAAATATATATATATATTTAGCAACCAGTATCTGAGGTCATAGGAAAAACCTGAAGTGTTTTCAATTTATCACTGTCAAATAAATTTGACAAAGAATTCCTGCTACTGTTAAAATTCACACAGGTAGCATAACATTTTTAAAGGTTACTTGTGATAACAAGCGATTAAAATGCCTCATTCAGACACAGATTGGTTTAATATTTTTTGGATGGGAGCCTTGTTTTAAAAGCCATTTGTTTCAAAGTAAATAAATTTAATGGAATTCATAGCACTGTGGTGTGAAATTTTACATCACAGGATTTAACACAATGCCTTTTGAATCATACTGTAGTAATTAAATAGTTCTTTCTACTGATAGTATATTTAAAAGACTATTCATTTACAAAAGAAACTATAAAAGAAATATTATAAATCAAGCCTCCTTTTTTTACCTCAAATTTTTGGTAAACGGGGGGAGGGGTGTAGTAACATGTGGCTATATGTAAAAAGATGTAAAAAGCTTATTTTTGACAATTTGACCACCTCATAAAACTGGAATGGCTCAGTAGTTGTGCGTAATATTAAGACAATCTAAGTCCATGTAATGTATCAATCATGTTAGTTGAAACCTATGAAATTGTCACAACTCTCTCTGCTAATTCTCATAAACCAGAGAAAGCAGTTTCATGTTCAATCAAAGCTTTCTGATAAATATATTATATTTGAAGCTGGATAAAAGCATTGGCAAAAGGTAGTCAGGACTGTTTGCCAGCTTTTAATACTGTCTTTCCTATCTTTTGAAACTTGCTGTATGGATATAAGAAAAGGCGGTCAACCCGGTTTGGTTTTGAGTCAATTTGTGGGATCATTGTGTATGTGCCGCAGTCACAAAAACAATAAATCTCAATTTAACGTAGATTTTGATGTAATGAATTGGTCTCATGAGCACTACAAAAGGTTTTCTAGATTGTAGCTAACCATATCCTTAAAAGACTTCAAAACTAATTCAAAACTAATGTACTGTGCTATAATTTGGACAGAATATTGAAAAATCTCACAAAGACCTGTTTAGTGTGCCACAAACCTAATGAAGTACCACGGGGGGAAATGTGATGTGAATTGGCCCTCTGTTTTTTGCAAACCTGCATCATATAAAGGGGTTCCCAGTTGCATCTCTCTACTCATAAAAACATGAAGAACAAATATGGTTAGCCTGCAATGTATCTACACAATTGTTTTCACTCTTTCTCTTAAAAAAATAAAAATTCCACAGGATTACCTTCCATAATACTAAGTACATACATTTATAGTGTTGTGTTGAAGTTGTTTTTCATTTCTTTTTTTTTTAAAAAGCTTATTCTGAAAAGAAACATGTAGTAATTTTAAAAAGGAAAGTTGTGCAAATTCTGTACAGTAATACTGCTGGCTATGAAGATGTCTCTCTCTCTCTTTTTTAACGAAACACCCAACATGGGTTATTGTGGGAGACATGTAAACTAAGTGACACAGAACAAGCAAGTGACATAACACCACTACAAGGTCAGAACTGAATATTCATTCTTCAGGGGGCAAATATTCAAAACCTGTTAATATTATTATGGGAAGAAAAAAGGAGCAGATTCAAACGTCAATCACTTAGAAAGATGAACTTATATCTGCAGCTTCAGAGCAACTTTCATGTCGTTATTATTCTTTTCCTTTGCAGACGGCTGCCAGTTTCTGCCCTATTCTAACTAATTAGGGGGAAGCTCTTTGGAAAATTTGGGCTCTGGAAGTATGAGCCAGCAAAATTCTACTCTGAAGCAGATAAAAATAAAAAGATTGTTACTCATCTGTGAATAAACTTAAGCATAGAGCTAACGCATGATAATTTGCAGAATGAATACAATCTTTTCTCTTATTAACTAGACTGCAGTGCTGTGGTATATTCCTACTTGCCTTGTTTTCATTTGATTACCATCATCGGAAGGTTCTGAAGAAGCCTCAAAGCATTTCAGAAAAGAACCACATGCAAAAAAGAAGAGAAAAGAGAGACGCATCTTTGAAATGCAATAATTTTCCACAAATGTGGTCAAAAAGTGTAGTTGCACATTTAATTTTCATGTAGGAAATAATCCACTCTTTAAATTTTTATTCTATCAAGGCCTTCTCTCATGTCAAGTTCTTACTTGTCTTGGTTATGCTGAGAGTTGCATTTTGTGAGCTTTTGCTACGGAGATCTGATTTCTATATCTGATAGAGAAGAGTTCAGTGTAACTCAGAATTCCAAACTACAAATACAGGCATTGTGCGTCTCAATCTGCAAGAAGAGATGTGAAGTAAGACTGTCACTTGTAAAATGTTATCAATGCAACAAAAGATGGGGCTTTAAACGGTAAACAGGCCTGTTGAAAAGCTTTACAAAGCATTGTTGGGGAAATAAAAGAGTGTCACCCATTTGAAAATACACTGAGGAATAAAGGCTCAGTTCTGACCTGATGATATTTCCCAGAGCTTGCTTTACCAAATCCTGCAGACTATTTCTACCAGGAAATTTACAACCAAGAACTCTGAAAAAGGAGGGTGTGGTGTTTTAATGTTCAGCTGTTGTGCCACTTGTCGGAAAGAAAATCCCCATATACAGTACTAGGTTCCACAAAGACAGTGCTTTGAGAAAAGAGAATAAACTTGCATATATTACATTTATCACATTCTAAGCATAAACAAATAAAACAGTGATGCCAATTATCTGAGCCCCCAAAGAACTGATATGGAGGGATACAAGTATAGTAACTGCACATTCTTCAAGAACACACAAGCTATGTCCTTGCAAACCTGCCCATTAACACAACCCTTAAGCAGTACGAGGTCTCCTTTTACAAAGAAACAAAGGTGGACTTTTAAATTCAAAGCTAACAAAGTTAACACAAATGCGAATGAGCTACATCTGATTTAACCTAAGCACGCCAGAGGTTTCTTTCTTTCTTACACACACACACACACACACACACACACAGAGTATTTGGTGTTTCATGTTGGGTTTCCTGTCATTCTTTAAGGCAGTGGTTTCCACAGGTCGGTTCAGAAAATATTAAGCAGCAACATGGTCCATGGCAGTTCCTCTTGCACTTCCATCCCCTGAATTCTTAGTATGTTTTTTGTTCAGTACTTCAGTGATTTGAAACTCTGTTTACCATCTTTGTTCTGGCACAGAAGTATAACTGGGGCATGTTTCCGCCAGAACCTCCATCCTCAAACTAGGAGATAGGCAGACAGCATTCAAATGTGTCATCTTCGTTCATGTTCTGAAGAAGTTTGTCACTCAAAAGTCATCAAGTTGGCAGGAACCTAAAAACATATGCAATGGTTTTGTAAGATTTCTAGGTTATAGCTCAGCTCTGGTGCAAAAAGGAAAAAAATGGCTTCCTGCGAGGAATGGAGAAATCTGTCAATCTTGGTTTTGCTCAGTTTCTCATCTTTTAAAATCTTAATTCAGTTTGTCACATTTTCACATCAGTTTGTGGTGTTTAGTTTTAAAAGCTCTCATGAAAATTCACCAGCATTTTTAGTGTGCATTTCTCCTATTTTTTGCTAATATAATTTTTGCAAATTATTTTCACTAATAGATGCCTTTCAATCTATATTTTCCCCAATATATATATTTTAAAAAATAAACCTTAAAGTATCTTATATTTTGGGTATCATCTCCAAAGGCCTGTGAGCTGGAGACTGCCCACTACTGTACAAGTTGGCTTGCATGTGAGGAAAAATATAAACAAATGTCTATTTTGTTTTCTTGCTTGCTAGTAGGATTTGTGGCCTGAATTAGGCAGAATATAAGGGGCTAGTCTTTCCCCCTGCTCAGTCTGGAGTCAATCCATGACTATTTCTGAAGAGCACCTGTGTCTCTTGATAAGATAGTAACAATAAATGTTATTGGACTGGGTGTTGTTGTTTTGCAGTTAAATGGTGATCTTATTCAGAAGCCAATTTATTAGCCTTGCTGAGACTGTCACTCAGCCATTCATCGCACCACGAAAAATGAAAGGATGCTCCTCATCATATTCCGAACTATAATTTACTATGAGAGCATAAATTCAATGATAGACAGTCCTGGACAAAGGAAGAAATAACAGATGTTCTCTGGGCAATCAAAAAGTTATTTTCTTTACCACTGGAGAGCTACACATTTCCATAAGGTCAAAAAAGAAGTGACTGTAAGAATCCATTACAGTGGTGCCTCGCAAGACGAAATTAATTCGTTCCGTGAGTTTTGTCGTCTTGCGATTTTTTTCGTCTTGCGAAGCACGGTGTCGGGAAAGTTTTGGAAAAGCTTCAAAAATACCAAAGTCTTTAAAAACCTCAAAAAAGGCTACCACACCGCGTTCTATGAGTTGCTCCTCGAAGTCAAGTCGCAACTGTATTAACAGTGTTAAGAAAAAGGAAACAAACTTGCAAGACGTTTCCGTCTTGCGAAGCAAGCCCATAGGGAAAATCGTCTTGCGAAGCAGCTCAAAAAACAAAAAACCCTTTCATCTAGCAAGTTTTTTGTCTTGCGAGGCATTCGTCTTGCGAGGTACCACTGTTTTAGATTGCTCTTCCTAGTGAGATCCAAAGTTGAGGCACAACCAGTTGCAACCTTCCTAATTTCTTTGAATTCGAATAATTTTTCCCTCTGTAGAGTTTGAAGGCTGGTCTGAAGTTATAACAAGCCTCTCTGAAGGGGCGCACCCAGAGCCAATCAGCTGACTGGTACCGAATGCACGACTTCAAGGAGATTGCAGTAAATCAGTTGATTGGCAGTTATAGCAACCTCCTTTAAACTTTGACAGATGTCAATCGTTTAGCATCACTATGATAGCAGATGACTCATGTGGGTGGCCCCACCTACCAGTCAAAGCTGGCCTGAGGGGGATGGGGGTTTAGGAATCTGACTGGATCTAGTTCCCCACTCACAATGTAATCTAATGCCTAATATTTGTGTAGGTCTGATTATTTTTTGAAAGATTGTTTCTAAATTGAGCAGAGCCACTTCTTAGGTATTTTATACAGACACTGGGAAAAGATATGCATTTAGCATGGCATAGTAACTTTCAAATTTCACAAAAGTGGCAGAAGGGTAAAGGTTATCCGCTCTGGATGTCTTGGCCTTGGTTTACAACTCATTCCTTTGAGTGCTGGATATGTATGTAGTAAGGAGTGACGTTTGCTAGCAAAAAATATTGATATTGTGCTCATGGAAAAGAACTATACTACTACATTTTTCAGCTGTACTAAGTCTAGAGATATGTTTGTCTGCAAGTGGAATAGACTTGTGCAAATGCAATGGGACCCCTTCCTCATTTCCTCCTCCCTGCAGCCTCAAAATCTGAAACAAGTGGGTTGGGGGTCCCAGGGTAAAGTATGAAAGCACATGAGGCCAGTACCTTGCTGAAACTGAACAGGTCTGGGAATGGTTAGGGCTTGGATGGGGGACTGCCTTGGAGTCAAAAGTTTGCTGCTTTGGTTACATGGTGGCAGAAAAGCACAATATAAATGTAAGAAAACTAAAATTAAAGAACCATGTAAGTGGAGCACATTTTGAGGGAATAAAAACAACATAAACATATATAAAGCAAAGCATGATTTCTAGAATTGCATGCTACAGAACGGAATCAGGATTCAAAGGCACAATAGTTATACAATAGTGAACTTTTAGAGATAAATCGTGGAGGGCATTATGAGTGGGTAGTAAGGCAGAGTTTCACATGGCATAAAATCTGAAAAAAGTTGAATATAGTAATCTGACAATTATGAATGATATATATTTATATACCTATCCATTCCTATGAATTACTTCTTAATTTTCCTTGGAAAATGGTGATTCATGAAAATCTTTAACTTTGTTTTCATAATCTTGCTCAAGGCCCTCAAAGCAGACTTTATTTTTTATTTTATTTTTCAAAAAACTCCTCTAATGCAATCAATGGGAGCCATTTATTTCTTGGACTGTATGAGGAAATGTGACACATTGCCCTAATGCTGCATTTTTGATTGCTTGTATATTTAAATGTGTCCCAGGGGAAATAAATGCAGACCAGGAACTCATTTTTACATGCACTTAACATGCACTCATTGTTTTAAGCTGCTAATTAGAGATATATGAAGCTACCTATCTTCAGCAACGCCAGGAGCTATTAGAAGAGACCTCTATGAGAACTGAACAATGGTTATTCAGAGCAAGACTGAAGACTGACTTTTGTACAGAATTGTTTAATATTGAGCACTCATTGCTAGTTGCCAAAGCAGGCCATAATTCCCTCACCTTTTGTCTGTTGCTTTGGCAGGCAGCACTCAGATGCTTAAACCACAGCATTGCATTCATTCTGTTACCAGCTTGAAACTTGTATGAGTTCCCTAAATTACAAAAAGAGGGAGAACTTTCTATCACGAATAACAGACTTCAAGTTAAGCTCTTAAAAATGAACAAAAGAATGCAAGAAATGGGAAATAGAAAAATGCATGTTAATGTATAGTCGTAATCTGAAAGATACCACATATTTTAAAAGAATCCCACCCAACATGGCCCTGAGAGGTGTATGGTGCTTGAAAGGCCAGACAGACATTTTTATTTACCGTATTTTTCGCTCTATAAGACGCACCAGACCACAAGACGCACCTAGTTTTTGGAGGAGGAAAACAAGAAAAAAAATATTCTGAATCTCAGAAGCCAGAACAGCAAGAGGGATCGCTGCGCAGTGAAAGCAGCAATCCCTCTTGCTGTTCTGGCTTCTGGGATAGCTGCGCAGCCTGCATTCGCTCCATAAGAGGCACACACATTTCCCCTTACTTTTTAGGAGGGAAAAAGTGAGCCTTATAGAGCAAAAAGTATGGTAAATTGATATGAACACAAAAATGAAAATATCTAGCTGCCAAGTAAGGTGTGCTGTAATCACATGTCTAATATTTCACTTCATGCAATAGAACCCTTGAAAATGTGAGATCTCTACTCAAAAGAGGAGGGAGAAGCTATCCACTGAGCTGTCAAGATCCTCCTGAGGCTCAAATTCCTGGCATACAAATCAGGAGCTCTTGAGCTGATTAGGTAATTCCCATCCAGTCTACCTTTTCACATTCTGGATTCTGACAATATGGGGTTGAGAGCTTGATGGGCAAAGCAGTAACTGTTACATCTGCCCTGACTTGTCCTACACGGTGTAGAACTCAAACTCACAACCCCAGTTCTGTCCAAGGCTTTAATGAGTAAATCACATTGGTATATAAGGCAAGTTAAAGGTTGCAGGATTCAGCATTGAAACCACTAGTATGGAAGGCTCATGAACTCTAGCTTTCAGATCACTTGCAGTCAGAATTTCCCCTACTACTTCTCAAAAGCAAGGGGAACAGATTTTTTCTTCTTCAAATAAGGTAATTCCTTGAGACATTCCTTGAGGAGATAAGAGAGCCATGAATCAATTTAGTAATTAGAATTTACAATTCTTTTCAGCTACAATGCTATCCTGGAAGAAATACTTCATATAAAGTTTAACTTCAAAAATAGCAATGCCAACAGGCCCTGGAAAGCAGACTGGAAAAGTCACACAAATATTTGGGAACAGTTCTGAGCTAATTTATTTAATGTGGTTGTTTCTGCTTCTATAGTATTTTTCCTGAATGGTTTAACTATCTGCAAGCCACCCTAAAATCCAATCTTGGACTGTAACGTTAGATATTACATTTTAAAATATGGAAAAATTCCCTCAAAACATTTCAAAGTGTCCAAAAAGACAATAAAATATTTCTATAGTACACATTTTCTTTTGCTGACCAGTGTTTGTATGCATTTTATTCTCCTGAGGTTCATTTGCTTCCATAATTAGTGGCAAAAAGGCAATAATCCCATTGTCCCAAGATCACCCAGTGTCCACAATCATACGGGAATCTACCAAGGATATTCAGTCACTGACCTTTCTCAGAATCTGTGAGCAGGAAGAGATCTGGATGTTCTGGGTCATCAGCCATCATGACCATCCATCCCACAACAGATACAGTCTTACTTGGTGTAGATTTGAACTGAAGGAAAGCAGGAAGCAACGAACAAAACCACGTTAATGGAAAGAGGAAAAAACAAACAAACCACAAGATATGCATTAAATGCTGCAACACAGAACAAACAGCACTGGCTTTTTACACCATTAATGCAAAATAGATGTTAAAAGCTGAACAGAGATGTTACATGTTACATTTAAAAAGTTTGCCTCTCCAGTCCAAACATAATGTAGAATTCTGATTTTGCATGAGTGAAAAACAGATGACATAAAGGATGTATACAGCTACTACCAGAATTGGCAATAGGAATTGGCTTTTCAATTTGTCTGAAATCAATTGAAGACATCTTTCTTACAATGCTCTGCTTCAAATAAAAGTTATTGGCCATTTGAAATCAGAGACGAACAGGACTCAATTTGAGGAAATCAGTTTGTGTACACATTTTGGGATGAGTGTGACTTTAGTACCCATGCTTTAGAGACCTGAAAAATTTAAATGCCAAGGAAATGTACCATTGCAGAATCATCAGACTGGAGATTATCACAATGGCTGCTTTACATTGTTTAATAGCTACAGTATACATTGTGCATGGTATGCAAGCTTTGTATACTAAGACAGATCCAGCTGAACTCAGAAGGCTGCTTCCAGAGCATTTCAAGTAGGAAGATTTACAGAGTTTGGAATTATTTTTCAAGACTGCTGTTCAGCTGAGTTGGCAGCAGAAAATCAAGATGGAGAGGCTAAGAGAGGGAACTAAGGGAGAAAAGTAGGCAGAGCAGCAAGTATCCAGACAGCAGCAATGGTTAACCAGAAAGCAGCAGTGAAAACGTTTGTAGTTGCAGTGTTCCCAATGAAAGGAGAGAAGAAAAAATGTTAATCCTGCTGTCGGGGGAAAAAAGGCAAAATACTGTCCTGGAAAAAGCAAGGTAGCTAAACTATCATCTCTAGCGGTGAATAAAGAGCATGAAAAGGTAATTAAGAGAATGCATGTTGCATATTAAAATATCTATAATATCTGTTTGATTCTATCTATCCCTCTGGATGAAGATCATAAATATCACTGGGAGATGTAGTACAATGCATTGCATACATGTTTTCTTTCTGTCGCCTTCAAGGACTTTGCGGCATAGTAGAAAAGCTGAGTTCCTGACAGCGCTGCCCAGTATTTTGTCCAAGACGCTACCTGCAAAAGCAAAGTGTCATTAGATTAATACCTTTAAGAGACTAAGGCAGTTTCATTTTCATTTTATTTCTTCAGATTTTTTCGCCCCAGCCCATTTCAAAGGGGTCTTGAGCAGGGCAATACTTTCAAAACAAAGACCTTCCAAGAAATAAAACAAAATACAACAATATCTTATAGACTGAAATGACGTTCTACTTTTCAGCCTAGATCACTAAAGAAATGGGTCCGGCAACTTTTTCAAAAACAAATGCTTCGTATAAATCAATCACTTCCGAACTTTGCTGCAGTGAGCCTCCTCAAAGGCAAATCAGCATAGCAAGACAGACCCCTTGGTAAGTAATCCACATTTTGTGGTAATCCACATTTCTTCTCAGTCTAGGAACGAGAAAACTATGAGAAAATAGGGAGAGCAATGTGATGTGGGGCAAACACACAAAGAAGAGAACTTCCTTTCTAAAAGCTGGGTTTCCACACTAATGCCCGGCAGAAGCACCACGATTTATGGAGGGAAACACAACCCACCAAGCTCTTTTTCAGCAAGTCCCCCTCATGCTTCCTTTTTGTCCTTACTGTCTCGTTACAATCCATACAATGTTCTAATCAAGTAAAACTGGCCTGGAGGCAAAATGTACTTATGCATGTCCTTAAAAAAAATGTTACTTAATTTGAGAAGCACAGATGCAACCAAATACTGACCGCCCAAATTAAACAAGCTAGCACCACCATGTTAGTAAAAAAAGGAAGGGGGGAAAAAAGGTAAAGGTATGCAAGAATCATTAAGCAAAAAAGAAACCTATTCATTATCTAAATTTAGAGCAAGTATAAATATAAATGTTTTGGTGATTTCGAAGGTTGTCACAGTAGCCTCCATGGTAACATGTTTGAAATTCTAAGAATTTTGCCTTTGCATCCCTATTTAAAATGACCAAAACAGCTATATTTATTATTGCCCGCTTTGGTTTTCAGTAATGAGAGCTGATTCAATAAATGTGGAGATGTTTTTCTCAATAGTAGCGGCTTCTCCTAAGACCTGCAACAACCGGACCTGATGGAATGGGGGGTCCCTAGGATGGTGGTAACTACTACTACAACAGGGGTGGGCATCCCTCAGCCTAATATCAAAAGCTCTCCCCTCTGCAAGTGAACAGCTCAGGAGTCTTGCAAGAGGGATCCTCCCTGTTAAGGCAGGGAGAAAGAGCAAGAGAATAAGAGAGGAAAAAAGAAAGAAGAGATAACATAACCTCACCCAGTTTTGACTTTGGCCATGTCTACATGTGACCCCTGACAGATTACCTCTAAATGAATGCAGCCCAAAGCAAGAAAATGGGGTAAAGAAAGAGACCATGTTCTGTGCTCAGTAACTCCTTGCCTAGACAAAGGATGTGTGCAAATGCGTTCATAACTGCTCGTTATGGGTTGTCTACCCCAGCGCTACTTCAAGAATGCAGCAGTGGCAAGGGAAAGGCAGAATCTACAGGAGGGTTCCAGGAATCATTTGACTTGGCTGTGAGTTGCGATGCCACAATTTTATTTGATTTATTTCTATCCTGTCTTTCAACCAACTGACTGCTAAAAGGACCTGAGAAACATTTTAAACAATTCATTCAATGTCTTACTGTCGGTTTTTTGCCTTCTTTCAATACAGTCTTCCTTCTGAGAACGCCTTGAATAGTAACAGCTCCTGGGTACAAATGAACAGCTAAATCCTCAGACTCTGCAGAACTATAAAGAAGAATGAGTAAAAGACGGGAATACACAAAATATCCCAATAGCAGTTCTCCAAGCATGATTTAACTTGAAATTAACACCTGCGTTAATGTTGCCATGTCATTTATTGGATTTCACTGTGGAAAAAGTCATTGGCTATGACTTTTGGCTGCTTCAATGGATGTTTCTTCCAGAAGCACAAGTAACATGCCCTCCAGTTCAGCAAATTAATCTTAAATAAAAATAACTTTCAACATTACGGATAGAAATAATACAACTACAATAAATCCTAAACAGCAAAATGTTCAGATTCAATTTCATTAAAAACACCCAAACCCCACTCATCTCAAACGTGTGATTTTTAATTATTCAGACCTGGTAGAAAGGCGATTTGTTAAGATTCTGAGTTGCAGAAACTGAAAAAAGCAAGAGCTAAATACATGCACAATACCACATCAATGTGTTTGAAAACAGTGACAGAAGAAGCATGGAAGCAGAAAGCTTGACCCAGAGCAGTTAATTTAATCTGTTTCTACATGGCTTGTAGTGAACAGCTGACCAGCTTTCAAGAGGACAAATGTGACTGATGCAACTGTGTGTGTCTCAGTGCATGCCAAGCAGCTTATGTGGGCACAGCCTTCAGCTCTCTAGAGACAGTCTGAGAATTTCTGAAGCATCTTGGAAAAATTCTTCCATTCACTCTTCATCTGTTTGTCAAGTGTAAACTTGACAGATCTAACAACCTGAACCTGTCAAGAGTCCACCAGTTTTGGCAAGGCATCCAATGCGTATCTTAACTCCAGACGATGCTTGATTTTTATGGTTGTTTGAGCTAGGTTTCTTGGATGGCCACAGCGTTATAGAGAATGAAGTTTAATTAGGAATGTAAAACAGCTGGACGTGTATGGAAGCTTCCAAGCAGTTTTGCATAAAATGCCATTCAGAATGGGTTGAAGCCAATAACTGATGTTCATGCAATTTATTAAAATATATGACCCAGACGGGGGAGGGCACCAATGCAAAAATTTTAAGAAAGTATTTTGAATATTAAGGCGCTCAGGTACCAACATCATTCTTGCCACCCCAATTACTTTCAACATAATACTTTAAAAACACATCAAGGCTTTTCCAGGTAATAGTGCAATACTTTAAGAAATGAAATTTGCAGATCAGAACAAGCCAGCCACAGTCTATAAGGATATGATTAAGACACAAAAGAGGGAAGACCTATTTTTAAAGGGAAAGTTCATTGACATGATTTGCCCAAGGAAGCCAGAAAGATCAGGAGTGTCAGATTGCACCCACTTCAATATCAACCAAGTCACCAACACCAGAGGAAAAAGTCTGACCCCTGAACACAAGGGGCTGGTACCTGCTGCCCTTCATGTGGCCTCGATAGCCATTTCGTGCCATTCTTGTCACCGGACCAAGAGAATGGTATAATCTGTTCCTGTTGAATTCCATTATAAATTGTATGTATTACACATTTTTAAATTCACAGTCATTATCATTTGTCAGAACACTGCAAACAGGCTCCCTTTCTGCCACATTGCTACTACATCTCGCTCTGTGACCAACAGCATAGAGAAAAAATAACTTTCTTATTTGGACATGTGCTCTTAATATGAGCACCCACTGTATTTTGGCATTTTTCCTGGCATCCCCATGAACGGTTTGAGAATCAGAAAAGCTGCTTTAAAACTTATCTTTTTAAAAAGGCAGAACAGAACTCTACATTGCTAAACACTTAAAACGTATTATGACAAGCCATTACTACAATTTTGCAGAAAAATACCCGGAGAATAATACCTCAAGTTTTGCCTAGTTCTTGCAAGGAAAGTATGCAAACACACACACACACACACACACACACACACACACACACTCAGACACAGAGCTTTTAAGCATGGACTTGTGCCTGCAAAGAGCAGGCAAAAGGCAAGTGTGGATAAGCCCTCCGGATAAATTAGTGTTATTTTTATGTGTAATTATTAGTTTATTTCCTAAATGTTTATACTTATTTACATAATAAGTATAATTTACATAAAAGAGCACATTGCTTGTATCACAAGATGCAGTATTTTAAATGAATATCAAACGCAAGGCTGAGCTTACATCATTTCAAGTAATGGCACTTTTACTTTTAAACAACTTCAGAGCTTAAAAAGAAAAGCACAATTCCCAAGAGCAATACAGCTGAGTAAAATGATAAAAATACAACCAGATCCATAAATTTCATTTGGATACAACTTCAATACTTACTATCTTAAATATTCACTAATTATTTTACAACCTTTGGTTAAGAAACAGTATTTATCAACAACTGAAATGGTTGATGATTTAACACCAGCCAAGAGGGGCAGGTTCAACCACATCCATTTCTGTAATGTATAAATGGCTTAATATCCAAGTTCCCAAGTGGTGTACAATTGGGATACGGCACAAAATCATTTAAAAATCAGAAAAACTCACTTAAAATGCTTGCTTAAATGAATAAATAAAAAGTCTTCACGAAGTGTGAAGGGTTCAACAGGGAGGGGGCCTGAGTAATCTGGGTAGGAGAGAGTTCCACAGAATTGGACCGACAGTTCTGAATGCCTGGTTCCTGATTGATATGAGCTATGCATCTATCTGAGCCATTGGGGAACTACTAATAGGGACTCCCCCAAATACTGCAATGACTGGGCAAGTGTATTAGGAGTCAAGTGGACTCAAGTTGCTAAGGGTCTTGTAAATTAATACAAGAGTCTAGAGATGGTAGCATAAGGCAGCCTATTTTATTAATAATATTTATAGATCACTAGATCATAAAAACATCAAAGCAGTTTGCAATAAAAACTATGTATAGTAAAAACACATAAAAATAAAATAAAATAAAATTGGAGACCATCTACTAACAATTATGGAAAGATGTATTCTTAATTGCCTATGTAAGGATGCTAGAATAGAAAGGTTTTCAGCAGTCATTTAAAGGTTGAAACAGAAGGCACCTGCTCAATCTCTACCAGTGGAGTATTCCACTGGATTGGGCTGATGACACTGAAAGCTCTATTTTTGTAAACCACTTTGAGGTTTGTTTGCTTTTTTACAATCAAGTGGTGTATACATTTTATGAAATAAAATAAATAAATATTCCAAATTACGCCAGCAGTTTTTGTAATAGCACTTTGCAAAGAAATATGAGCAGAACTGAATATACAAATTTAGGAGAAATTTTATTTAATAAGAAGAGATGAGAGTATTCTGAGAGAAATTTTGTAACCCACAGAGAGAGGCTGCAGAGAGGATGCTAAATCCTCAGAAGTTAAAATGAAGTGATTACATTTGGAAAACTGGTGAGTAAAGTTCCTAACACTGAAACAATTTATTTACTGTTTTGGCTATATATATATATATATATATATATACTGTTTCACACATTTCAGAAGCCAGAGTGAATTGTTTACCCCCCTGACAAAAATAAATCTACCTTCAAGGACTCTTCCAATCTTGGAACACTGAAAATAAATGGGTCTATTCTGAGTAATATTTAATACCTTAGCTAGCACAACTGCAACACCTCTTCATTTAGACATTCCCACAGCAGCATAATATGATCCAAATATGCAGCAAGCATATTCAAAAGGACACGCTTTTAACTCAGAATGATGGTCTGATCTACTTTGCTTATAATGGGATTTTTCTGTAATAGTTTCTTTATCAAAACATCTGGGTTATTTGTCCCAGATGTCCATTGTAGTGGAAAAGGAAGAAACATAAAAATTACTAATTAGCAAAATAAAATTGAGTAAAATTAAATAAAAATGCACATATGCTTTCACAACCACACCATGATATGGCCTGCCTGCTGGTTACTCTCAAAGCATTCAAAACATTATTTATTTATTTTAATTAAAGCTGGGGGGATGGGGATGGGGGGACGACGACAATAATAGTTTTGACACAGATACACTGTACTTCCAATGTCCTCCACAAAGCAAAGAACCACACATAGTCTCACTCTTTAAGCAAAGAGCTACTATTGTGTGATTCTTTAGTTCTTGCTAGATCTGTATACCAATACCAATACTCCAATACTTTGGCCACCTCATGAGAAGAGAAGACTCCCTGGAAAAGACCCTGATGTTGGGAAAGATGGAGGGCACAAGGAGAAGGGGACGACAGAAGATGAGATGGTTGGACAGTGTTCTTGAAGCTACCAGCATGAGTTTGACCAAACTGCAGGAGGCAGTGGAAGACAGGAGTGCCTGGCGTTCTCTGGTCCATGGGGTCACGAAGAGTCGGACACGACTAAATGACTAAACAACAACAAAGATCTGTAGTATTTTACAGGCTCTGCCCTTGGGCTTGTGCCTCTGGCAAGGTACCTGCTTTATATATACCTGGGTGTGGCAGAGCACAAGGCAAACCTCACACTTTTGCACATTTTAAAATTATGTTGAGTGCAAGGGAATGTCACTAAAACAAAGCAATGTGCCTTAGTCACACTACAATTTCACAAATAATAACTGTTATGTGCTGTGTTTTAAATATTTTTAATTATTCAATTCTAAATATTTTTTAAATATTTCAAATATTTTGTACTGCTTTTCAACAAAAAAATTTCCAAGTGTTTCATGTGTTTCACTAGTTTCATGTGCACTTTCCCATGGGTCTCATAGGTCTCATAAAGCAGATGTTTTCAATGGCTCCTAGCTCTCAGATGTTGATAACCAATGATATAAGAAGTCCATTCCTCAAACCTCTTTTTGTTTTGCCAGGCTCTTAGTGGCTTCAGGGGAAAAGCCATCCTGGCCTAAGTGTGTTACACTAAACATCAATCACAGGTTAGTGTCAAAAAAGAGGAAATGACCTCTTTTCACCTTGGTAAAGGTAAAGGGACCCCTGACCGTTAGGTCCAGTCGTGGACAACTCCGGTGTTGCGGCGCTCATCTCGCTTTACTGGCCGAGGGAGCCGGCGTTTGTCCGCAAACAGCTTCCAGGTCATGTGGCCAGCATGACTAAGCCGCTTATGGCGAAACCAGAGCAGCACACAGAAACGCTGTTTACCTTCCTGCCGGAGTGATACCTATTTATCTACTTGCACTTTGACACGCTTTCGAACTGCTAGGTTGGCAGGAGCTGGGACCAAACAACGGGAGCTCACCCCATCGCAGGGATTCGAACTGCCAACAGCAAGCCCTAGGCTCTGTGGTTTAGACCACAGCGCCACCCGCGACAGGGTGAGCTATCAATTGCTCCTGTCTAAGATGTCACTTGGTGGGACTGCAACACCATGATATACTTATAAATACTGTATCATTTTCATAGGCAAGGTAGAATTGTGCAAATAGAACATAACATTTTGGATAAATCACATTGACAAGACTTGCAGATATCTTTGAAGCACTTCCAACTTGGAAGCTGCTTTTGATAATAAAGGACTTAATACAGGCCAGTTCTTCAGTGCAACTTTCAGAACTGGTCAGAAAGTCCCTTAGCTGCAAGAATGGCCAGGCAACAGATAGATACATAGGGTATTACTTGGGCAAAAATGTTTCTCATGCAATAGGGAGTTTATTCCAATATGAGAAATGTGAAGGGCACAAAGCATTGTGATCTTATAGGATCATAGAATTGGGTCATCTAGTCCAAATCTCAACTAGACCATACATAACAGATGGTCATCCAACCTCTGCTTAAAAACCTCCAAGGAAGGAGACATCACCACCTCTTGTGGGAGTCTGTTCCACTGTCAAATAGCTCTTACTGACAGAGTGTTCTTCCTGATATTTAGCTGGGATCTCATAAATCAACTGTTGCCTGTAAGTCACCATGCAGAAATATTAACTATCAAGGTTGGTGGCCTGAATGCAGTCATGTGGTTCAGAGGAGAAAAGCAGTCTATGAACAGCTCAGTCTGCCCCTAAGCAACAAACTGCACAGGCCACAGTTTTTTGGGGCCAGAGGTTATTGACTGGCTCCTTGTGAATAGCACTACCACCTTCCGGACATCCACAATAGCAGTACCGCAGTACCGCTAAGACTGGTAGGAGCAGTTCCCTTAGGAGCTGTCACAGTGGCACATAGAATGAAAGCCTCCAGTTCAACCTTGTTGGACCTTGTATTTTCCAACTTAATAGCTTCCTGACCATGCTTGCATCACCCTCTCTGAACTCCCAAGTCTAAGTCAAGTTGAAGCTATGCAATAAAATGTGAAGAGTTATAGAAGGTTCTTGTAGAAGAGGACAATGTACATCCAAGGGGCAGACAACACTCAACATGTGATATTGGCCTTGAAAGCCCATTTGCCATTCCAGGAAGCACTGCAGGGCTGCTAGCGCTCTAGGGGACGACTCTAGGCTTCAGGCTATGAAGGAATTGGGAGCTGTCTCTCCTCAGTTCTGGATGTTGTTTTTGGCATGATCCAGCAATGACTTAAGACACAGAACTGGAGGCTGCAGGGGCACCAGATGGGGATCTGGGTCTGGGTGAGTGTTTAGAGCTGACTGCATAAGATAGGAAGAGCACTGCATCTGAGGTATTGGCCAAGAACTCATAGAGGAACCTCCCAGACCACCAGAGCCATTAGGACCAGAGTCAGGATCTCAACTGACACCCTTCCCTGAGCCAGAGGAACCAGATACCTGGCAGCATAAAAAGAAGGCTATGGAACAAAGGAGGAATGCCCACTTTCATGCCAGAGGGCTGGCCTTTTAAGGTTTTCTCAAAGGGGAGGAACCTGGAGGTGGCAGTCTGCAGACAGAGACATAAAAGATAGGTTGCTCACTTGGAGCTGTCTGTGGTCCAGTAGCCTTCAACTAGCTTGCCTTGCCTCCAGCCTTGCTGTTTTACCCATGGGTTCCAGCACTGAACCATAACACAATAGATGTTAACAGTTTTCCAACTGGGAGTGGCAGCTAGCCTGACCAGGCACAGATGTTAGACAGAATTCTCTTGAAGCAAAAGTCCAGTGACACCATACCACTGAAATATATTGTCGTGTGATATAGTTAGGATTGCTTCACATGCTATTCTGTTCTATTTCACGTAAGAAAAGCTTAGAACCTCAAAAGAGCTCCCTGACTAAAAAACAACTATTTAGGGATGAGCACACATTCCATGCATATTTTGCACATATTCTTCTACATGGAAACGAAGAAGAACTGTGATCTGTGAAGCATTTGAACAAAACAGAGATATAGTGGCTTCTCTTACCTTTCAAATGCTGGCCATGAAGTCTCTTCACTCAACTCAGAACCATCACTGCTACCTAAAATCAGAATAACAGTTTAAACTAAATAATCCTCTCATTCTATGATTTATTTGCCAATCATAACGGAATCGTTCATAATAAAGTGCTATTAAAAATATTATTATTTGAGCCAATCTGTGTGTTAGAAGATAAAGATAAATAGTATAAAGCAGCTTTTATAAGAGGAAATGGAAGATGCAGGTTCATAACACTTGGGAAAAGAAGTACAGTTGTGTATTCTTGCTGCTGCAATTCTAATATAGTTCATTTTACAAAATGCTGTTGTCAATCTTGTTAGAAATTGAAGCACTAAAGGCAAAATAAAGTGTGTGTCCCTTGCTGGATTAATTCTGATTATGTTTTATTAAAATAAAACCTACCCAGTATTTTATTTGAAAATCAGCAAGGGGGGGGGGGCAAACATCACATATGGCTAAAGCTTCTTGCCCTTTCCCAGAGGAAAAAATTGGATGCTTGGCAGAGCAAATGATATAATGGTTGTTATGTTATGGTATTATACAATTATTAAAATTTGAAAATCAATAAAATTATATTTGAAAAAAAGAGGAAAAAATTGGATTCTTTTAATTCTTGTACAAAGGGGGGAGGAGATAGTAGTAAAAAGAATTAAATGCCTTACTTTCAGGTACATGCATGTTGAAAATACATGCCCTGTGGTTCCAATGCCAGGTGAATACCACAAAAGTTCAATTACAGAATTTTAATATGATATTTAAACCAAGCCAAATTTCTATTGCACAGAAAGGAAAACATGTGTATGTGTTTAATAAATGTGTATCTTGCACTTTCACCACTCAGAACCCCACTAAGGGCTTTAAAGTCTTTTTGGATCCCAGTGAATTATGGCACATAAACTACTCCAAAAATGTATGCAACAACTCATGTTTGTCCTGCACAGTGGCAAAAAAAAAAAAAAAAAGATAGCAAAGCAACATTACTATGTGACCATCAAAGCCAAAGAGATATAGGTTCTTCTTTTCAAACAAAAGGCCACAATTCTAAACACACTCACTGAAGAGATAGGTGTCTCTGAATTCAGAGGGTGTTAAATTTTATTCTGAAGCTGTGTAAGCCCACCCAGAAAAAGATATATTTTAAGGGTAGAAAATAAACGTATGAACATGTAACTGAAGGCCAAAACAGATATGCACTTTATTATTAGTGTGCATTGAACTTCATGGAGTAACAAAAGGGTAAGTCCCTATGCTGAGATGTGGCTGACGCATTTGCAGTCTTGTCGTTAAATGAACGGGTGAGGCAACACAAGAAAGCAGCATGAAGTGGTGGCAAGAGTACTAAAAGCTAAGTTTAAGCAATGGGTAGGGATGAGGGGTTAAGGCTTTCCTAAAAAGATGGTATTGGTAAGCTTGGAGGAATTTGAAGGAAAAGGTGGTGATACACACAGGGCTAGAGTCAACTCACTGGTTGCACTAGTGGAAGTCCATGCAAAAGGGCTTCCCTCTCCCCTCCTCCTTCCAAATTGGCTTTTGGGGGGGGGTTGGGTGGACCCCAAGAACAGTGCATGGAGAAAGGAAAAGGAAGATTGTTCCATTGGGACAAGCAGATAAGCTTGCACTGATGGAATGTTTGCAACCACACAAGGTTGAATTGCTCCCATAAACCCTAGACTTAAAAGCAGGAAGGGAGAAAGTATGGACATTGAAAAGAGCAGGAGGCCCCTGTTTAGCTAAGGTGGAGGAGTGAAGCTCATTGGCATATGGGGATACGAAGGCAGAGAAATAAATGGTCACTGAAGGCTTTAAAGATTAAGACAATGGAGCCATGCTGAATATGGGAATGGAAATGAAGCCAGTTTAGGAACTGAATATAATTCTGAGCAATGAGAGAGGCAAATCATTATAGCACTACAATTGTGGATTGAAGTGTTTTCCCTAAATCTGTCTGAATTCAGCTTGCACTCAAAACAAGTCGTAAGTATCTTCCAGCCCAGACAGAACCTGCATTTTTCATGCAATTTCTAATACATCTCAGGGATTTGTGCATTCAAAAACTATAAATGAAGTCTTTGTTACAAAGGGGTAAAAATGGTGATACATGCAGATTCTTACTCATGACGCTTCTAAAATCTTCAAGTTAGAGAAAACAAAAAAATCAGATTATTTTTCTAAAAACATTGTGACCAGTAGAGTACATATGAGCGCAGATTGTGGTTTGGCCGTCAATTGGTCTGGGCAAGGTTACAGCAAAAATAGAAATGTGATGCGATGACAGGCAGGATGTGAACAAAGGGTGAAATGGTTATGATAAATGATAAACCCCCAATTAATTTAAGGCAACATACATATTGTTTATGAATGTTTACAAGTACCACATTTATTTAGTGCCAAACAAAGTATGATTTCTGATAACAGAAAAAATGATGAAATAATTATAGCCAAAGCAATTAAACATAACATATTTCTGTGATATGTTCATGACGCCAAAATGAGCTACACTGTAGTGGAGCCTGAATTGCAAAGTTAAAATAAAAAGAAGGCCTACTTAGGTTACAACTGTGCTTTCCTCAAAGAGATATTACACAGAGGACTTCTTCTGAAACAGATAAGCAAGGGCTTGCCCACACTTCTGTTTGTTCCGTGCCTAGAAAGCCTGAGTCCGAGTGGTCTTCTGCTTGACCTGCGTTTTCTAGGCACAGTTCCAAGTGGTTTTACCCTTGCCCTGCTCCTTTCTCAGGGGAAACCCAAATTACCATTTGCTCCAATTGAGCGCTAAAGAGCAGCTTTTCCTGGGGTGAAGCAGCAGGATGAGAGGACGTGTGAATGAGCCCCCAGTTGTATTTTCCTTTGGAAACATAAAAAATAGTAACTAGCAGAGTGTCATTAGCAACCTGGAGCAGAATTCTGAAACAGCTGCCACATATTCTCTAAAACCAGAAGAGGGAAGGTCCTTGGCAGAATAGCAGTTACTGGCTGGGTAGGGAGGCATTCAGGAGACGAGAAAGTTTTAAGTCTCTTATTCTATACTCTTCTTCAGTTCAGCAAGGAAGGATGAATCTTATTCTCTTTGCTTGGTGCCTCATGTCCAGGGTCTTTCCTGATACTAATGGAACCCTGAGAACAGCATGGAACACCATAGACACTGTCAAACTTATCAGTACAGAGGCAGCAGTAAAGGTAAAGGGGCAAGGGACCCCTGGACAGTTAAGTCCAGTCAAAAGTGACTATGGGCTCATCTTGCTTTCAGGCCGAGGGAGCCGGCGTTTGTACGGTGTTTTCCAGGTCATGTGGCCAACATGACTAAACCGCTACTGGTGCACGAAGGACTGCGACGAGTGCCAGAGCGCACGGAAACGCTGTTTACCTTCCCACTGCAGCGGTACCTATTTATCTACTTGCACTGGCATGCTTTCGAATTGCTAGGTTGGCAGGAGCTGGGACAGAGCAATGGGAGCTCACCCCGTTGCAGGGATTCGAACTGCTGACCTTCTGATCGGCAAGCCCAAGAGGCTCAGTGGTTTAAACCACAGCGCCAGCAGCAGTATCAATGCTTGGTACTGGATTTGGCGCTGAGGATAGATCAACTGACACACACAGCAATGTTATGACTATTATAGAGCCAGCTGTTATTAATTACATTGACAGAACTGAAGAGACGCAAATTTGCAAAGCCTGTGACAGCAAGCATGGGGACCTCTGACTCATATGCAAGATCAAGCCTAACAGGGGTGTGAATTGGACCCACAATGCAGTTTTTCCCAAACCATGACCATTGGCTCCACAACTGACATCATATGTAACATCACATATGGGACAGGTAACAACTGGCTGCAAAGTAAAATTGGGGTGCACTCATCAAGGGTCATCAAGCATGCCATCCACCCATAAGAGGGGCAGTCCAGAGAAGACCAAGACCGAACAGGATGCATGCATGGCCAGAGCTGCTGCCTTGTGAGCAAAGCAAAATTCAGAAATTTCTCAGAAGCACTTTCACTTGGGTATTTCCATCTTTGGGCAGGTGGGAGTTGGTCACTAGACCAGATACTGGCGAGCCAGTTGATGGGGGTTTGAGGAGAGCCATGAACTCAGGCTCCAGATTATAAAATTTATTAGTAAGAAACACATTATTAACATTTTATATTGAAGTTTTTTCAGAGTTTATCCTTTTCTTAGGGTAAAAAAGCCTTATGTGGAACTGTTCCAGTACCATAAAAAATGATCCCTCTAATACTTTTGGATACAAGCCTAGAAATACCTTTCACTGCTCAGTAGGCTTAACATCTTACCTATTGAAATTCCACTAGAAAGAGTGGAGCTCTCTGCCTGTCCCCTGGATGGGGCATGTGGTTCCATGACACTGTCATCTAACAGATGCCTTGGTCCTGCATTGGGGAATGTTGCGCTTTTGAACTCTGCTGTGTTTGTTTTATGAATAAAACTACAAAAAGAACAAAGGAGATAAAAACAAAATGCACAACTACTTTAGGACATAACACATTTTACGTATCAAGGTAATACATTTTCTAGTACTCATGTTCTAGTTCTCCACGATAACAAACACAGCATGGCAAGTATATAAACAAAAGAGTACACCAAGTGTGTACGACAGGGATCTATTGCAGAGGGGATTCATGCATTTTGAACATGGGCACAAAAAGTATGAATGTTTAAGTGGCAAAATAACCACACAGTGATTTACCACACCTTCTTTTTAAAATGACTGCCTTTTCCCTGCAACAACACTAGCAATAAAGGATTGGCTCCCTGGTACATGCACCATTCACAATTCATGGTGCTATGTGTAGATTTTGCCATTAACACTAGAAAATTTGGGAGCAGTTTCAAAAGTAAATGTAAAGCAACCCTCCCTGTGTCTTGAACTTTCTAATGGTGTCTTCACGAGTTTTTGAGGTGATTAATAAATAAGTGCTAATTTGCGTTGGATCAGCTCAGGAGGCACAAAGGGATATTTCAAATGGCAGCAGGATTCCTACAGAGAAGACTGCACAAGCTGTGGTCCAACTGGCCAAGCACAGCCACCAGTTATGTACTGTGGCTGCCAAGAATCGGATAGGACACCAGGCTTCTGCAGGCCCACACAGGTTGCAAAAGCGGGAGACTTTATAAATCCCTGGTAGCCTTCCATATGTGGCTGGTGGCGAGCTAGCTCCACCTTAATGAACCTAAAACAGGCCTGTGAAAAAAATTCAACTGCAAACTGCTCATTCATGGTGTCCTGGCTTATTTTACACCATGGCTTTAATGATACATGCAAAGCAGGCCGCTAGATGCTAAAACAAAACGACAAAAAGGTACCAAGACAAATTATTCTTTAAGTAATAAGGTTGGGGATCATGGGATAAAAGGGCTAACATATGGGGATTATGTCAACAACACACAGCATCTAAGCCGAATTTCAAATCAAATGCTAACTTGTATCCTAAACTGTGACATTTTCTATGCCCGTGTGGCATCAGATTCCTTGGGGATGGAGGAGTCGGTGGTAGCAATGCTCCTTCAGCTGTAGCATTTTTTCGAACACTTTGCGGCGAAACTCCCACTTCAGGACCTGGAAAAAAGAAAGAGAACAAATTTTAGGCGAACACGACAAATTTTAGGTGAACTTATCACACTTATGACCCCCCAATTTCTATGCCCAAACTAGTTGATAATTAAAAAAATACATGAATGGATTCTTATATAACAAGTGTTTATTTAAATATATTTTTAAAATGTCCAGTAGCACCTTAGAGACCAACTAAGTTTGTTCTTGGTATAAGCTTTCGTGTGCATGCACACTTCTTCAGATACACTGAAACAGAAGTCACCAGACCCATATATATATAGTGGGAGGGTGGGGTGGGGTTTTTCTCAGGAGGGTAGTAGGAGATGGGTGATTGACTAAATGGGTATGGTAAACCTGTTGACGACTGTTAACGACTGCAATTAGTCCTAAGGAAAAAGCAAGGGATAGTATGCAGGTGATTAGCATATGTAATGAGACAGGAATCCAATATCTCTGTTAAGACAAGGTCTCTCCATAGTTTTCAGTTTTGTGATAAATTTTAATTCAGCAACTTCTCTTTCAAGTCTGTTTCTGAGATTCTTTTGTAATAAGACAGCTGCTTTGAGATCCTGTACTGAATGTCCTGGGAGATTGAAGTGTTCTCCTACTGGCTCCTACTGGTATTCATTTATTTATTTTAAAAACACACTAAATGTTGTTGAAATATCAAAACAGACTTTTGGCCCTGGCATGAACATAGTAAGCCTTTGGTAACTAGTTTCCTCAAACTGAAGTCAGACAAGGAAATAGGTTTGTGAAAACTAGAGAACTAACACATGTGAAAATTGGCATGCTTAACACATTCTTTTAGCTGATACTATGGAGATGTAAGAGATATTTCAGTAATTGGCCTATGTCATTTGTCTGTATGGTATGTGGACATCCTTAATAGTAATATTGGGAGATATTCCTGCAATCTGAAGATTCTCCAAATATGAAAAATGTCTCCTGAAATGTACTAAATGCCTTATTCTCCAGACACAGAAAATACACACACTATTAGGTATGGATATTTTATGTTATTACTGACTCGCTTCTAGAGAAAGAATATTCAGATGGAGGGATTTGTAAAAAGTTGGAAATGAATTCCTAGAAAAATTCTCTCCTAAGCTCTAGACACAGCAGCTCTCTATCCCTAAATCTGTCTCCTGACTACCTCAACTCCATTTTTTAAAAAGAACACAGAAAGAGCTCCTTAGAATGCTCATCGCTTTTTACCAAATAATGGAAGTCCACAAGAACATCCTTCTCAAAATACACACAAATGTAAAGCAGCCACTGATGTCACCTTTAATATAGCAGCGTTCAAGTAATTTGTTGGTATTTGTTAAATGTTGAAAACATGTTTTTAGTGTTTGGTTAGTATGTAGTTTTTAATCACAGTTCATCATATACGCGGGTGGTGCTGTGGTCTAAACCACAGAGCCTTGGGCTTGCTGATCGGAAGGTCGGCGGTTCAAATCCCTGTGACGAGGTGAGCTCGTTGTTGCTCGGTTCCAGCTCCTGCCAACCTAGCAGTTCGAAAGCACGTCAAGTGCAAGTAGATAAATAGGTATCACTCTGGCGGGAAGGTAAACAGCGTTTCTGTGTGCTGCTCTGGTTCGCCAGAAGCAGCTTAGTCATGCTGGCCACATGACCCGGAAGCTGTACGCCAGCTCTCTTGGCCAGTAAAGCGAGATGAGCGCCGCAACCCCAGAGTCGTCCGCGACTGGACCTAACGGTCAGGGGTCCCTTTTCCTTTTACCATAGTATTATAGAGCTGGAAGGGACCACGATGGTCATCTAGTCCAACTCCCTGCAATGTAGGAATGTTTTACCCAACATGGGGCTCAAACCCACAACCTTGAGATTAAGAGTCTCATGCTCTACCAACTGAGCTATCCCAGGTAAGTTTCAATTTTAAGTTTTATTCTTATTAAGAAACAAGAAGTACCTCCAGTGTTTAAGTTATCACTGAACAGCTGAAACCAGCTACCACTGTATAATAGTTGCAAGACTTAAAAAGCACTGGGCCAGTGTATATTCTTCAGGACATCTTTGATACTGACTGTTTTTACACCTTTAACAGACAAGTTTAGAAACAAAGAAATGTTAAAAAATATTTAAACTTTATTGTTGTCTGGTAAACATTTACCTACTAAATCTTCACGAGATGCAGCAGAACGTGGGGTACTTGTTCCGGGTTCTATCTTTAATGAAAGCCTGCATTTAGAAACAACCACAAAAAGGTTTGCTTATAACGCAATATAGGTGGGAACTGGTAGACAATGCTTTTTCATGTATTCATATACTATTCACCACCCTGGGGTCTATTTAGAGGGAAAATGGGTTAGAAATACTTTTATTAAACAATTGAAACATGTAAGTTAGTCAGGACTAACTTAAGTCATTTTCCCATGGATTATTTGAAGACTTTGGTTGCTACCTATGGCTTATCTTTAAATTACAATCAAGGGAGATGCAAGGCAGACTACAATTCAAGGAGCTCCCAAAAATTCCAAATGGTCATGAAACTAAGGGATTGCTCTTGCCTTCATTTCTTGTTCTTTATGAAATACCAAAAGCGGCTTGGTCATGCTGGCCACATGACCCGGGAAAACTATCTGTGGACAAACGCCAGCTCCCTTGGCCTGTAAAGCGAGATGAGCGCCGCAACCCCAGAGTCGTCTGCGACTGGACTTAACTGTCAGGGGTCCTTTACCTTTATGAAATGTTACTTAGCTTTGAAAGCAAAAACAATTGTTATATTCTAATTTACTCGATTTTATACTTACTTATAATTGTCATCTTCCACAAACTTCTGAAGTTCTTCTATATACTGAACAGAATTCAAGTATTTTTGAACATGAGGCAACACAGGAATATCTAGACAGCAAGCAAACTGTAATCAGCATTTTGGCATCCTTTATCAAGAGCTGACTTTTGCACATGTATTTTTTTTTAATTGCTTATCCAATCCCATAGATTCACTACATTTTATTAATTCCTTAAAATACGCAATTAACACCTCATGCTTCTCACACCCCATTAATTTCTGGGCAACAAAATACGTTATACCATCCTTCAAAAAGATAAAACAAATGCAAACCAAAGCAGGGAACTGTAGATTAACCGCACAAATGTATGGAAGAACACACTATAATGGACAATGGATGTTATTCTGTTGTGGTACTAACTCCTAGAGGGGTAGCCAGATTAGTCTACTGCCGCAAAACAAAGGGTGGAATTCAAACATTCTGTCCCAAAGGTCCGCATAAACAAACAGATTTTCAAACATCACTTAAGTATATAATAATATACTTGATAAACTACTGTTACTAAGGAAGCATGCCTAACACCTGATCTGTGCTCTAGGTATCCTTTCACCTGCCTCTACTTTCCTCCACTACCATGGAAGCCCCTGCTCCACCCACAGAAGGCTCAGGTTATTTTGGAGGTACTGTGCCACCAGCAGTAAACAAGTGCAAGGCTTTGAAATGGGACATTGTGAGGGTGAGGTGGAGCGAGGTCAGTCAAGGATCCATTGGACAGGTGAGGGTCCTGATCTGGGTCCTTCTCTTGCACCACCCTAGAACTGCCACGGGAAAGGGTAAAAAAGACTATTCCTCTCTCTGCTGTAATTAACCAGAGCCAGTAGGGCTTTGGAAGAGGTGTTGGCTCTGCCACTCCAAATGTCCCCAGAGTTGGGTAAAACTTGCCTTGTGAGTGTTATGCTCTGTTAGGAGGGAACTCTTGCATTTGATGGGTAGCTGACCCCAGAACATAGGTGATTAGAATTAATGGATTTTATATTCAGAGAACCTTATTCAGTGATTAATTACAATGCTGCAGTATGGATGCATAGCAACTTACCATATTCACATGACTGCTGTAAGTCTGAAATTATTCTGAGTATGTTATTCATTAAGTTTGATCTCTGCTCATTTTCCAAAATACTCCCTGTCGATGGGTATGCCGAGTCAATGTATGTCAAATCTGAGAGATAAATACCTGGACAACATAAGATCACAAAGAAAAAAAGATTTTTTTGTCTTGGTCAACAAAATACAAAATGTTTAGCATTGTATCCAATGCTGCTGTTTCAGAGGCACAGCCGATTTTCCGTTGCACAACGGAACATTCCTCTTCTCCACCACTTGTGCTGGAGGACCCTCCAGAGCAGATTTTAAGGGTGTGCAAGGAAAAGAGAGGGAAAGTCCATTGTGTAAACACAATTCTGTGTGTCCAGTGTTGGACAGAATCCATAACCTGAAGCATATCCTTTCCGTTGTGCTTTAAGCTGGAGAACAAGTGACAAGGCACTGAAGATATGAGGAAGATGTAGCTTTGCCATATCTGAAAACTGAATGCTGTTACTAGACTATAAGGTTTCACATATTTAAAAGCATGTTTACAAATCAACAGGTTAAAAATATTTGGTTAATGGGCATTTCTTTTCCCTTCAACCTTATTTTTAAATCAATAGTATTTCATAGAATCATAGAATCATAGAATCATAGAGTTGGAAGAGACCACAAGGGCCATCGAGTCCAACCCCCTGCCAAGCAGGAAACAATATTTGCTACATCCAGGGTTTTTTTTATAACTTTCTAGATAAACCACAGTTACGTTTTTAGGTCTTGTTATGTAGTCATGGCGTAAAAATTAAAGTTGTCATATTTAGAGGAAGCTGAATTCTTACAAATAATAGCACATGGTCAAGAAGTCACAGAACTGAGTAAAATACTTTATATCTTAGTCTAAAATAACATTCTGAAATATTTTATAATATTCTGAAATTGCCATGAGCAATTGTACACGGACTTTAAAAATCCTGTTTAAGATGTTTTTGAAGGACAATTTGGCAAAAAACAATTGGCAAAAACATCCCTACTGTAGCACAGAGTTAATTCAATGAATTACATAATGTTATTAAGTTTGTCTCAGCAAAAAAAGTGATGAGAGGGAGAGGGAGGAAAGAATGTCACATACTTAACCCCAACCTACAAGGGATGTCAGTAATATTCTGAATTTCAGAGAATGAGCTGATTATCAAGTAGCAAAACTCCTTCCCCGATTATCAAGTAGCAAAGAATTGGGTTTGATGGTTGATCATGTGGTTTGGTTTGCATTTTAAAGCAAAGCTACCTAATTTGCACTTGAATTAGAATTTTACAATGAAGTTCTCAAACAAACAAAAATGTAATGTGTATATTAAAGGTAAAGGGGACCCCTGACCATTAGGTCCAATTGTGACCGACTCTGGGGTTGCGGCGCTCATCTCGCTTTACAGGCTGAGGGAGCTGGCGTTTGTCCACAGAGTTTTTCCGGGTCATGTGGCCAGCATGACTAAGCTGCTTCTGGCAAACCAAAGCAGCGCACGGAAACGCAGTTTACCTTCCCACCGGAGCGGTACCTATTTATCTACTTGCACTTTGACATGCTTTCGAACTGCTAGGTTGGCAGGAACAGGGACCGAGCAACGGGAGCTCACCCCGTCGCGGGGATTCGAACCTCCGACCTTCTGATCAGCAAATCCTAGGCTCTGTGGTTTAACCCACAACGCCACCCGCGTCCCTTGATGTGTATATTAGGGGAATGTAAATAAAATGCACATTTTAGTGAAAACAACAAAAAAATGCATATTAGAAAAAATGTCTATAAAACTATGTATATTAGGAAAACTGCAAACAAAAATGTGCATATTAGGATAACTGTGCACTATATGCTTGAGAAGTTTTGTGAATACTTTAAAAAAATCACAAAGTGATGCAGAAATCTAATGAGCTGATTGAAAAAATGAGAAAGGGAAATAACCAAAACTGACAGATTTGAACGCCACTTGATCTTGCCAGAAGTGATCTTTTTGAACTGACCCTTTGCCCTAAAATATTCTTCCAAGGCTTCAATGTTACAATAAGGTTCTTCCAAAGTGCTAACCTTATATCAAAAGGTCTCCTAGGAAAATTTCGAACTAGATTGGTTGGATAAACAAAGCGTCACCAGTCCTCACTGCCTGACTGACTACAATGCTGCAATTGTATACTGCCAGTCCAACATGAAGTCAGGCTTTAGTTTTACTCTTTGAATTAAAGTAATTATTCTTAGAAATGCATCTATGGTGATTTGGCGAGTTTGCTTACATCTAAGTTAACTTGGGGAACTAAAGTACTTAAAAATAAGGTTTGCTCTGCTCTTCTACATTCTGAGAGTTATTATATGCCATACTGTAAAAATAAATTCTTGCTACAGATAATTAAAAACTGCTCTGATTTGCACTGATTCTAAACAAACACGATCTTCATAAATTGTACTGGCAGAACTTTAAGCTTTTGAAGTATTCAAGTACTGTAGTTAAATAGAAAACGATGCCGAAGGGGGCACCTTTGAGACATGGTGGGGTGCCTTGAATTTGTTCATTATCTCTGTCTGGTTGTTGAGTTTAAAGATTTGGCAGAATGATGGCAGCCAATGTAGGTAAGTTCAATGGTAAAATTAATTTAAATTACATGTAAGTTTTGCAGGTTTCTAGCATGAAGTTCATGCAATTGTTTACCTTGCCTACATAGATATTTAGAATAAAACATTAAGATAATTGCTATTAATCAAAATTAAGTGTTTTATTTTCCTCTCAAAATACTGTAAAACTGTTAACTGGCATGTGACTCTTTCTTATAGTACTAAAGAAAAGTCCAGCTCTCTCCCTTCCAACATATTTCTCCATGTATGCAACGTTCACAAAAAGAATTAACATTATCTTCTATTTTATTGATTACCACTGCAATTTAATAAGAACTGTTTCTTATTAAATAAACTTAAAGAATTGAAGGTGACATTCTGGTCTGCATTCTTCGGGACTGTAACTGCTTCATTTTACTGTTAAATTCACTCAGCCTGTTTCTTCCATTTCTGGGAACACAAAAGTGAGTTTACTAGCCTGACAATCTCCAGTCATAACTAAGCTTACTACTGCAACAACTTGACGGGGATCTTTAGGCTGCACAGCGAAATATTTTGCAATTGCCTAAACTTTTCTTATTGTTTCTCCATCTGCTGCCCTCCCTTAAACCAGCAGACAATCTCTCCTTGTTCATACTGTGGTTCTCCCCCTCCCTCTCCCCCTCCTTCCCCCCTGCCAGTTTTCTCCTTTTTCCAAAGGTTGTGGGTAGGAAATCCTTCGGAGTCTTCCCCCGCCTCCTGTTCTCCAGTGACATCATATATGGGCTGACTGCTTAAAGTCTAGGCATGCGTTTGTTTAAGAAACACACCCAAGTGTGCAGTATATGGAAGCAAGGTCTACTGTTGCTGGCTAGGGCATTTCAGCATGCAAAGGCAAGGCAAAGCAGCTTCAAAATATCTCCATCTTTCCTGGAGCAGAAGAAAATGATTTTGATATGTGGTTCTCTTATTAAACCAAATGGGGTGATACGTACTCGGGTGTAATATATGGCAAGAGAAAGCAGCCGTTCTCCCTAGAACGTCGCAGATTGCCAGACAATTGTTCTGGCACCAGGAGGAGAATCTACACAAAAAGGGGTCTGTGGATTTTTATGCTCCTTCAGAAGAAAAAGCCATTACAAGGTTGGTGTCTATACATTTTCTTTGTTGTCAATCGGCACACAACTTTTCTGTAGTTATTTCAGATTGTAGATTACATATGGATGCTGCTACATTTTATGTGCCGCCAAAATTCATACATACTAATGCACACAGTTTAGTTTTTTCTTTTATTGAATCCAATAAATTTTGAGAGTGCTCCATTACAAGTATAAGGTTTAATGTTCTTGACTGCATTGTTTCATGTTTATACAAGAGGGAAGGAAATCCCCCACCCACCAACATTCAGAAAAACTGGCTGATGGTGATCATGAAAAACCAATTGTACCGCTTGATCTGCACAACAAAAAGGATTTTCTTAGCATAGTCCTCCTAAAAGAAAATGAAGCTAATCAAGAAGTACCCCTGATATAGTGTCACAGGCTTCTCCCCAAATATATTACTAGGAGAATCTACAATTAAAGCCTTAACTTGCACTTTTCCTATTGATAAATCACTATTCCTGCTGTACACCCAAATGGACATTTTGATCAGGGGCTCTCATTAAAACTTGGATTTTCCATTGCCATTTAACACTTTCTTATTCATGGAATAGCTTTTACTGTCTAATGACAGCGTTAACCTGAAGGAATTTACTGCTTGAAAAACTAAAAAATTGCATGACCAGCCCTGAATGGGAAAAAGTAAACCCAGCGTAAGTTGTTAGTGATCCAGCTGCAAGTATTAATTTTGAAAGCGTATAGCTGAAGATTACCCAAAAGCTGTAATCTACATTGAACATCACAAAGAGCAACAGCTGACTATGAACCCTGGATTCACAGTAACAGTGATGTTCCATGTTACAGTGGAGTAGATTTGCACATGAAAGTAACAGCCTGGCTTCAATAACTAGCTCTTAAAATGATTGCATTTTAGAATCTATCATAGTACATAAAACTAATACATGTAGTAGACAGTAGCTCAAATTATTATCAAATGTTTATTCAGACAAATGCAGCATAGTTCCTAAATTCATTAGGACATCTAGCTGGGGAACAAGGTTGTCTCAGGGTCTAAGGTCACCAATATTCACACAGTCAGCACTGATGGTAATAAATGGACAACAGTTTACTTCCACATTTCGTATATGAAAAGCAATTTCGGAGCCTTAAGCAACTACTAATGACTCCAAGAATTACTATGAAGTCATTTCAGGAGTTTTTTATTAGCCGTACTTTAAAATGTGGGTTCCTGTGTTATTTAAACTCCATAACATTTAAGTACTTTAATAGTGGTTTTAAAGGTGATTTAAAAGAATATATTCTTTAAAATATGCCGATTAAGTCTGGAATATGCTAATACAAGAGCACACATTTTTGCTGTTAGTAAAAATGAGCTTTCAACATTAGTTTCCTTGAAACTACTGCTATTTAGTTGCAGTAGATGCTCATATCAACTTTGACACTGGCTGTGATTCAGGGACTTTTCTCACTGTAATCTTTGAAAGATAAAGAAATCCAAATACTGGCTATTTCATAGCTGACAATGGGAAACCTATGTTTGTACTTGCGGTAACTCATTTGTTGGATAGCTGCCATCATATGGAAAGAAGCCCAGTTCATTTCAGCAGAATGTACTTTCGCATAACCAACACAAAACAACAAAACAAATAATCAATGTAGGACATAGACTGGGTCTTCCCAAACATTTCCTCTTGAACATGAAACTGCACCTAGCTATGAACAGATTTTCTAAACTCCACCTGATAGTGTAGGATTAAGAACAGCAGTTGTTGGAAAAGGAATGCAAGTACAAAATGCATGTGTCCATGGAATGCAGCCTATGAATTTTAGGATCAATTTAGTTCCAGTACTCTGAAAGTGAGATGAACCATTTCTGCCCAAGAAGACTTAAAAATCAACACTCTTAACCAAGCTTTGATGTCAACACACATGTGATTAACACAATTTAACATGGCACTATTGAGATTAGGATTCTGTACTTAAATGTCTGCAATTTACAGTTTATTTTGGACTACAATATTCTGGCAAGGATTGGGATATTCAAAATGTTTGCCAGATTCAGTGGCATAAAGATATGAGAAATTGAAATGGTTGTGTGTATAGCAGACTGAATAAGAGACGTACATTGCAACTTAGGGTCCACACCTAAGATTTTTGTATGTTAATATGAAAACCACCATTCAAGTAACAAATGACTTTTTTGTACACATGTCAAAAGATGCTAAAATAACATTCCCTTGCAACCCATTTATGAAAGGTACAGTTTCAACAAGACAGTACTGTGAAAATTAATCAATCTTGAGCAGATGCCTTTGTTCCACTATGTCAATTCAGCTAGGCTGGCTTTGCTTTAAAAATAAAACTTTACTTGTTACTAATTAATGTATAGAAAGTTCAGTGAGAAAAAGCAAGTTTCCTCAATTGTCTTTAAAGAAGTAGTTATGTTGCTTTAAGTAAAGTGTTGCTCACAATACCCATCTGAACTCATCTAGAAAATTGAGAAAGTAATAAATATAAATACACTGGCTTGCTTTGTTTCCATAATAATACAATGCGTTGTGGTTCGAGGACCCGATCCCCGCGTAGTGGAATGAAAACACGAGGACACATGATATAAGGTTAATGGGCAAGAAAAGGCCACAACTTTATTGATTACAGCAAGTGAAAAGGTATTGGCTTAGGCATTGGATTACGTCAGCTGACTCCACCCCCTCAGAGAGGGGTGAGTCTAAAACAGGGGGGTTTATTCACCAGTAGGTGGAGCCTGTTGATGCTAATCCAACTATAAGCTCTCCCCTGATGTCGCCGAGGGTCGTGCCATGGCCTCCCGCCACGCAGGCATGGGACAGAATACACGACTGCCGGATTCCTTTAACGGAATACCCAAAATTGAAGGCGCAGGCGATGGCCACACCTAGCCCTTCGACACACCACAACACATTATTCCAATGCCTAACCTACCCACCAATACCACGAAAGTTGTGACAATTGCTACGAGGTAGGCGAAAAAACCAAAAAGCCTAATGCTAAATGGCGCCCACGCCCACGGGCAGGCACCCAACCAGGTGCCTGCGAGGGGGCGTGTTTAGCAGCCTAAATTGCTGCAGCACCAGCCTTCCGGCCTCACTTTTCGTCGTACCGTCGCGAGTCTATGGCCATACTACCCTGAACACGCCCGATCTCGGAAGCTAAGCAGGGTCAGGCCTGGTTAGTACTTGGATGGGAGACCGCCTGGGAATACCGGGTGCCGTAGGCTTCTTAAACCTCACCCCTCTTGGTTTCTTTAAGCCACCACCCCCCTTTGCTTGATGTTTGGGGGAAGAAATAAGGCAGGGCTTGGGGTGGACAATTCAGGGTTTCTGATCAGGGAACCATTCCTGAGCACTGCACATTTATACGTTTAGAACCTTTGAAGGTGTGCCTTTGCCTGGTTCTTGTCATTGGCTTCACTTGCCAGTACAGGCTCCCTAAAGAAAACCGCTTTTAAACAACAACAACAAAAAAGGTTACGGCTTATAGTACCTTACTGAAAAGGTACCTTACTGAAAAGGGCTAACGCCCCCTGCTTGAGGCGGAGTCCCGCTCCCGACCACAACCACTCCCCTCTCTTGCAGGAGGAGAGTCCTTACTGAACAATTCACATTCGGTAGGTTAACTTCAGGACATAAAGGCTCAGTTGCCTTGGTAGGTGGTGGTAGAGGTTTTCAAGCAGAGGCTGGGTGATGCAGCAGAGGTTTTTTCTATATTGGAGCAGAGAACCTTTGGAGGACACACAATGATAACATACATTATACACTAATAAATTAAGCACATGGTAGAAAACAGGGTTACAGAATGGATTTCCTCACACTGACAAGGCACTTGAGGAAGGAAGCCACACAGCAGCGCTGTGTCCATTATATAAGCACTAAGAGCAATCTTAATTCTTTGAGTGCTAGTTGAACCAAAATGGTGCCAGTCATACGGAGGCATGGGGGAACCCCCAAAGTTTATAAAAGAATAAAAAATATTGAGGGGAAAATCCCACAGGACTCCCTCTTGCAACCAACTTTCCAATGAGGACTGATCATCTTTTATTGGCCACTGAATACTGATTGACTGTTGGAAGGGAGACAAAAAATCTGTCAGGAGGGGAAATGGAACTGAGCATTCTGAACAGGAGCACTTCAACATTTTGCTGCAGGTTCCACTTATCTGAGAACAGAGAAGGGAAATAAACATCAGGAAAATTTCAGAGATTTTATGTGGGGAAAATGAGGGAGTTCTCTTACGATGGAATGTTTAGGGGTTCATAAGCAATAGCTTCCTTGAAGTCACCAATGCCTAAAGCCATGAAAAACATTAAGCACTGTACCCATGGGTTCTTATTTGATGCATACATCAAAGTACTTTCATGTCTGAATACAGTATGTATAATGTACATCCATGGGCAAATGGATCTGTCCAATAGCTGCTACTATAAGTGATAGGTTGTAGTCAAAACTGGTGTTTGCTTGACCCAGACCCTTAGTCTTCGAAAAGTCTAGAAATTATCTTCCAAGTACCCAGAAGGGAACATCTTAATACTTAGGGTAGTAGTATCTCATAAACCCATTAAGTATTGAAGACAGCCTCAGCTGGAAGCAAACTAGATAGAACCATAGAATCCCAGAGCTGGAAGAGACCACAAGGGCCATCGAGTCCAACCCCCTGCCAAGCAGGAAACACCACCAGAGCACTCCTGACATATGGTTGTCAAGCCTCTGCTTAAAGACCTCCAAAGAAGGAGACTCCACCACACTCCTTGGCAGCAAATTCCACTGTCCAACAGCTCCTACTGTCAGGAAGTTCTTCCTAATGTTTAGGTGGAATCTTCTTTCTAATATGTTTGTTGAAACACTCAAAGAACTCTAAGAATGCTTGCAGAAGCTATGCTGGTTCTGCTTTAGCAAGACTTCTTATTCTATTATATGCTTGGTCATTCTATCTTTAACAGTACTTTCCACTTTTCCCAGAATAGATGTTAAGTTAACTAGCCTGTAATTACCAGGAAACTCCATGGATCCTTTTTTAAAAACTGGTGTTACATTGGCCACTTTGCAAACCTCAAGTATGGAGGCTGGTCTGAGGTACTATTTATATATTTTTACTGGAAGACCAGCAATTCTATTTAAGTTGTTTAAGGACTCTCAGGTGGATGTCATCTGGACCCAGTGAATTTGTCATTTTTAAAAGGTGTAATAAGGCCTAGACCTTTGTCTCTTGTCAGCACTATCTGTTTCAGTTCCTCAGGCTCTCTTCCTGTGATAATTATTTCCAGCACAGGGATCTGTTGTTAGCAATGTGCTCCTCAAATTCATTTTTTAGCATCCATTATGGTCCGCCTATATTTATTTGCCAAAGTTTGTGTTCAGCTTTGTTCTTCTCATTTCGATAAGACTTTCATTTTTAAAGGAAACTGGTCTTTAATAGCTTCTTTTGACTCTGCTTGTTAATCATGCAATCATCCTCTTGGCAAGGTGGTACATTCTTGATCCATGGTATACATTCTTGCTGAGCTACTACTGTGGCTCTAAATAACTCCCAATTATTCTACATTTTGACCCCCTTGCCTTTGCATTTCACCTTTCTCCTTGCCAATCTCATCATTTGGGACTGTAAAAATTAAATTTGATAGCATTATAGCTATGGCTTCATGGTCAATTGTTCATATCTATATATATCTATAATTATATCTGCCATTACAATAAAAACCTAATCTAAACAAGAAATAGTTGAAAAGAAAAAGTGCTATCAGAATACAGAGTCCTCTCTCATAGATATATCCTAACTTTTATCCCATACAGAGAAGACTCTCACCTGGCAGCATTTGCCTCTTCCTCCAAGCCTCTCACCCTGGGAGATCTCTGCTTCCCTGCTTGTAAGTGGCTAGTCATGCTGGGCTTGCAAACAGGTCCCCCAAAGTGATTAACCCACAAACAATTTATTATACTTTCCTGCCCATCTACACATACATACGTTAGCCAGAACTACTTCACATGCTGCAAATATGAAGCAAATTGGTTGGAAGCAATGGTCTTCGTCTATTCCACAGAAGTGCCTCAAGATCATGCTACTTGCCTTTTTGGCCCTGAAGTACTAGATTATTGATTATTATTGAAGCAACTCCAATGCAACACTGCCAAATAGTGATGCAAATGGTCTTAGTGCTTTGAATAATGGGGGAAATCTACAGAGATACCATATAGCAACCATTAGACTGAAGGAGAGGCTGCTGAATCCAGGAAGGAATTATTGCAAGGTCGCCTTTAGATTCACATTCATAGAATCCTAGAAGCCTATTACTAGTATTATCTCTAAGTAGTTGTCAATCTATTAGAATTCTCCTGCATTTTAAAGCCATTCCAAGTCACGTTTTATAGCATTACTACTGCCCAACAGCTCATATTTTAGTTGACTAATCTATTTGTGGTGCAAATATATAACATGATTTCCTTCCCCCCTAATTTTTTTTTTTTCTGGGAATACAGTATGACTAAGTTTGGAGGGGATAACACCCTACAGAAATCTTAGTAAATATCCTACAGAAATCCTAGTTCTCTATCCTTGGTGACCGATGGATTTCATAGTATTTTTAATAAAAGGACCTTAACAATAATTTTTTTAATTTTGTTTTTTCCATTTAGCTTACTTGAAAATGAAGGCATTCTCATGGACTTTGAGTTTGCTGTTACTTCTGTTACTACCAAATGGACACTGCACAAAACAGCTGAAACTCAAAAACACTCTCAGACGAAACCCACGTTCTACAGAAGGGGGAGAGGAAGGGAAAAAGTGTGGCTATACATTTATTGTCCCTGAACAAAAAATAACCGGACCAATTTGTGTCAATACCAAAGGGCCAGGGCCAGAGAACAAAAAAGATGAAATTACTAGAATGGACATCGAGAATCTGAAGGATGTATTATCCAAACAAAAGAGAGAGATTGATCTCTTGCAGCTAGTGGTGGATGTGGATGGGAATATAGTAAATGAAGTAAAACTGTTGAGAAAAGAGAGCCGCAACATGAATTCCAGGGTTACTCAGCTGTACATGCAACTTCTGCATGAGATAATCCGCAAGCGGGACAATTCCCTTGAGCTTTCCCAGCTGGAAAACAAAATCCTCAATGTCACAACTGAAATGCTGAAAATGACTACAAGGTACAGAGAACTGGAAGTGAAATATGCAACACTAACTGATCTTGTAAATAATCAGTCAGTCGTCATCTCACTGTTGGAAGAGCAATGTCTGCGGATATTCTCTCGCCAGGACACACATGGCTCTCCTCCTTTAGTTCAAGTGGTGCCTCACCACATTCCTAACAGTCAACAATACACTCCTGGACTCCTGGGAAGTAATGAAATTCAAAGAGATCCAGGCTACCCTAGAGACAGAGATGTAAGGCCGCCCCCTGATCCTGCTACTTCTCCTACAAAAAGCCCTTTCAGGATCCCACCGTTAACTTTAATCAATGAAGGTAAGACATCTACTGCTATTTCTAGAACTATTAACTATGAACCTTTGGGGTGGGGGCTTCTCAGACAATCTGAAGACTTCTGGTTGGTGACTATGAAGAAAACACAAACCAAAGCCAAAAATCATTGCTCTTGCACTCAGATGGCCAGTTTTCACCCAAAAGCCTTTGTCCCACAAACCTGCTTCTTTCAGCTAGGAATGATCAAATGAAACCTTTTCAAAAGGGTGCTGACCAACTTATGGAACTGTATCATAGCTGTCAAGTGTCCCTTATTTGAAGGGACGGGTCCCTTATTCCAGCGCCATGTCCCGCTGCTGTCCCTTATTGATGGATGTCCCTTAAATGTCCCTTAAATTTCAAAGGAAGCAGCTTCTCTCCCTCCCTCCCTGCTGGCCAGGAAGGAGGGAAGCTCCAACTGTGTTGCTTGGCTGTGTTGCTCACCCAATAAGAAGTCTAAGAATGACTGGGGGGTGGGGCTTGCATGCCTTGTGTGTGGCTAGTTAATGCAAGCTGAGGAGCTTTTTGAATGCTGGACGCCATTTTGTTGCATGTGCTGCTGCAAACTTTGCAGTGCAAAGCCAGGCCGGGGAGCCATCTTAAGTTGAGGCTGCATAGGCCTTGTGGTGCATGTGATTCAGATTCTATTCAGTTGAACCTCTGGTTACAAAGTTGGTTGGACAGTGTTCTCTAAGCTACCAGCATGAGTTTGACCAGACTGCAGGAAGACAGGAAGACTGGAGTGCCTGGAACAGGTGAAGCTGTAGGTCCCTTATTTTGGCTGCTGGTCCCTTATTTTCAAGGCTGCTGGTCCCTTATTTTCAAATCTGTAAGTTGACAGCTATGAACTGTATGAAGAGTGTTCTGACCTAAGAGACTGTAGTTTTGTCATGCTCTTTGTTAAAGAAAGTAGCATGAGCCATTTTCCCGCCGCCTTTACCTACTTCATATCTTCTAGCAGCTTTAAGCAGTTACATTCCAGCAGCACACTGTAGGCAATGTAGGTCTCAGTCCAGTGTCTAAGACCATTTACTCACAGCAAAAGGTTTGTTTGTATAACATGTTTATGTATACAGGCAATGGCTCCAATGACTGCAAGTCATTTTACCCTGGTAAAATCTACAAAATATTGTTGAGGTTGTGCTATGTAATCAAGCTTTCAAGTTATTTTTTTCTAAAAACAAAAGGCTAAATTTATTTCAATGGTGACAAATTATTCAGACAATTGTAAGCTACAGGACTAAAACTATCATCCATTTGTAGAGGCCTGACATTTCTGCAACTGATATAGATTATATGGACAACAAAGTTAAGAGAGAATTTGAAACAGAGATCAATATTACTGTTCTCTAAAGGTAACTATCTAGCTGCTATAATGTTTTAAGGAGTAATGGAAGATTATGGTTCAATATTTTTTAATATAATGACACCTGTTGATACTGATATATATAAAAACTATTTATTTCTGGAAAGGGTAGAAGAAGAGAATATTGCAGCTAACAATCTGCTTCATTCAGCACATTCTTGATGATAATTTACTAGCTAACTGTGAAAAATCACCTGGGGATTACAAGAGCTGTAGAAAGTATCCATGAATGATATGATTTATGATACATCTGGAAGAAATTTCATTTCTGCAACAGCCAGGATTCAAAACTCTACATTTTAAAATTCTTCTATCTGTGAAATCATTTCTTCTTGCATATTATATTCTTCCACAGAGAAATGCCTAGCTTTGTCTTCTGTCACAGCTGGCCATTTTGACCAGCATTCAAAGAAAAACCACATACTGAATGAACAGCTGCTGATACAAAGAGGGATACAGTGCAAATGAAATACTAGATGTAAATAGTACTTAATTATTTGCATAATATGTAACACATTGGGAACAGAGCTAATTATTAATCAAGGTATAAGGCTGCCCAATCATACAGCAACAAAGCAACACTTTTGCCATGGTGTTGGAGAACACTTGCTCTTTCACATTTTAACATAGCAAACATCTTAGAATCTGACTGCTGCGTAAGTGTGAATATATGAAATTGGGTACAAAAAGGCAGATCTCAAAAACGAATCTGTGCACAGTGTCTTGTAAACAAGGCCCACTAAATTCTACATCGCTTACTTGCACCTTGGTGTGGGCAGAACTGTAACCAAAGTAACACAACTACCTATTTCTCTAGCATTGTTGGGAAAGGAAATCTAATAAACAATACAATTTTAGGTCCCCTAAAATGAAAAGAGAGGGTAGAAATGGGACTCAGTGCAGGAATACCAAACATTTACTATGTATACTTCAGTTAATAATGAATATTGTTAGAAAAGTGTGCCAGTGGTGCATGTGTATATCCATTTGCCCATTAGCAAAACTTGTTAGCACTCAGTATTTCCCTCAGAAAGGCAACCTTTGAGGCCCAAGCTGGCAAGAAGAGCCTATTTCAACTGACATACAGCACTGCTGGTGGGTTTCAGCATTAGGGCTAATTTAGGGTCCAAAACTACACCTGGAACCTCACCATCCTGAGACAAAATTCCTTAAAAGCTTAAGATAGATATTTACTTCTATCTGGAAACAGAAAAATGGAACGAGACCAGTGTGACCACCGTAAATGATATATGTCACAATGAATTTGGCAAAGGCATTTATTTAAGGCTAGAAGGATATCTTTACAAGTTATGAATAGCTTTTGCAAAACTATATATAATTTACTTCTCCATAAATTGATCAATAAAAAAATCCTTCAACAAGAGATGAATTTCCATACCCTCAGAGTTTTACCCACATGGAAAATTTACAATGAGGTGGAAGACATTTGTGCAGAGCTGTTCACCCCAATGTTTTATGAAGTTCTTCTTCTGAAACACGAAAAACTGGGTACAAAATAATCTGACATGGGCTAATAAGTCCTAAGAATTGAAAAGAAGTTAAGTCTCACTTCCTTGTTTCTTTGTTTTCATTGCTTGAATCTGTTAATATTCTACATAATTGAAATATATATAATTGAAATATAAATGTCTATAATTGAAATAATATATAGAATTATATTCATATGATCTGGAAACTTCCTTCAAATGAATTGAGAGCTTAACAGGCAGGAGGCAACACGAAAGTATTTTAGACGTTGCTTAGCTTTCCCCCCTCTCATATTTCCCAGTGGAAAGGCATGTGCAGCAGGAGAGGGGAAATTTGAGGCTTGAAACCACTAGTGAAACAATCTTCTTGTGCATTCGTTTGAGACATTCTCTTCCCTGGACTTTGAAAGATGGAAAATGTTCTACCTAAGCTGGGAAACATTGGGGAAGGGGGCAGGGAAGCTTGTCTATAGCTCAGTGGCAGGAGCACATACTTTACTTTATTAACTCCCAGGGTGGTTTCCAATAAAATTATAAAACTATAATAGAACATATCAAAATACACATAGGATAAAATCCAGTGTAAAATTATTACAAATGAAGAGCAGTAAATCTGGTGATTTACTGATTTCATCAGATTGAAATCAAACAACTCAAATCACTCATAGGCCTAAAAGAAGAGGTATGCGTTAACCAACCATCAAACATCAGAAGCTCATTAATGTTGTTGCATAGTGAGCCTTGTTCAACAGTGGGACATTAAATAGACTTTCCTTCTAAACACAGGCCCAGGCCACTCAGTAAAGGGAAAGGAAGAATAGGAGGTACCTTGGTCCTCGGTCATTCTGACTTTACAAATCAAACCATACTTTGGGCCTAGTAATATATAGGTAGCCAATGAAGATCCTTGGATCATCCAGTCCAGTACAACAGCATCTGACATATATAGCATGTAGAGACAGAGATGGGTGTCATTTGTATATTGGTGACACCAAGCCCCACCGCAATGAGTACCTCCAATGGCTTCATAATTATCATTGGGGGCAGAACTGAATCTTGCTGAATCCCACAGCACAACTGCCAAGGGATTAAGCAGGAGCTTCCCAATATCATTCTCTGCAGCTTGTCCGGCAGGAAGCAGCAGAATCATTGCATCGCTGTGCCTCCAACTCCCAACCCACTTCAGCAGTACGCCACGGGCAATGGTATCAAAAGTCGCTAAGAAATCTAAGAAACTCAATAGCGTTGCACTCCCCCTGTCTCTCTCCAATTAAAGGTCATCAACCAAAGTTGATCACCTCTGGGCCTGAAGCCAGACTGAAATAGTTCAAGAATTTGCATGCAGAAATTGAAGGTTCAACTCCTGGCAACACAAGCTGAAAAAGGAATAAAGTGCCAGGACTGAGAAAGACCACTATTCTAGAACATGGAAACAATTACTGGTCAAAGTAGACACCACTGAACTTGATGGACTAGTGTGACTTATCTCAGTACAAGTTAGCTTCCATGTGTTTAAACAATGATTTTCCACACCTGCAAGCCACTATGCTACAGCAACTTTTAGTATGCACTTCTCTACCTCTCTACCCTAGGCATGTGAAATAAATGATACCTTCTGATTAGGAAAATCTGTAATGATTTAGAACAGTTTGCAAGTTTGGTCCTGCAACTGTTAGTTTTAGGCAAATGAGCATTAAGAAAAACAAGCCGTAGTTACTGTTGTCAAAGTGAAAGCATAACAGTATCTTATGCTGGATCATTTTTATGCATGTCAGCTTAATAGCTTTTTACAAAACATTTTACTATCCATGTAAGTAAGCACCATTACAGAACTCTGACGTATTTTTAAACTCTCAAATTGTTTTCAAAAGGTCCATTCAAAGATTGTCAAGAAGCAAAACAAGCTGGCTACTCCAGCAGCGGGATTTATATGATCAAGCCTGAAAACAGCCATGGACCTGTGCAATTATGGTGTGAGAACAGCCTTGATCCTGGGGGCTGGACGGTTATACAAAAAAGAACAGATGGTTCTGTGAACTTCTTCACAAACTGGGACAATTACAAGGTAATCTTTTTTTAAAAAGACTCAGGCAGCCAACAAGTTATGGTGCACTGTAAAACAGAAATTATATGTTCCTTCCTCAGAATTATTTAAAGCATGTGTGCATTGGAGGCATCTCTGTACCTGCTTCAGAATTCTTATGTCAAAGCTGTTAACAATGGCCCCCTCTAGGTGCAATGTTAAGCCACACCATGGCTTAGCGCAAATGAACAAGCACTTGGGCTCCCACTTTGCTCTGCCTTGGTAGTTTTGCTGTTGCGCTGAGAAAAGTCTTAGCATGTCATCCAAACCTAGGGAGCCTTGTGGCTGAGCACTCTCCAGACAAACTACAAGCTTTAACTAAGCTTTGTCCTATGATTTACAGCTCATGGCTTGCCCAGGAGAGCTGAACTACAGGTTTGGACACCAGGCTAAGCCAAACCATGGTGTAATGGTTCCTAAGGGGTTGCTCGTGCGCAAGCAGGCAACTATCTCCCTGGCTGGGCTGCCAAAGTAAACCTTATCTGTCCGGACCGCCACTCACCCGTGGCTGACTCAGTCGCTGGCAGAATCCGTGAGTGGGCGTTTCTTAAACTTCTTCCAGCAAAGAAGCTCTTTGACGCCTAGTCTCCGCCTACCCTCTCTGCGCGAAAGCCTTCTGTGCAGGGAGGGCGTGGGCAACGGAGGACCGCTACTCTCCCTGCTGGTCCCAGGCAAGGAGTCATGGGACCGCCTCGCCACTTCCCCCACCTGCCCCCCTTCTCCACTGGTGCTACGCTGATTCTCTTCCCCAGAAGATGGGCTGCTTCTCCCAATCCCGGGACGCTCTCTGGAATCCCTCTGGCTTTTGCTCTCTCCCCCCGGCACTGATGGCAGTTCCCTGACACATGGCTTAGCACAGTGCAATAGAAAAGTGACCAGGAAGGAGCAAAGAGTCTACTTTTAGTGCAATCCTCTACATGTGTACTCATAATTAAGCCTCACTGAGTTCAGTGGGACATACTCTGAGATAACCATGTATAGGTTTGCAGCCATAATCTCACTTTATGTCCATCCCTTTCCCTTCCATTTTGTCCTGTCAATATTTAAGATTATGATATTTTAATTCCTTATTAAGCATTTTAATTGTTATACAAATTTGATAGTCATTCAGTTAAAAAACTCTTAGTCTGCAATCCTAGACATACTAAGAAGTTCCACTGAACAAACCTATTTCTAAATAAGTATGCATAGAATTGTGCTGTTAGTTAGCTGCTAGTCTTAGTTCATTAAAAAATTAAATCTGTGTATTAGCAAAAAGCAGAAATACTGAATCAAAACACGTATTTTTAGATGATAAAAAGGAGGTATTTCATCCCTTAGTCTCTAAAAAAGTAAGAAATGACCCTTCTAAGATGGAATTTGCTATCTGCAGTTTTAAAAAACGCATGGATTCAAATAAATTGTTTAAAAGCTGCTTCCTGATTAATTGGAGTACCATTTAAGTTGATTAATAATAATGTATTAACCAAACTGCAGCCATAAATATTGCAGCCATATGAATAAGTAACAATCTTTACCATCACAAAAAAATAACTGAAAGCAGATAAGCAGTCTGAGAATGAAGATGCAGTGGGGCAATCCTCTACCCATATGACACCCCCCTGGCTGGTTCAGAAGGAGTATCTTATATGGGTTCTGTTTTCATCCCTGCATAGAGAAGGAACCATTATGAACTCAGCCTAGAATCATGCGTGGTGTTCACGAATTGGATGTACTGAATAGGCATAGCCAAAATCTATGGAGGTGGGTAGAATTCTGTGGCAGGTCTGCTCTAATGGCAGAACAAAGACCACCCTCTTCTGAAAATGGCAGTCCATGTTGAGCCACCTCTCTCCATAGTATTTGGTACAACATAATGAATGTTGTGAGTTGAGCCACCTCTCCCCATAGTATTTGGTACAACATAATGTATGTTGTGAGCATCTTACCAGCCAAAGATGCGGGAGGTGGTACAAGGAAACATACAGCAGGACATGAGGTGAATTGTGCTAGATACTACAAAGGAAAAGGGAAGAAGATGAACAATACACATCTTTCTTTGAACTCTCCCATCAATTAGGGTTCAGTATTGATTGGAAATTTATCCCAGTGTTTAAAGACACCACTTATAGTTATGTGATATATTAACAGTAAATAAATAACTTTCTAATTGAACTACAAGGCAATCTAATCAGAATTGTTTTGTTTTAACAGAAAGGATTTGGAAATGTTGCTGGAGAATACTGGCTGGGACTGGAAAATATTTACTTACTTTCCAATCAGGACAATTACAGACTTCTGATTGAGTTAGAAGACTGGAGTAATAAGAAAGTCTATGCAGAATACAGCAGTTTCCGACTGGAACCAGAAAACGAATTCTATCGATTGCGTCTAGGCACTTATCAAGGGAATGCTGGTGACTCCATGATATGGCACAATGGGAAACAATTTACAACACTGGACCGAGACAGAGATATGTACACAGGTAGGAAATACAACAGTATATAAATCTACTGTTTCTTATTACAAGAAAGAATTGAGGAAATAATTCTGATCAAGTGAAGCAAAATTTAGAAAACAAACAAAACTATCCTCTAATGTTCAAGCTCATACACAAAGCATCTTCATGTACGATGACTCAAACATGCACAACTGGCACGTTACTTTTGGCAATGGTAAAACCACGTTAATTTCACACAGCAAATGTTCAAACGCACCTTCATATCCTGAGAACTACTATTTACCATGCCAGAATAAATATGGGGCCAGCAAGCCTTGCTCTGCCATCAGAAATTACCCATTCACACTATGTAAGGGCACATTCAAAGCTAGAAATACATAAAACTACATGCATTCAACATGTAGGGACTTGCCTTTATCCAAATCTAGTGAAAGATTTGGGGCTTAAAGAAGACTGCAAAGTACAGGTTCATAGTAACTTCTGAAGAATATAAGACACAGAATATAAGGAAGGTACTGTATTATACTCAATGTATCCAAAACAAATTACACCAATAAATATGCAATGAAACCAAACAAAACACTGTTAATCAGAAAAAAACAAATCAGACACTGGGTTTCGACAGCTTATTCTTTCTCAGTTCAGACAATTTTTCAACTGCCCTTGGAAGGAGTGGTAACAGCCAAGCTCCATCCTTTCGTTAGTCACAAAAGCATAAGAAGAACTAAGGTAGCAAAAAACAGAGGATAAAATAAAGATAGGAAGAAGGACTTCCCCAAGACTCAAACTAAAAAAAAGAAAAAAAAGGTAAAGGACCCCTGACAGTTAAGTCCAGTCACAGGCGACTCTGGGGTTGCGGCGCTCATCTCGCTTTACAGGCCGAGGGAGCCGGCGTTTGTCCGCAGACAGTTTTTCCTGGTCATGTGGCCAGTATGACTAAGCTGCTTCTGGCGCAATGGAACACTGAAACCAGAGCAGTGCATGGAAATGCTGTTTACCTTCCTGCCAGAGCGGTATCTATTTATCTACTTGCACTTTTGGGTGTGATTTCGAACTGCTAGGTGGGCAGGAGCAGGGACTGAGCAACGGGAGCTTACCCTGTCGCAGGGATTTGAACTGCCGACCTTCTGATCGGCAAGCCCAAGTGGCTCAGTGGTTTAGACCACATTGCCACCCGCGTCCCTTAAGACTCAAACTAGAGCTAAAATCCAGAGGGACAAAATGGGTGAATGAAACCTAACCCCCCCCCCCCCGTATCTTATCCTTTGAGCAGGAAAGCATGGCAATGGTTAAGGCAGGATTCTATCCTCCTTACTGCTGCCCACCTAGCAGTTTGAAAGCACGTCAAAGTGCAAGTAAATAAATAGGTACTGCTCCGGCGGGAAGTAAATGGCATTTCCGTGTGCTGCTCTGGTTCGCCAGAAGCGGCTTAGTCATGCTGGCCACATGACCCGGAAGCTGTCTGGGGACAAACGCTGGCTCCCTCGGCCAGTAAAGCGAGATGAGCACCGCAACCCCAGAGTCGTCTGCGACTGGACCTAACAGTCAGTGGTCCCTTTACCTTTACCTTTACAGGATCAAAGAAACCTGTTGCAAGTAACTTTGTGAAATTTCCACTGAAGCAAAGGGGATAAAGGTAGAAAGGTATTCTCAAGACAAGAGTGGACCCTGTTTCAGAGTGAGATATAATTCCTTCTAGAGTAAGGAGCAATAGGCAAGTACAACACATCCCCATACTCAAGATGCTTTTGGGCAAAAGCACAAATATTGTGACAGGGTTCTCAGTTCTGAAACACTCATAAATAATTGTAAGTAGGAAAAGCTCTATGAACACTAGACATATTAGCAAGTACATACAGATCCTCACTTACTCCCCACAAAGAAGGAGCACACACACCATGGAGCTCTATTAGGGAAGCTTATACATAGCAGTACTATTCTCTTAGAAACTGAAGTGAGAATACTGAGGTAGGAACACGTCTCCTAGGTCTTGAGAATGACTGCCAGAACAGTCAATTGTCTCTTGAACAAGGACAATGACCTAGTTCTAGAAGAACAACATGCAAAAGGCACAATTTCCTTAACAGAGACCTTTACATTCCTTAGCAAGACCCTTACATTTTATTTGCATGGTGAAGGCCCTTTCAAGCAACCTCACAGACCTGGTTTGCGACATCTAGAAGTCTACAACTTCTTCAGAATGCCAAGACCTTAGGAAGGAGCACCACTCAACCACTATGTATTTTAATCTTTGTTGGAAGCCGCCCAGAGTGGCTGGGGAAACCCAGCCAGATGGGCAGGGTACAAATAATAAATTACTATTACTATTACTATGTGGGCACAAAGAATCATGGTAGGTTTGGCTAACACAGGACCCTATATCAGCAAGTCCTGTTCTGCTGTAAGTTGCAAAGTGAGAGGTATGGGCAGTGCCACCAGAGCTAGAGACTTTGCAGCTAAGGAAACCACACAAAATATCTCTACTTCCTCTTGTCTTATCTTTAGAGACTGAGAGGAGTGGGAGGGAAAGCTCAAAGTTGACCAATGAAGACAGAACCATTTCTTCACCAAAAGACATGGGACCATTTTTAAAATTAGCCCTGACTCTGATTTCCAATGGGAGAAGAAGCTACTTGCTCAGCGATGCGATGCCACACTCTACTAAATTGGGGTTGAGGTCAGGGGAATGTTGCAAGATCACAGCTAGGAGAGAAATGTGCTTGCAAGCTTAAGCTTCCTATTGGTTCAAAATACAAAGACTATTAAAGTAAGTTATTTCCGCTGTGAAATTTCACTTAACGTTTCATTTCTTCATACAGGAAACTGTGCCCATTTTCACAAAGGAGGTTGGTGGTACAATGCCTGTGCTCATTCTAACCTCAATGGAGTTTGGTACAGAGGAGGACATTACAGAAGCAAGCACCAGGATGGGATTTTTTGGGCTGAGTACAGAGGCGGATCATACTCGCTAAAAGCCGTTCAGATGATGATCAGACCCATTGATTGAGATGCTCAAAAACATTTCCAAAATATTCTCTTGAACTTCAAACCGATGTTACATTTTGAGTTGTTTGCAAGCCCTACAAAGTATTATTTTAAACATTTCTTACTGTGATATTGTATATGATAATTATGCAAGTTCTAATTGCTCACAAAGGAAGCAGGATTCTGCATTTAAAATAAATTTATGTTAATACAAGGTGTATGGGATTTAGTGGCAGTAATTAAACCTAACAATTTTGCAGGCTACAAGAAAACATCACGGATGCAGAATAGTTGAACTTTGGAACTGAAGTACAAGATGCTGCTGCTGTGTGAAGCATGCAACTCAATTCATTTTCATAGATTTAAATCTATTTAAGTTTTATTTCAAGGATTACTTCCAGTGGAAATCTAATTTTGAGATGTGGGCACACAAGTCACAAAACAGACAATGAACTAGAGAGCAACTCTGGTTTTGCAGGCGAATTTTGCATCAATAAAAGTATTCTTATTTTAAAACAGTAATGGTAACTATCATTAAGTATAGCTTTTACAGGACATGTGAACTTTGCTGCCCTTCGGATAGGAGGGCATCATGCCTAAACCTTAATCCTAAATATGAATAAAATAATAATAAAACAAGTATTTATATAGCATTTCCCCTAAGTGTTCAATATCCTTCACGTAGGTTCTGAGTAACCCATTCATGATACTGTGAGGCAGGCTAATATTATTATTAGGCCTGTGTTGCAGATTGGGATTCAGTCCGAAAGATAAGCCATGCAGTGAGTTTAAGGCTAGACTGACTGAGGGACTTTCCAACTACGGGTAATTTGTTCATGTGATTAACTCTATAGAGTGTACCAAACATGTTACTTGGAAATAACTTGGTGGTCCAGCAGTACTTCTAACTGAGTAATGCATTTAGCACAGAGGTCGTCAAACTAAGGCCCACAGGCCAGATATGACCCACCGGGCTCGTTAATCTGACCCGCAACCTTGCAGACCCTGCCGCCCACTCAGTCAGTCCCCACGCTAAACAGGCGCAGTGCAGAGGCCTCGCCGCACGGAGACTGACTTCCATGACAGACATGGCACGGCTTCTGATTGGCTGCAGGAAGCTCCTGCAGCCAATCAGAAGCCACGGACGCTTCTGGGCGCTGCCCCTTCCTTCCTGCTGAGGTGGCCGAGCAGGAGGAAGCGGCTAAGCGGGAAGGAACGGCAGTGGCGCGGAGGCTGCCGACGACGAGGCAGCATCGGTGGCTGCGGTGCCTTTCGGGAGGGGGGTGCTTTCGGCAGGTAGTGGGTCCAGCCCCCCACAAGATCTGAGGGACAGTGGACTGGCCCCCTCCTGAAAAAGTTTGCTGACCCCTGATTTAGCATCTTGGCATAACCTCTGGAGCTGACTGGGAAGTGTGAGGGAGGAGGGGGAAGGGGAAGCTATTGTGCGTTTCTTGGTGTAACACTGGATTTCACCCAGTGAAATTCATGGAGTAGCAACTGTTTTATTTGTCAGGTTTCTTAAAATTCTGACATTTACCCAATTTAAACACCCTACTCTGTTTAAGCTATAACTGGTAAGTGGACAGGCTACAGTGGGGACCTTCCTTCCTATAATCTCTTAATAAATGCTCTGTCTGCCATAAAATAATTAGATAGCACTGGATTTGGTACTTTAGGGTTGCCAAAATGACTGGGAAGTGGTTCTTATTCATTTAATTCCTTCGTGTTAGGGAAACACTTGCAACAGCTGCTTTTTCCCTCCACAACAGAGAGTAGACAAGAAGGCGCTGGACTGGAGAGAGGTCTGGAGATCACAGCCTATTAATCTGAATTTTTGAAGCTTGAACAGTTACAGGTTACTGAAAAGGCCAAAATGTATCTGAACTACATTTTTAAAACTTGGGTGTTCTCCCCTCATTAAACCTTACTTCCAGCAATCAGGAGCAGCAGAAAAGTATTTCAAGCAGCCAGATGAATGTGGATTTTGTTTTTGCATTATTTTGACAGTGCCACATACCATTCTGAGTTTTTAGAAACTAGTTTTAAAAACAGCAGCTGGGTTGTCAAGAGCACAGTGTGAAATACCCTCAGTAATTTCCGCTTGGTTCAACTCTGAAAACCTCATTCTTTTTTAAAAACTGAAATCTCTTTTTAGAATACATTACTATTAAACATTTGGCTACAAGTTATTCCAATAAGCTCATGTGAGTGGTTGACAGATACTGCTCACATTCCTAAAACTGTATCTACAAGCATGCAAAACGACTGTATATTATGATTTTTTAAGAACTGTTTTAATGAAACAGCGCAAGACCCTAGCTATACTCAACTTCAAAACTTCTGGTTCACTTCTTCGAATTAAAGAAGAAGGAGCGTACCCAAATGGCTTCTTGAATGGGACTTTTCAACCATAGTACTCTCACCTCAGTTCCATAAAATAACTTGTCTGCTCACCAAAAATAAGAACCCCTGCCCTTCTGATATGACTAGCACAAAAGGTTCAGCACTACAAAGAGAAATATACTTCTCCACGGATAATTTGGGGGGAGGCAAAAAGGGGTGGTTTTTCCGTTTGTGCAAGGACATGAGCAAAAGAAACCCATCCAAGGAAGGGTCAGTGCTTATCAAAGACCTTGACACCCTAACAAGTGAAACCAATATTGGTGGGCCAAGACCCCAGTAGCATCTCAAGTGGCATTCCATAAAGTATAATGGGCTGCCCCCAGAAGGAGAAAGCCAGCATGGAAACATGCACGCTGCATGCACAGAGTAACTGTCCACATGCACACGGTCCCCCTCTTAAGATATTGACCAATGCAAGAAATATGAAAGTTGCCAGATTACTACAAAATTAACATTCAGTGGGCGACTATACAGCAAGAAGATGTAAATGTATGTAGGACTTTCATATAAAAAATATTATTTGCCCCAGGAAAAAACATGCACATTAAGCACTAAATAAAAATGCAGCATTTTAGAAGTGAAATTATTTTTCTTCGTTATAACAGCGTCTTGATTTTCAGCTGTGCTGCCTTATGGTTTATGAGCAAAACAGGATGAGAAAGCAATACATGGAGTGATTTTTGTTGGGTTCTAAATCAATGTTGTATTTTTCTCTGTTCTAAAGGATATGCATATGGAACAAAACATATGGTGATAAAAAAATGGGTGCAATCCAATAATGACGACCTGTTCATGCATTTGAGTTCTCTTCCCTTTCCTCCCCTGCAGTTACCGTATTTTTCGCTCTATAACACGCACCCGACCATAACACGCACGTAGTTTTTAGAGGAGGAAAATCCGTAGGCATGCCACCTGTAGGCATTCCCTCCATAACACGCACAGACATTTCCCCTTACTTTTTAAGAGGAAAAAAGTGAGTGTTATGGTGCAAAAAATACGGTACTTAAGCCCCGCCACAATCTGGGGGTTGGGGACCTTCTCTGCGCACAAAGGGAAGGGAAGGAAACAAATCTTGTCCAGTTGTGTGACACTGAATCATACGCAGTATCAGTAAGACTGGACAAACTTCCTGTATGCCGGAGCTTTGTAAGAGCATCTCATGCCACACTGAGGTAACTGTCAATGAATTTAAACATTTAAAAACTCCCCTCCTGCTCTGTTCTATGCTCTTAACAAACAGGAAGCCACAAATGTGGCTGCCAAGGTAAACTGGATGCAATTCCAACAAAATGAGGCACAGCCCCCAATCCAAAGAAATAATTGTATTCTGCATGGTTGTTTTTTTAAAAGAAGGAACAGCCAGCATTTCCCCTATTCAGTAACATAGCAATGGGGACAGACAACCTCTGCTAGATCAATAATGCTGCCACAACCACAAATCTTTAAGATGAGAAGAGACTTTAAAATCCCTTGGTCATATTCACATCCCTCTCACATTTGTATATGCCTTCTTTGACAGCTGCATTTAGCCCCTCCACTGTGACCTCAGGAGGGTTCCTCTCTCTTCTCCTGGCTGTGCTCTTTGAAACAGAGGATACTTGAAAAGCCATTAAAAATGCTGCCGCCATCATTTACCCCCACCCTTTCCCCTATGGTTGGTGGAAGGAAGGAAGGAAGGAAGGAAGGAAGGAGTTGGCCTAACGTAGGGTCCATACAGGCAGGGGCGTCCGAAGTGGGGGGCGGGCTGCCCCAGGTGCCACTCGGGGGTGTGTGTGAAAAGATGGCCCCTGCCTCCCCCCCAGCTGTAGAGCGGCCGAGGGCACGTGCAGTCAGTATGGATGCCACGCATGCGCACTCCGTACGGGATGCCGCACATGCACAGTCTGTACAGGATGCCGCTTGCGCAGCAGCCCGTATGGATGCCATGCGAGAGGCAGCCCGTACGGACTGCGAATGTGCGGCATCCCGTACGGAGTGCGCATGTGCGGAAGCCCATACAGCCGTCGCACATGCGCAGTCCGTACAGACGTAGCGCATGCCATCACCGGGTGGTTTGCCCCGCCCCTTGGCATAACACCCCAGGTGCTGGAGAGGGTTCCTCCTCCACTGCATACAGGTACTAATATTTTTATGATATAAGTAAACAAAGTTAAAACGTTCATCTTACCTAAATAAGGAATGCAAGGAGTCATCTTCAAGCTGTTTATATAGTTTCTAAGTCTCTTATAATTTTCTTCTTTACTCATTACATATTCCAGCTTCTCAAAAGTAGTTTTGTCCTTTCGGCTCAGTAGCTTTAGGGAGAGGGGAAGAACCAAAATATAGTTATTAGGAAACCAGTGGCTTCTCCCCCCCCCCAAACAAGTTAACAATTATTTTGTACTATGCATAAGGAAATACTGTACTGAAAAGTTACAACTGTTTTATCATATACAATTTGAAAGCATTTTAATTGTGAAAAGTTCTGAGCCGTGCTATATTGTATATTACTATAGTAGTTTGATGACGCAGGATTAGTACTTTGACAATACAGGGTTTCTTTTAAGTCTAAATAGTAGCCAGAGGTGGGGGAAAGAATGTTTTGTGCCTTCAGCTAATTGAATTAATTAAAGGATTAATTATCAAGTCTCAATATGAATTGCTCTAAGCAGCTAACAATACAGTCAAAGCAGTGTGAATTAAAAAAAAAATCATCAGAAAATAGATGCATTTGTAAACTGATATATTGTTGAGCTATCATAGCAGAACTTCATAGATGGCTAGTAAAAACTAACATCACCAAGTCCAGTCACAATTTGTGGGCCTATGGTACAAAAATAATTTTTGGAACAACTATGCGGTTCAATTTACAGAGTGGTATTAATGTCTGAGATTAGAAGGGAAACTGTCAGCAGGACAAGGAAGAAAAAAGCATTTGACAACCCCCCCTCCCTCTGACAGCACTCATTCTCCAGAGGCTTGGGGGAACCCACCAAAGCAGATTTAGGAAGACATGGACCATGGGTAGGCAAACTAAGGCCCGAGGGCTGGATCTGGCCCAATCACCTTCTAAATCTGGCCCACAGATGGTCCGGGAATCAGCATGCTTTTACATGAGTAGAATGTGTGCTTTTATTTAAAATGCATCTCTGGGTTATTTGTGGGGCATAGGAATTCATTCATCCCCCCCCAAAAAAATATAGTCTGGCCCCCCACAAGGTCTGAGGGACAGTGGACCGGCCCCTTGCTGAAAAAGTTTGCTGACCCTTGACATGGACGATGCTGAAAAGTGGAGATGGAAGATTGTCAGAAATGCTTTCCCTCTCCTGTCAGTAGGCAGTACCACTGGGCGTCACCCAATAATATTACCGTTTCAAACCATCCTGAAAGCACAAACTGCTGTAGCAAGGGGTAGACTCCATGAGAGTGAAAGAGTAACACACACACACACACACACACACACACACACCTCAAAAAGAATTCTTATGTCGTACACACAGCCACTGAGTCAGTTATAGTTCTCACCTGGGATGATAAATGAATGTTTACAGAAGGATGCCAAATTACAGAACGGTTGAATGAATATTAACAGAAGGGGCACTGAATCACTCGCTAGGAGTCTATTTAACAGAGAACCAAAACAGACAAACACGAAGGAAGGGCGTTGATAATCTAAGCTTTCTGAGAGAGCAGAACATCTGTGCTTTCAGATCAGACCGTCAGGAATAAGTGAAGATGAACGGTCACTCATAAGGATAGACTTCAAAGGGAACTGAAGGGATTTAGGTAAGTTTATATTATGTGCAACACCAGGGAGCCAACTTGAATAAAATATTGTGGGGGCCCAGGTAAGCCTCACCCCACATAATCGGCCATATGATGCCGCGCGTGCACACACACAGCATTTGAATGGGAATGCCCATCAACTTTGTGGAGGCCCAGCCCCCTCAAATATTTTATTGTGGGGGAGGCCGAAGTCTCAACAGCCCCTAGGCATTGGCTCCTATGGTGCAACAAGTATCCTATGTGAAATCAACTACAGGCAGGCCCCATTTATGCGGGCCCCACACACGTGTCTGTATAATTGAAACCCCCTTAAAAAGCCTACAGACACCCTGTTCTGCCCCGCCCCCATCATGCTCTTTTAGTGACATTTCAGTGACGTCTTTATGACATTTCCAGGTCCCTTCCAGATTCGGTGCGATGCCCGTATACACAGTTGCACACATACTGGACACCTGTAAACGGGGAGCTGCCTGTAAACAGCCTCTCCTGGTATGCCCCACGGAGGACCTTACGGTCTGCAAATAACAACAGCCTAAAGATTCCGGGCCCCAGAGAGATCAGACTGGCCTCGACCAGAGCCAGGGCCTTTTCGGCCGTGGCCCCGGCCTGGTGGAACACTCTCTCACAACAGACTAGGGCCCTGCGGGATTTGACATCTTTCCGTAGGGCCTGCAAGAAGGAGCTGTTCCGCCAGGGCTTTGGTATGAGTTCAGTCTGACTCATTTTCAAGCACAAAGGAGGTTCCCAGCCCACTCATAGGTGCTTATAATATCAGTGGAAACAGTTGGTAACTGCCTTCACTTTTAACCTGAAGATTGCCACTTGTCCAGTTTTAATTTTAATTTGTTTGAATTAATTGCGGGACGTATCTTAATTTATTGATTGCTTGTTTTTATGCATTGTCTTACTTGTATGATGTTTGCCGCTCTGAGCCCGGCTTTGGCCGGAGGGCGGGATATAAATAAATTATTATTATTATTATTATTATTATTAATCATTCCGCTTCCACTGCACAAATCCCTAACTCAATGTCAACACCCGAGTTCACTCACCGCCCAAGTTTTGGTCAACCTGAAGATGGGGGCACTTTGTAATCCAGACACCACAGCCATAAGAGCATGTAGATTATTCAACTCATAGAGTTTCTGAGAACAGAACAAAACAGAAGTTTAATGTCTAGTACTTTAATGTATTGAGTTTGCCACAACTTAAATTATCAGCCTATTTTACAAAAGTCAAGTGGCATCATGAACAAAAAACTGAAAAACGGAGGAAAATTATACCTCTCCAAATAATTATGATAAAGGTGTAAGTGAAAAGCATACCTTCATGACTACGACATAATAGATAAGCTTTGTGTGTGACCTTGGTCTGAAATAGACTAAACACTGGCCAATAAACCATAGTTAAGTCACCAATCCAAACACCCATGGACAGTGATGTGGCATTCCTGACTTAGTCATATACTAGCCACTGGATGGAAAATAATCATTTATCTGCATCATGTCCCAGAAAATATTCTTGCCACACCATACCCCAAACAAATGAATTAGCAATATTACACTTAACACCTTGATTGCTCTTTCAAAGTATAATCAGGAATCATCATCATTGAATCATTGTTCAAATATTCCAGGTTAGAGTTCATATAACTAACAGGGCCACACATTTCCTCTAGTCATATGTTAATGGAGCCAAATATTTACTGAGCGTACTTGTAAACCTAGGTCTCTATCAACCCTGATAAAGGCTCCAGAACAAAAGTTTCTTACCTTAGCTGTTTTAATATAGTGGCTCAGAACTTCAGCTCGTATTTTTAAGGTCTGTGCATGAAGAATCTCTCTAACTACCCAAAAACTTACCTAAAAAAAAGAAAGTGATAATAATACATATAAAAACAGAAAATAAAAAGTGGTATTGTTATAAGACTGGGGATTTTGGCATTCTCATGTGTTTTCACATTATGAAAACTGATTTTCGTTAGCAGCCTAATTAGTTACCAGAAACATGCAAATTCATTCACTACTATGAGCATTTCTAAAGTTTTGCTGTTTAATCTAATTATATTAACAGGCTATATTTAACAAGAATTGCATAGTGAACCTACTAAGAAGATAAAATGTGTAACATGTATACATAGTACCAATACTTAAAAATATTAAATACTATAACTAATTCAAACTTACTACTACCATACCATGAAATTGATATTATATCAATTTCAACCCCAATACAAATTTCAGTTTCAATAAATGCCTCCCCAAATGCCTGTCATCAACAATGGGAGGAAAGCTGCTCTTTGCATTCTGAAATAGCAGCTGTGTTGGGTGTGACCGATTCTGCTCAGGACTGTGGCAGGAGCAAAGAGCTATCCCCACTCTGCTGTGCTGCCTACAACGAACAGATGGCCTATCCTTATTCACCATACATAACCTAGCTACATATATTAGATTAAATAAAGTAGTAAGTATTATTAATCAGTAGGCTATATTATATAAATCAGTAGGCTGACAAGGCTACACTGAATGTACAGGTAATATACCTCTGTGAACTGAAAATGATCCTAAGCTGTGAATACTGATCCATTCCTCCCCCCTTTCCCTTGTTTTGTTTTACTTTTCTTTTTATTGTTAGCTATATAAACACAACACCCCCAATTCAATAAAGCAGTGTTTTTCTGGGGGGCAGGGGTACGCATACCCCTAAACATTTTGTGAATCTGTTTGGTCTCATTGAGGGGCAGTATTTCAATATGAGTACCCCTACACATTTTTTTAAGAAAAAAGCACTGCAATAAAGTATTGCTATTAATAATAAAAATGGCACAAAGGCAAACTATATGGTGAGCATCACATCTAATTTGGCATTGACTTTTAGCCTTTACTGCAGGCACTGTGATCACTGCAGATGGTGACAGCAGTCACAAAATTAAAAGATGCCTGCTTCTTGGGAGAAATGCAATGACAAACCTAGACAGCATCTTAAAAAAGCAGAGACACCACCTTGCCAACAAAGGTCTGTATAGTTAAAGCTATGGTTTTCCTAGTAGTGATGTATGGAAGTGAGAGCTGGACCATAAAGAAGGCTGATCGCCAAAGAATTGATGCTTTTGAATTATGGTGGAGGAGGAGACTCTTGAGAGTCCCACGGACTGCAAGAAGATCAAACCAACCATCCTGAAGGAAATCAGACCTGAGTGCTCACTGGAAGGACAGATCCTGAAGCTGAGGCTCCAATACTTTGGCCACCTCATGAGAAGAGAAGACTCCCTGGAAAAGACCCTGATGTTGGGAAAGATGGAGGGCACAAGGAGAAGGGGACGACAGAGGGCGAGATGGTTGGACAGTGTTCCAAACTGCGGAAGGCAGTGGAAGACAGGAGTGCCTGGTATGCTCTGGTCCATGGGGTCACAAAGAATCGTACACGACTAAATGACTAAACAACAACAACAAAGCAGGCATTGTGAATTTAAGGGAGAAAGGGAAATCAAGAAGCTAGGAGGTACTAAAACTTACATGCTGATTTGAGCAACAGGGAATTATTTGAACACATATTTCAGGTACAGTGGACGCTCGGGTTGCGAATGTGATCCATGAGGGATGCACTTTTGCAGCCCTTAGCAGCGCATCTGCGTACGTGCGGGTTGCGATTTGGCACTTCTGTGCATGCGTGACCACCGAAACCCAGAAGTAACCCGTTCCGGTACTTCCAGGTTTCGGTGGTCTATAACTCAAAAAAACGCAACCTGAAGCGTCTGTAACCCGAGGTATGACTGTACACAGCATGTGGTGAGAAACAGTCTCGACATTGAAGTCTGCATCTTTTAGAGAATTGTAAAGTTTAGTTTCCAATAAATGTAGGAATGTGTTTCTTCAGAAATTTAGCTGGATTTGTCACTCCAATCAAGTGTTTACCTAGTTTATCTCATAATGAAGTTGTAGAGCCTCACATTTGTTTATATATAATACAGCCATGGAATTCACCTCTCTTTAGTTCTGCATTGCTGTTGATGCCACAGAGACTCTGGAATTCCAAACCAAAACCCAAAGTTTACCACTAAAATAATTTAAAGTTGGAAAGCTTTTCCAAAGCATAAAAATTTATATAAGGGAGGCGTTTGTGCTTTAATGTACTGTTGAAAAGGAAAAAATGACAAGAGAGAAATATGTCTCTTATGGCTTTGGAACAGAGGCTAGACTCGTGACTAATGTAACAAACACACATGCACAATGGGACTCTGAACTTGCCATCATGCAATAACTGCTGCCTTCTTGCACACCTGTCACCTCACGTGATTTGAAGGGCCTTTCTGAATAAATTGGTGATGTGTCATTGTTCTGGGCGGGTGGGAGTCATCCTGGGTGTGCACAGGCTCTTGAGAATGCCTAGAGGAAATCTCAATGTCCAGGCCAATATAGTGGCAGCAGTAAGCAGGGCTGATATTTACGCTATATGAAGAAGTCCTTTTGAGCACTGGAATCCCTGAACAAATAGACACTCCTGCTCACACATATTTTCTCAGCAGATATGTTCTATGTATTCTACAATTTTGGTTTTGGATTTAATATAAAGAGTCAAGAATTTCAGAATTCTGCATTAATTCCTGAAAAAAATGAGATTCAGGGTGTTGTGAGAAGTCAGGCAATGGTACTTACATACGGAGCGACCCTGCTCAATTTCTGTTAGCAGAATCATAGCGGCCAACACAGCCCACCCTAAACAGTCCACACTTATCTAATTAGTAAAAGAATTGCATCTCCCTGCTACTCAAGCAGAAATATGGTCTGCACTTGGGACACTCTGCCCTGATTAGGTATTGACCATCACCTTTCCCCCCTAGGACTGTCCAATCAGTCTGTGACAGGAAACTTGTATTTTTTTTATGTGCAGTGACAACCACACATAAAACTATTATTTTGGAGTACTCCTTCCATCCAGCCTAATCCTCAGTCCAATCACCTTTCATCTTGGGCATCCCCTACCCTGGAAACCAAATATTTAATTATCTTCCACCATGAAACAACACTGTTCTGTCTTCCTCAATCCAGCTGTTCTATGGTTCCGTCTGTTCCACCCAGCCAGCCAATAGTTCAGCCTGCTGCTCGACCTCCATGGGATACTTCAAGACAGGCTGCTCCACCTTTAAATAGCCTGTTCCCATGCTTTCTTCCCCTTGTGTCATTATGTATTTCCTGTGTTTGTTATTTTCCACAGCTGGAATTAGGAATCTTGAGGGAATACAATCCCTTAAGAAAAATTCTCTATTCCAGCAACATATGAGTTGAGTTCTATGGAACCCAGGTTGCTTGTTTGGGAACCACAAAGCATTGACCTAAATTGTGACAAATGAAGCTTGGTGGGCCTTTGGGGCTCCCACTGCATTGCTGGGCTATCTATGAATATCCTGGAAAATATTTTGTTACCGCCCCTTAACTCTGCTGATTCCGGATTCCTAATATCACTCCCCTGGAATAACATCCTCCAGTCCTGTAATGCTCCGACTCATTAAGTATAAGCAAACAAGTTAAGTATATGCCATTGGTCCAGGAAACATATGTAGCCTGTACAAATGAGCTAACTCACTGCATTGGGCAATTTTACGCTGCAAAGCCATTTTACTTTCTGACTGCCATTTTGACTTTGTACCTAAATGGACCATTTTTATTGACACCAAAATTGGGATTTGGTAGCTCTTGCTATTCACCTTGTTAGTTAAGTACAGTGCAATATCCTCCATAGTATGCTATCACCCTAGAGCAAAGATTTTTTTAAAAAATATAATGCCCCTGTATGTTATATGCATCCTACATTTATTTGAAAACTTAACTGTGCAATATGGCATGAAAACTGAGAGGAACCAAATAAATGCTGCTGCCCATAATGCCAAATAGTAGTGATACGACAGAATTCAAATAGTATACAAAAATCAAACGGCACCTAGCACAGCTGCTATAAGCAAGACCTGCTGCCTCCCTCCCTTGGAAACGACTTGCTTGCCCTGTTATATGTTAGTCCCCACTAATACGTATTACTTATTATCATTATCATTTATTAAATTTGTATACCACCCTTCATCCACAGATCTCAATTTGCAACATAAAAATTCAAGATAAAAAACACAAAATACAGAATAATAACAAGAACGAAAGCAAACCAATTACCCCCACACCCCGTCAAAACTTCCTCTGTGTGCACCTGATTTTCAGAGGTAAGGTATACTCTGCTTCAGTGCCTGTACATCATGAAAACATTCTGTAATAAAAAGTTTAATCTGTTCGTCTCTGAAACTTCCTCATATAGTCATTGCATGCAGCCCCTCAGGAGCCATCCAGGAAGGCAGGAGCCCCCTCTTGAGGGTCCAGGTGGACAGATCTCCAGAACACTAGTCCATCTCCCCAAAGTTTTAAAACAATGTCTATGCGGCCACAGAATCCAACCATAGCTGTTAAGTAAGCAACCTGTTCTTTCTGTAAAAAGGTGTGAATTCCACTTGAATATACAGCAATTGCTAATGCATAAAATCATTTATTTTCTACTTTTTGTTCACTTTTTTCTACTGAAATCACTCTCCTTCAAGACTATTTCTGAATATAAACAGTACAATGAAAACCATCTTCCAGTTTTCTTCCACTCTTCCGAAAAGTGTAACAGTATTCACATTTGGCAAGGATGGTAGTAGTAAATGGCTTACAGATGGCTTTTAGTAAGAGCATTCTGAATTTTAAAACTAGCAGGGGTATTGTGCAGTAGACTGTAGTATGTCAAGAGGGTTCTAGTATTTCCATGGCTAATTAGTTAACTACTTTCACATCTGTAGAAGCTGTGCTAAAGTGCATGAGTAACCTCTAAACTCAGATTTTGAAGTAGGGGAAGTAGGTGATGCAAATTGCAGTTTCTACATATATTGTACCTTTCACCTCCAGTTTGTGAAGAAAAGCCCCATTGTCTGGAATTAACTATGTTGTGTGAGAACTGCTGCTACACTGGTGTCAATTATTTGTCTGAAAATCTATGTCTCATGGAATGTGCATATTCCAATACAGTGGTGCCCCGCAAGACGAATGCCTCGCAAGACGAAAAACTCGCTAACGAAAGGGTTTTGCGTTTTATGAGCTGCTTCGCAAGACGAATTTCCCTATGGGCTTGCTTCGCAAGATGAAAACGTCTTGCAAGTTTGTTTCCTTTTTCTTAAAACCGTTACAGTAATACAGGGTGCATTGCTTGAAGAGGTGCAGTTGCAACTTGACTTCGAGGAGCAACTCATAGCACGTGGTGTGGTAGCCTTTTTTGAGGTTTTTGAAGACTTTGGTGATTTTTGAAGCTTTTCCAAAACTTCTTTTGCAGCCATTTGGTAAGTTAAACTTTTAAAACTTTTTTTGGGGTTTTTGGATTTTGGGTTGGGGTGTTTGGAATTCAAGGACTTGGTGTTGGGGAGGGGTTTGCAAGAATCTGGAAGCTTGTGTGTTTTTTCCCTGCATTTTAATGATTTTTTTGTGACCATTGGGCCACTCTGCTGTTTTTTTTAAAAAAAATTCTAGGTTTGATTTTCTGTGTGGTGGGTGGCTGGGGGAACAGTTGAGGAGGGGTTTGCAAGAATCTGGAAGCTTGTGTGGTTTTTTTCTGAATTTTTCTGATTTTCTGTGACCATTGGGCCACTCTGCTGTTTTTTAAAAAAAATTCTGGATTTGAATTTCTGTGTGGTGGGTGGCTGGGGGAACAACTGAGGAGGGGTTTGCAAGAATCTGGAAGCTTGTGTGCTTTTTTTCTGCATTTTTATGATTTTCTGTGACCATTGGGACACTCTGCTGTTTTTTTAAAAAAAATTCTGGATTTGAATTTCTGTGTGGTGGGTGGCTGGGGGAACAGTTGAGGAGGGGTTTGCAAGAATCTGGAAGCTTGTGTGGTTTTTTTCTGAATTTTTATGATTTTTATTGTTCCTTCAATTTTTGGCTTTATTGTTCCTTCAATTTTTGAAATGCTCTTTACAGTATGTGTGACTTTAAAGGGCACTTAATAAACTCTTGTTGTACCAAATTTGGCTTTGTTTGAACTTTTTTTGACCATAGGAACGCATTAATTGAATTTCAATGCATTCCTATGGGATTTCGTGCTTCGCAAGACGAAAAATTCGCTAGACGAAAAAACTCGCGGAACGACTTAATTTCGTCTTGCGAGGCACCACTGTACCTGACCTTGACTGTCTTTGCAGTGAGATGTAGCTATGAGAAGTTGTTCATACCATTTTATTTTTAATAGATATTAAAAATAGAATGCATATAGAATGAAGGCACTAATTCATCAGCTCTAATAGACATTAAAAAGTCAGACCACTCTTGCAATAGATATGTTAACAATGAGCAACACATAATATGTCTGAATGGCTTTAATTAATGAATACACACACACACACACACACACACACACACACACACACAGCTTCTGCAGCAGATATTTTTCTAATTTGGTATTGTCTGCTAAAGTCAGCATCTTAATTGTAGTATTTTATTGTAAATCAGTAAAATTAGGAGCACTTCTGGCTCCTAATCCTCTCTCCACCTCTTTCATGTTGTTTCCTCCTGTCACTTCCATCCCAGAACAGTCACTGATGCCATTGTTCACAACCCCTGCTCCTGTTCTTAAAAGACAAACCACCTGAAATAAGGTTGCAGGCCACTATTAGGGAACCCTTATTAAGTAGTGGTCCTCTGAGCCCCCCATGCAAGGAGGATAATGCAGTTCCTTATGGGACTGGCTACAGAGGGATACAGTCCTTGCTTCTCTGGCTATACCTTGTGAAGAGGCCCTGTCCACAAGGCCCCCTTTGATGTATTCGTCATAGTATATGCTGCCAATAGCTCCTTGACTGGGTTTGAAACCACAGCAATTTTAGCAAAGATCCCGGCCCTGCCTCGAGCTGTAGAGGGAAACTTTGTATGAAGTTCCATATATTCTCTGCAAAATGTCTTGTGTTTGTAGTCACCATGGTACATCTTGGTGAGTCCAGCATCACTAGCATGATGTCCATAGCATACACTAGTATGAAGGTGTGGCTGTGTGCAGCACAAACACGTGCCATGCAAACTGTCACTGAAGATGTAGTTAGCACATGGAGCGTTTATATTCTAGATAGCGTTGTGCTGTAATTGGATGCTGAGACTTGCTTTATCCCAGAGACTCCTGTGCCACCAAAGCATGGCCAGTGAAGCACGGGATAAACCAAACTGTGGATGAGCCCTTTGTTAGTTACGGTACCATATTTTTCGCTCTTTAAGATGCACCAGACCACAAGATGCACCTAGTTTTTGGAGGAGGAAAACAAGAAAAAAAATATTCTGAATCTCAGAAGCTATGACAGCAAGAGGGATCGCTGGGCAGTGAAAGCAGCAATCCCTCTTGCTGTTCTGGCTTCTGGGATAGCTGCGCAGCCTGCATTCGCGCCATAAGACGCAGACACATTTCCCCTTACTTTTTAGGAGGGAAAAAGTGAGTCTTATAGAGCAAAAAATACGGTAATTAAAACATCAGCCTAGAGTAATAAAGGCACCATGTGCTAGTAGCTAAATCCTGTAATGACTTATAGATCAGGTGCTAAAACATAGGGGTGGTAAACTTGTAGAACTTCGTTCTCAGCTCTACCTAATTGGGAAGCTTGAGAGGCTATGGTAAATGAAAAAACTAGATTAAACCCCAACTTTGGGAAAGTGTTAAAAAGAAAAGCCCACTAATCTACCCCAGGAAGGTAACCCCCAATTAACTCACCATCCTTTGCCCACTTCCCATTTAATCAACACCCTGGGTGTATAATGGGCATGCAGACCAAATGGTGGATTGCTTGCCTGATGCAAAGGTTGCAGGTGTCACCTGTCATCTAGATAGCCTAGCAGAAGGGTCAGTGGTCATGATGCACGTTGACATGAATGACATGGGGAAATGTAGGTCTTGGAAATGAAACTTAGGTTGCTAGGTAGGATGCTGAAAGCAAAGACCTTCAATGCATCTTTCTCCAAAATGCTACCAATTCCATGCACAAGGTCAGCTTGACAGGCAAAGCTGTGTAGTCTCAATGCATGGATGAGACAGCGGAGCAGGGAGGAGGGGTTTGGCACTGTAGAACATTTTGGAACAACCTGGGCTTATAGAAAAGGGACGGAACCAGACTGTTGGCACTTAAAATTAAAAAAGGTAGCAGAGCAGCTTCTAAACTAATTTTAAGGGTAGAGACACAGGAGCTGAAGAGGGTCTGTTTTGGAACAAACCTACCACTGGAGATGAAGATGAAAAAAATAATTATGATAATTTAAATGGGTGGGGGAAAGAACCTCGCAATGGAAGTGCAGGGATACAGGACGGTATTTTGGAGAGCTCAAAACATAGTAGGTTGAAAAGCTATGGCGCTCCATGAACCATACAGTATGGTAACCTGCATATACAAGTCCACACCTACACCTTAGACTACTGTTCAGGAATCCTAACAGTCTAGTTTAGAGAAAAGAAATGAAAAGGCCTTCATGTTTCTGATATTGTCAAACAGTTAGGAGTCAGAAATTCTTGCTGATCTAATATAAAATGCTAGATCCCAATGCATCTTCTGCCCATTCCTTCAGCACACTCTCCAAACACAGTCAATTCAGGGATGTAAACAACAAGCTAGCTTAATAAGAATAAAGTTTCAAAACAGTTTTAAAACAGCTAATTATCATACATGCAGCCAGAGAGGAAATCCAAAACACTAGGCAGTCAAATACACAGCAACATTTAACAAAAGAAATAAGTTGCGTCTTTTAAAGCTTAATGTAAATGGAATGATTTGATGTACACAGCAAAGGTGCCACATGTAAACTGAAAACTTACATGGTTGAATCTTCTTGTAAAGGCAACTGCATTTGGTGCAGAACTGTATTTTTCTTTTTTATTCCAACCGCAGCTTGACAGTTCCTGGATTAACAGTGAGAAATAGTTTAAGGCTGATGTAACTGTTTACCCACATTTTGAAACAAGGTAGGAATTTCTTATTTTATCATCAGTGCAGTTAACACAGTGCATCAAATAAAACACAAAATAACACTCTTCCTAATGGTTGCCAATAAGACTGCAATTCTGATATATAAATGTGAGTTCTTTCCTCTTAATAAGTTACAACGGCATAATACCCTTCAAGCTTGCAAGGTAAAATAACATGGAGCAAGATTTGGCTTGACACTTTCTCCTACAATTTTTTAATAGACTATTTAATGGGAAAATGCACCATTAAGTACAGAACTGACCACCTGGGACAGGAATAGCTACTGAGCTGTCACCTGGTCATGAATACTTAAATTTGTCCAACTGTGTCCGTCAGCACTGCCCACTGATTTTTCCAGCTGTGAAATGCCAGAATTGATAACTGCATCTATTATGTCCAGTTGATGCAAAACAGGAAAACAGTATTGTCAACAGCTTGAGTCATACAAAACGGCGAAGTTTTGTTTGTGCTGAAACCTCAGAATCACACACCCCTCCCTCACTTCCTGATTTGATCAAACAATACTTTTCAGTTGCATCTAAATTGTGCCAACTATGGTCTTTGCAAGCTGTCTACAGACCATAACTAGAAATCCACTTCAAACAAGTAAATGAAGGAGAGGATCCAAGAATGCAAAAGTGGGAGGGGGAGGTATACAAGCCCAAAGCTTTGGTAGAAGTGGCCAAAGTATGGGGAGCTGTTATATGTGAATTGAGCCACTGAGCTACAACCTATGGACTACCAAAAAATTCTCCTCAGGACACTTGGCATCATCTCATCACAATGGCATCATTTACACTTCCTTGCTATCTATCCCCCCGAAGAGATATGTGCTTCCAAAAAAAGGGGGGGAGGGAGAAATTTTTTTCTATAATGCAAAGTGTGTCTAAAACACACTACAAGAAAAGCCAAGAAAACTGATCACAATATCTCTACATCTCTGCCTTCCAGGCTGTGAAATGATCTAAAGAACACTGTGAAGATGGATCTAGCACACAACAAGACTTAGTAGCCAGTACTGTGAATAATCACGCCCACTTCTACTCTCAACTGCATATTCCATATTTGTTATCCACAGCAGGGTATCAAACCAGTCAAACTGACTGGTCAAATATTGTTAAATAATTAAGCATTTCAATAATTAAAATAGGAAAAAAGGCTAATGCTAATCACCAAAATGTTTATTATGAAACAACACATTTAAATTACAAATAGGGTTTTTCTTTTAGTTTTTCACAGGGATGGTCAACTTGCTGCATTATTGCCATTGGGACTTGTGGAAGTCCTGGACAGTTGTAGGAGAGCTTGTCGTCCTTGCTTTGGCATTAAATCAAGCCTGCTTTTCTGTTTCCCTCCAGCACCATAAAGGTAAAGGTAAAGGGACCCCTGACCATTAGGTCCAGTCGTGGCCAACTCTGGGGTTGCGGCGCTTATCTTGCTTTACTGGCCGAGGGAGCCGGCGTACAGCTTCTGGGTCATGTGGCCAGCATGACTAAGCTGCTTCTGGCGAACCAGAGCAGTGCACAGAAACGCTGTTTACCTTCCCGCCGGGGCGGTACCTATTTATCTACTTGCACTTTGACGTGCTTTCGAACTGCTAGGTTGGCAGGAGCAGGGACCAAGCAACGGGAGCTCACTCCATCGCAGGGATTCGAACTGCCGACCTTCTGATCGGCAAGTCCTAGGCTCTCCACAGCGCCACCCACATCCCTCCAGCACCATACTCAGTTTTAAAAACCATCAAGAAGTTAATTGCAAATAACTTTAGAACAACACCCAGACATTGCTTTTTCAGCAGTGAACATAAGATGACTGAAGTCCCTTCAGTCAAAAGATCCAATCAATTTAATAAAGCATGCCCCATGAATTTAGCAATGCTTAGAATGGTTGGGAATGAATGCTACATTAACAGAAGCTGAAATATGGCTGCTGATTCTTGGTATTTGTTGGTGCTTGACAATATTTTCTTAACGTGTCAGATTTTCAACAAATGGGCAGCTAACCCAAAACACAAAAAGTGCTTATTCGTATGTGCTTAAAAGAAAATAGTCATATGGGCCATGTTTTCAATCACAATTAAAATAAAACTTGCCTAGACCCACCCAATTCACTGATGTTGTAAACCCAAAGCTACCTATTAGACTGGATACTGGCATGCGCCAGACTACTTGTTACTGTGAAGCTGATTGAATTATATTCCATCCCAAGATATTAATGGGGACATGAAGTGCTTGCACATTAAGTTAATAATCTCTTTCATATCTTACACTTTTAACATTTATTTTTAAAAATCCTTCTAAGCTTTGAACGTGATTCAAAATCAGCATCAAGTTAATAATTTTCAACATGCTAGCTATAGCAGACTTAAATTGTTTCAACACCTTATGGCTTACAAGTCAAAGATGCAACATGTCCCCACAGAATAGAGGGTGTGGACGTCACCTGTAAAGACATCTCAGAGTATAGGCTTGGTCTGACTCGGGAGCTTCTAAATATCAAAAAAATACTTGCTAGGGAAGCAAAGCACTCTCTTTACCACTGGTCTAGCCCAGGCATAGGCAACCTTTGGCCCTCCAGATGTTTTGGACTACAATTCCCGTCATCCCTGACCACTGGTCCTGTTAGCTAGGGATCATGGGAGTTGTAGGCCAAAACATCTGGAGGGCTGAAGGTTGCCTATGCCTGGTCTAGCCACTGCAAGTTCTGCACCAGGATCTAATTGCTGGCACTACCTGCAAGGAAGCTACCAGCTTGGGGAGTGGAGGCTTCTATGTGGAAGCTCCCTTGGGACAGCAGCCAAGATGTTCAGACAAGATAAAAGCAGTCACTCACACTCTTTTTCTGGTTACTGCAAATGCTTTCTGCTTCCCTCCAGGTCCTACCTGCTGCTCCACCTTTCCTGCTCTATATCCCTACAACTGCTTTTTAACACCTTCCATTCTCTGGTCATTTTTTGTGTTTACTAGGATGCCAGACTGAACACAGGATTGCAGCACCTCACAGATTGTCCAGTGCTAACTGTAAGATAATGTTAATGCATATGTATTTCAAGTTTATTTCTCAAAAGCAGATTTTATTAGTAAAAATGCTTTGGATGCCAATTTTTGCTGATTTGATAGATATGTTCTAAAATTAGGAAATGATTAAGTAATTAGACAGTGTAACAATAATTCCAAGATAAACAATTTTGCTCAGGACTAATTTTGTTAAAGGAGCAGTGTTCATTAATTTCAATGATAAAACATTAACAATTATTTTAAACCACCTCTATGATGTATTTTATATCTGCCAGGCTGTTACAATAACCCTTCTGTAATCTAGTGTGAAAGCAGTATTTACCAAACTGAGGTACAGTGTTAGTTCCTATAAGAAACTCCTTTTGGAAGATGCTAATTTGATCTGGAGTGTGCTTAAATAGGTACACACAATTAAGTATACCACAAATATTGCAAATCCTTAAAGTAAGGCAAGTTAAGGACATATTCAGAGAAAACAAAACAGCCTAGGCTGGATTTGTTATGTTAAGCAACTGCTTATTTCACAGCAGCTTGAAGGCCATCATTAAAGGATGCTTACGAAAGAACTGCATTTTCATCTTTAAACAGAATAGTTATTCATGCAGGAATAGCTTTATCAAACTGGACACCCCAAAACAAAACACATTTATTTAACCCACTTGTGCATGATTTCATTTGAGAAAGAGAGCAGAAGTCATTTTAAAATAAAACATGCATGCTAGTGAATGCAGTTTTTAAAAAAATAGTTTATACTTTTAGGAAATGCAAAAAAAAAATGGTTTAGAAATTCTTGCAAAAAAACTGTACAATTATTTCTCATTTAGAAACAACTACCTTCATGTCACTGCTACTTTGCACAGTCAAGACAGAAAATGTGCCTGTAAAATCAGTCCATAGAAAATGGAAGATGAAACTTGAGTGAATATATATACAAAGTGAATATGTGCCTTTCTTCTCAATGAAAATGTGTGTGATTGTGGGTCTGAAAATACCTACATTTGTTTGAGCACCACCTGCTAATGGAGTTTGGCCGCTGAGAGGTTTTCCACCAGGATAATGCAGCCATCAGCCCGAAAAAGCTCCCCACCCCATCATAATCAAAAGTTCGGCCAAATATCCAATACTTTCCTACCCTGCTCCAAGCTTTCTTGTAAGCAGAGATGACTTGGAGGAGCATAATAATTAGTGGTCAACACAAATTATGGCTGGCTAATAACTTCAGTGTCCTTGTATCTGTAATCTTCCACTTTGTTATCATGGAATGTTTAGAACATGAATTAAATATTTTCTCAACATTCAAACTCACTCAGGAAAACTACAAAAACTATAAAAAAAAATCTACCTGTCTCCCTAGAGGTTCAATTCCATACCATCTATAAGAAGAATAACTGAATAGCAAAAGTATACTTCATTGTACCGTTTTCTTTCTTTGCCTACCAACCACTGGTCAACCAAATTACTCCAGATGACACCACTAGGTACCATTTTAAAATTATGTAACATGAAACACAAATTATTTGTACATGCATACACACACTGGCACACATATTTAGTTCCAGAATACATGCATGGGTTGACATAATAAGGAAATCTGGCTTGGATTTATTTAAAATCAAAAGGTTGTATTAGAAAAACTTACCTCGGGCTGAATAGCTTTAAATACAGGAATATCCATTAGTGTTATCTGGCCCTTTGAAAAAAAAGTGATAAGGAAAGTAAGAGTTGTGTCCTTTTGAAATGAATGTTTCAAGATTGGGCCAGCTTTTTATTATTAAATACTAGAAAAATGGCCATCATAAAATGGTGTGCCCTCCCATTGTTCCTCGACTCTACAATGAGCCATCTCTGCTTCCTGTAAAAGAGAAAATCTACAGTGGCAGAGGCTTAGATCATGGGTAGGCAAACTAAGGCCCTGGGGCTGGATCAGGCCTAATTACCTTCTAAATCTGTAGTCTCAAAACATCTGGAGGGCCAAGTTTGCCCATGCCTGATCTAGGAGGAGGTAGCATCCCTATCAGGAATGTCCTCCAGCAGAATCTGGCAAATAATGTGATCATGCTATTTATCAAGAAAAGAGGTGCCGGAACTGAGTTCAGGTAAGTTCCGGCTTAAAAAAAAGCCCTGAACGTAATAAACATTAGGAGAGGAGAAGGTAGGTGTAGACAGGCGGAGAGAAAATTAAATAAGGCTGGACTCTTCTACAGTTACCTGGGAGTGACTCCTACTAAGCTTAATGGGGCTTCTGAGGAAACATTTAAAGGACTGGACTGCAAGACTATTAAATTAGCAAAACATTTACTTATTAATTACTTACTGCATATTCCTCGGGTGTAACCTTCAGAACATCAAATACCACTGCATCAAAACTTTTCTTCAGTTCAACAGAACCTTTGTCACTTAATGACTCCGAGCTGCTACTCTTCTAAGAAAACAAAAATACAAAATTGAAAATATGAATGCATACCTGCTCAAAAGCCGAAAGAGAGGCCTTGGTAAATAAAAACATCTCTGTCTGGCTTCTAAAGACTGACAGTGATGGCGCCAGGCATTTTTGCCTAGGGAGGGCATTCCACAAAGGGGGAGCACCACTAAAACATCCCATTTACCTAGACTGTACCAAATTTCAGAGGCACCCTTTCCAAGTTTTAAAATTTTCATGATCCCTGCTTAAAATACTCCAGCAAAGAACAGGAACTTATTGCGTACCAAAATACATTCTTCTTTCAAGCTGCACTGTTGTATACATGTACTATGCTCCTGCAATTTTTTAAGCTGACTATTGCTGACTCCTTACCTCTGAAGCAGTAGCTGCAATATTAACATTGCTGGGCTGCCCATTCATTAGGTCCATACTGTCCACACCATTGATTTACTGCCCTACATTTGCAGCGATGGCTTTAATGATTCATCTTCAGAGTCATCACTCCTGAAAGAAAATTTAAAAAGCAGCTTATGGTTCCATAAATCAAGAAAGTCAAACAGATCATCCAAAGTGTAACATGGGACAGGAATGTTTGTCCAACTATGGGATTACAGAAGACTTCAATCAAGTACTCCCTTTCCATGGAGGCGCAAGTTACAGCAACAGCCAAGGAGACATTTTACCACCTTCGCCGCATCAAGCAGTTGGTCCCTTACCTTTCCCGCCCCGACCTGGACACAGTGATCCATGCGATGGTCATCTCCAGGCTTGACTACTGTAATTCGCTCTACGCGGGGCTGCCCTTGAAGCTGACCCAGAGACTCCAGCGGGTGCAGAATGCTGCAGCAAGGCTCCTCACGGGGTCTCTGCCATGGGAGCATATTCACCCAGTGCTTTTCAAACTGCACTGGCTCCTGGTAGAGTACAGGGTCAGATTTAAGGTGCTGCTTTTGACCTTTAAAGCCCTTCACGGCCTAGGACCCTCGTACCTACGAGACCGCCTCTCCCGGTATGGCCCACGGAGAGCCTCAAGGTCCATAAATAGCAACACCCTAGTGGTCCCGGGCCCTAAGGAAGTTAGATTGGCTTCAACCAGAGCCAGGGCCTTTTCAACTCTGGCTCCGGCCTGGTGGAACTCTCTGCCTCATGAGAGCAGGGCCCTGCAGGATCTGATTTCTTTCCGCAGGGCCTGTAAGACGGAGTTGTTCCGCCTGGCCTTTGGCTTGGAGCCAATTTGATTCCCTCACTCTCTTTCTTTTTTCCTTTCCTTCTCCTCCTACAATGAGGCTATATTTTAATATTTTAATGTTTAAATATTTTAATGTTGTATTTTAATTTTGTTTTTAAGTTGTAATCATTCAACTTGTTTTTATTATTGCTTGTAAGCCTCTCTGAGCCCGGCCTTGGCTGGGGAGGGCGGGGTATAAATAAATAAATAAATAAATAAATAATAATAATAATAATAATAATAATAATATTAAATATACCATATTATGCAACTGATATTGTGATACCCTTGCAATCCAGTTGACCCTTCAGAAGATTGTGGCAAGATATATGGATGATACACAACAGCAAATTAGAACTAATTGGTTATTTCATGAGACAAAGTTCACTTTTGAGTGCACTATCAAATAGTGAAGTATTTGTGCCAAAATAGTAGAGGACCTGAATTCCATCTGTATAAATACTACATGTGCTTTTAATTTAAGACAGAAAATCTTAAAAGTCTCTGATGGTTCAGAAGAATTGCTACAGAGAAAGGGATAAGGGGGTGAGATCTTGTTCCGGCTTCTTGGTCTTTCTGCTCCCATTCCTACCTCATCCATGGAAAAGAGAGATTCTCTGCCCTATGATAGCATGTAGCTGCCAGAGGGTTGGCCAAGAGGGAATGCAGCCTTTAGGCCTAAAAAAGGTTCCTCACCCCTGAATTAAATTAAACAAAACCTGAAGGTTCAATAACATATACGTGCTTATAAAATTGCTTTGATAAAAGTTGTTATTCTTAAATTGCTTTGGGATGTTTTATGGAAAAAGATTCAAAAATAATTATTGCAACTCTAATGTCATTAGAATGAATGGTTAACCCGTGGACTGGTTGGCTTTTGTCTTATTTTTCCAGTTTTATATTAAATGCACATAGTCTCCAGTTTACATTCTGAAAAACAGGGGTTTGGGAACCAGTGGAGATGGCCAATCTTTGGTGGATCACTTTGATAGGTGGACAGAGCCAGCCACCTAACAGTCTTGACACCGGGTGACTGCAATTTCAAAGAAAAAAAATCAGGAGCCAGCGGCACTCCTGATTCTTCCTTTGACATTTTTGTTGCTGCTTGAACCAGTGTATCTTAGGCTGCAATGCTACAATTATGGCATGGCCCTTCCCAAAAAATGGCTGCCAAACTTCTTCTGTTCTCAGCTGGGGAAATTTGTAAAATAAATAAATAAATCATATATTCCGACAGAAATTTGGCAGCTGCTGACTCTCATTTTATGTGCACAATTATTCTGTATTTAAGCACATGTATGATATATTATGTTGTAGTCTCATTACAATGCCGGTTGCTGCTTTGAATAGGATTTTCTTTGGCAGGAAAGCAGTTTGTGATGGAAATAAATAGCTTTAAAGAGATTGAAATAAAGGAATACATTAGCTTGATTATCACCAATTGCTTAGCTAATCGGAGACTATTAATGCATTAAGCTGTTTATTTTAAGAGCGCTGCTTGTTTTCATCAGTTTACAGAATTCATATTCATGCTGCCGTTTAGCCAAAAACATTTTAAAATGAGAATGTAAACCTTTGATAACTGCAGATTTACAAAAATATTTGGTCTGCCTTCTACTTAATGCACTGCTGCCACCTTGTGCTGAGAACAAATCCCAACAAACTTTTATTGGTCCTATTTCATAGTGATTTCCAGTGTAATTATTTTTAATCAGATATTGGTCACATTCATATTATTAAATTTGATCTTATTAAGCTGAGATTTGTATGCAGCCCTTTGTTTCTTCCTTCATGGAATGAAGCAATCAAAGCAAGTAATCTCTAATTAAACAGCTTCCCATTTCATTCAAACTAGGAAACTATGGCTACCACATTCAGAAGAAGCTAGGATATTTAACTACCTTCAGATTCTATGGTTTAATATACAGACTTGTTCCAAAACCATTAAGTAAAGTTTCCTTGTTTAGAGGAAATTGGGGGGGGTGGTGCCTCAATCTAAGCATGCTTAAAGAGATTCACATTAGGGCGAACAAACAAAACTCACTTCACTTATATTGGCGGGGTCTGAACTGGCAATGGCAGTGACAGACCAAGAAGGAGATCCTGTGGACATTGTTCTTCAAATCCTCTGGAGCAGGGTGGAAAGTTACGCTGTGCAAGGGCAAGACTCTTGGGCACACAGAACAGCAGCATTCTGGGCCAGAGGAGCTAGGACAGCAGTTGGCAACCTCAGAAGACACCAAGCTGGCTGTGAAAGGTACAGTGCACAGAATGATTCCTGCCACTCCCCAGAGGAGAAAGAGACAGGAGGAGATGGACTTGGAGGAGTCTTTTCCCGTTCTTGACCTCACCCCTTCAGATCCAAGGCTACTGACCCTGGATAAGTATGCTGATAACCCACTTGCTACCTTCCATGGAGATGATATCAGAGAAAGGGAATGCACTCTGGGGAAGGCAAGCTGAAAGGAAGGAGTAGGAAGTATTCAAGCCCTAAGTTTCCTGCCTTTGTAACCTATCCCAACAATATCCAGATAGGCTCCAAAACGCAAGGGGGAGATTCCAAGAGGCTTTGGAAGGGACAGTGGATAGAAAGATTCCTGCCACGTCCCAGAGGAAGAGGCATGTGGTGGTAGTAGGTGACTCTCTGCTGAATGGGACAGAGGCAGTAGTGTGCAGAGGAAACAGAATGTCCCGGGTGGTGTACTGTCTTTTCCTATATTATATTATACTATATTGCGCTACACAGAAATGTTTAAATGTTTCTTTGATTGTCCTTGAATCTTCCCACCACACTTGCTATCCTCTCCTGTCACATCAATGTGGTATGCCATGCCCTTTGAGAACCTCTTATCTAGAGTGGGGTGTCTTACTTTCACAACTTCCTGAAAGTAGGCTATTCAACACACATGAGCCCAGTGGTGATATTCCTTCCTGAATGCCTCATTTGTGATGTGCTTTAATAAAAACAAAAAACAAGATTTCCCTCTTAGGGTGGATCTACACACAGGAAAACCCCCGCTATAAATAAGTCAGAAATTAAATTGTTGTAACAAAAGAAAGATTGCTTCGCTAGGATAATGACAACTCCTCCTGATTCATCAATGTACCATTTGCTGTATTGGGGATGTTTAACTACCTTTCATCTGATTTTTTTACGACATGCCAACTGCAAAATAATTAAAAATAGTCTTACTTGATTTAATTCTCTGAAATCCTACACAGCTGGACTTCAAAAACCCTCAACATTTGCAAATATGAGAACTCTGTGACCCTCCAGGTGCTGTTGGATGCCAACTCCTGTGAGCCCTAGCCAGTATGGCCAATGGTGAGGGATAATCTCAATAAACTAGGAATAGTTAATAACTAAAAGGGTTAAATGAACCAAGGATCATGCAACCATCCAAACGCACCGGCCCATAGGGTGCACCTAGCTTTTTTTGGGGGGGGGGGGAAATAAAGAAAAAAAATTATTTCCCCCCCCAGGCACGAGCTTCCCCCGACCCCAGCCCCCAGAACAGGCAGCTCTCCACAAGCCGTGGGAGAGCTGCGCAAAGCCCGAAGCCTGGGGGGCGCTGAGCTCAGCGCGCCCCCAGGCTTCAGGGTGCAGGCAGCTTTCCAAAAGCTGTGGGAGACCTGCGCGACTTCGCGCAGCCCTCCCACGGCTTGCGGATAGCTTCCTGAAGCCTGGAGTGCGCACCGACCCCTCTCGCTCTCCAGGCTTCAGCGAAAGCCTGCATTCGCCCCATAGGATGCACACACATTTCCCCTTCATTTTTGGAGGGGGAAAAGTGCGTCCTATAGGGCGAAAAATACGGTAACTATAATTAAGGACAATACCATATATTACACTTTAGCCCACAATGTTTCTAGCCTAAAAGTTTGCTTTTCACTTTCAATCATAGCACTTCTCAAACTTAAAATTTATAAACACTGTACTCGCAAAGCCTTTCAAGTTATACATATAGATTCACTTTACCCCATCTCATATTGCACTTTCAGTCACACTTTAATCTGGGGGAAGGTAGTTGCACAAGTATTTTCTCCAAGGGCTCTCATATCATTTAAACCAGGTACAGGTGGCAGTTTAACCCTTCTACTCTTAATTATTGGCTCCGTCTAAATCTAAATCCTCCCGGTCTACTGCCCTTAGTGACACAAGACCCCCATAAAAGTGTGTGGTCCAAAATTGTGCACCAAAAATTCCTCTCCTGTGGACTCCACCCACATCAGCTTCTCACGATGGGCTTTATTAAAGCAAAAAGGCTAACTGGACAGCATCTGAAGGACTTAGAGCAACAGAACAATCTGGCCATTATAAAGAAACTCTGTCCTTGGTATGCCTTTTTTTCCTCCTCTCAGTTTGATTCCCTGGCACCATATTTGTATAAATTAACTATCCCAAAATACAGACGTGCCTTCACACTGGCCATATTGGATGTAATGCCCTCCACCGTACTTGAGGGCAGGTGCCAAAAGATTCCAACTGAGAAACGACTCTGCCCCTGTGGAGATAGTAATCTGCAAGCAGTGACTCATGTTCCCCTGTCCTGTCCCCTTTATAAAGATCTGAGGAATGAGATCATCACCCCCACTCTTACTTACTATCCCAGGCCGCTCATCTGCGGCCACATTGTTCTTTCTGTTATCAGGTCAAAATGATCAGACAACAGCAAAGGTTGCCAGGTTTATTGAGGGTGCAATGAGATTAAAGGCCACTATCTGAACGATAAACTTGATCATTTGATTGTCCTTTTTACCCATTGTTGCCTTTTTAAGTGTATATATTGCTTGTTTTATGTTGCTATGGCCATTGGCTAATGCAAATAAAGTTTATCTATCTATCTTCTGCTCTGAGCCATTTGCACAATAAAAAAAAAGCTGTCAGTACCTTCTCTCAAATGCATTTTTGTTTACCTAAAATTCAGTATTTTGTCACTCTTAACTCCCTTTCCTTCCACTTTGATGACCACAGGTCAATGATCAAGAAGACATTACATCAGTCACTGCAAGATCTTAAAATGGAGGGGAACCACAAATCTCCCTTCAGAACAAAAGAAGCAATAGGACAGATCATGTTGTTGTTAGCAGCTAAGCTTAAATACCTGCATCAGAAACCAGATTTTCACATCAGTCTCCAAACATGTTTAAACAGCACCAAACCTAAGTTAGTATTTTCAAAAACATTCCGCAGGGTCAGTCATTCTTCAGAGATTACATGATTCAGAAACTCCGTAGCAGGGCAGTTTACAATAAGTAACTCAAAACCTCAGGTGGGCATTTTTCAACACCAATGAGAACTCTGGAACCCTTCACAATACTAATCACCATTTGCTTACTCTATAAATACATGCACCAGACTTGCACAGTTTGAATTGTTCAACATGACTGTTTTTGTGCTCAGCAGCCAAAAGTTCTCTAACATTTAAATAATGCAAGCACAGTATCAACTGGCCAATGATGCTCAGCACTACGTAAACAAATGTGGCTATATACTGGACAATGAACAACCTACAAATCCAAAATTTATGCCTAAACAAACTGTGGCACTTCAAGTACAAAAACTTGCACCGTCCCTTAATGTGTAGGTGGGTTTTTGTCTAGAAGTCTCTTGGATTTGATCATCAAAAATTTGAGGCTTCTTCACAAAACGACACACCTGATATTTTTCAAGTACAGGTGGCAGTGAAAAAGTGAAAAAGTCTGTCATCTAACGCAGGAACAAAAAAAAATCTATGATAATTCATATAGAATGCCAATGGTTGCCAACTAAATCATGAACATGTCTGGCAGAAAGAGGTGAAAGAGTGGTGAACCCATAAGTCAAAGGAAAGCACTCTCGATAGAAAAATGCCTGGTTTCTTACTCCCAGATCCTATATTCCCATCATCAAATTGTACAACATAAATGAAGTAAGCAAATTTACACCACGGGTAAAAAGTTCAACAGCATGCCTAGAAAATATCTGAAATTTTTAAACGCCCAAGCACATGTTAAGTTGGTGACTTTACAGGGCTTGACTGGTAATATTCTGCAGGTGAAGAAATGTACATTTCACCAGCTGCGGGTCCCACTGAGTCACCTCAAATTCATCTATCGAGTAGCGGTCCCAAAAGAGTCTTCTTGCACCTGCTTGTCCAGAGCCACAGCAGATGCCTCATCCCTACACTACCAGCAGGATTTGAGGGTGTGACTTACCTTCCTACCTACATTATAGTACCATTATCAGCCTGCATCCATCACACATCCTCATTGTCTGCAGGGAGCCCCAGAACAGCCCACACAAAGGTGGCCAGACTGCATAGTGGGCACCCAGAACACAGGCTGACCAAAATCAGTAGGCTCCCCTATGCCATGCCAAACCTTGGGATAGCTGCATCCAATAAGGTTAGCACCATTTCCAACCCAGACGTGGACTGTTTCATTTCAAGGGGGGGGCTCCTGAACAGCATGCCAGGAGGCAAGTGGGCAACATACCCATTCTCTTCAGTCCTTTGAGACTGGGAGAGAGCATAAGAGAATGCTAACTGGGCTGTCACAGTTTTAACACCCTTAATATGACCAGCTTCTCCATTATTTCTAGTAGGAAAAGTAATTCAATATCTCATTTCACACAGAAACTCATGCTTCCAAAACAGCCAAATTAAGCTGTGCTGTAACTTATTTCCAAGGCAAACTGAACACTTTGTTTCAGAGGTGCATGTATTTCTAGATTTCTCCTACATTTTAAAAAAGTTGTTATAAATTACACTCTCAAAAATAGCAAAGAATCTGTGATTAAGCTATTTTGAGTGGAGGCGGCTCCAATGGGTGTCAAGAACCAGAAATGGAGTAATACCACTAAGAAAGCATAAAGCAGTTTACGGCATGAGAAATGAGACTGACTTAATCCTGGATGTAAAATAGCCAGTACTTTATGTTTATATACTGTATAAACATAAAATTATGTTGGTGTTTCAAAAGAAAAGTCACATTATGCTTGAGTAACAAAACACCTAGTAAAATAAATAAAACCACAAAGGGAGAGAAATTTATGTGTATGTACTTTACATTTTATCTCTTCATAATTGGAAACATGGAAACACAAGCTGTTCTGTGCCACAAAGTGATGGTCTAGCAGAGAAGCTTTCACAGTTCTGAAATAGAGACAGCAATCCATCAAGGAAGCATAAGTAGTGCAAAAGCCAATAGGGTGGATCCAATCTATTTCCTAATGTGAGTGGTTCAATTTAATATCCACATCCCAGTTTGGCAGAGAAACCTCAGTTCTGGAAGATAAAAACCACATACAATTGTTATCTTTAGCAAAGATAACAAATACCAACTCATAAATAACAAATCCAAAACAGAAATGTGAAATCAAATTGCATGTTTGCACAATGTTGCACAGTGTTGTACAAAAATGTTGTACATTTAAAAACACAATACAAAGAGATTTCTCAAGTTCTATGAATATATTTTCTGGTTAAAATCCAGAAAAGCCGATGAGTGTACACACCGAGGTGTGCTATCCCCTTGCACTTCATAAAATGCTGTTCCAGAAGACATTTGTGGGGCAGTAGCCAGAAGAGGAAACCGTGAAGTGTCCCAATATGCATGCAGAACATCATACATAGCACCGTTGGGACTTTCCTCAGACCACATCCTTCATCAGCCTTACATCACATTTTTCTTTGGGGGGGGGGTGAAGGGAATTCTGATAAGGACTCTAGTTGGCGTGGATGGGGGTTAAAGAGGAGTGCAATTGGGGGTAGAAGTCAAGCCTGCTATACAAAAGTAAAATTTACATTGATTACGCCTACCGCTTTGACTCTGGCCCTGCCCACCACTGGCGTGCGGCCCCTGGAAGGTTGCCCATGTGACCATGAGGCTGGAAAAGGTTCTTGACCTTTTTACAACCAAAGCCTGAACCAGACACAACAAAATTTAACATAGTCTCAACGCTGCACAGCAGAAGCTGAACAAACTGAAAATCTGGTATACTGTATATTTAAATGCAAGAGGAAGGCTATGAAAATATTTTATGCCAAGGCCATGTTAAATAATTTGTTTGCTAACAGCAGCCTAAAATCAGCCAAAATTCATTACAATTGGTGAATTTAATGCTTCTTGCAAGAGACTTTAGGTGTATTTCTTTGATAAGGCAGAGAACAGGCAGGAACTGTTCCAGCTTAGAGAATAAAAGATGAATTTTACAGTCAAGACTGTTTAAAAACAAAAAAACAAAAGGTAATAACACTACCTCAACATACAATTTTATACTGATTTTTTTCTTTTTAGCAGTTGATTGAGCCCCAACGGTATTGAGATTTCATAATTTCATGCACTGTACTTAAAACTTTTATTTGAGTAATACCACATATGATTGAGCATCCTTTATAAAATGACTTGTTGATTTTTACTACTGTCTCTTTCATCTGGATAGTGGAAATGCTAGGATAGCAAAGAAGCAAACTTTGTCAAGGATATAGGGTTGAATCCAAGTAAGTCAATGCACGAATGGAATGTGCTCCTCGTTCCTGAGTTTCCCGTTCCTGCCCCTGCAATTTGTTCGGGGCAGGTGTTTTCGGGGGGGGGGGGAGAAGTACAGAGGGGGGGTGGAATTTCTGTTGCACAAGTGGAGCTTGTTTTGCCTGTGTAATGTCTTCATTGAATACAACCCACCGAATTATATTTATTTTATATTATCTTGATCAAATTAATAAGGCTACTCATATATTGTAGGCTAAGAGATATGCCACTGGGACTTTATTACTAAACACATGTATCTGGGAGTAGGCATGTCTAGTGCTACACTGTTAGGCAGCAATCCAATACTTAATTATCTGGGAGCAAGTCCCACTCAATGAGACGTATAAAGTAGACATGCAAAGGACTGCAGTGAATTATGTATTTTCTTAACTCATTCTACCTTACCAGACAGACGTGCAAGGATATCACTTCCTGATAATTGACAATCTACCTCAAGTATGAAACTTTTGTTGTTGTTCAGAAATGTAGCCAGATGTTTTGATTGGGCTTTTAAGTTCTTATATAAAAAGCAGGACGGTAAGGTCATTGAGGCTGCAATTCCAACACTACTTACTTGCGAGTAAGCCCCACTGAATTCAATAGGACTTACTTCTGGTTCTGCTGTATGATGCCTGACAGTAGATTTTCCTGCATTAAAACACTACCATAAACAAATGCTGTCAGCTCTTTTTCTTACTGATGTCTTTTTATCCATATGTTTGAGAGGTTGAATAGTTCGTAAATATGCCTAAAGAAACAGGCCTACCGTCTCCAAATAAAACATAGGTCCAACATAATAAAAATGTAAAGACAAGGGAAAGCTGGCAGTAAAAACATTTTAAACCTACCCTTCATCAACAAAAAATCCCAGGTTGGGGTACAGTAAAACCCATAAAAACACATCATAGTTTCATCAAGACCAAATTCACAGGGCAAGCACAGACAAACCACCCTGAACAGATAAAACAGTAATTAAAACAGAATCAAACAATAGCCACCTAATTGACAAATGCCTGAGCAAACAAATATATTTTGAGCTGGCAATGAAAACTCAGAGGGAAGGGAATTCCACAACCAGGGCACGAACCGAGAGAAAACCCTTTCCCTAGTGGCTATGTAGCAGATCTCATTCAATTGCAGTAAGCTCAACAGGTCTTCCCTCTAAGTTCTTAACTCAAGGGCAGGTTGATAGTTTTAAAGTAACTGATGTTCATCAGAGAGGTTCAGTCATCTATGTTTATCCATCTCCTATAGCGCAAACTAGTTGCACTAGCAACTGCAAAGAAGATTGTTCCTCATTCTGATCAACTTAAGATTTTATAGTAAATTTCTGCTTTTTAATTAACACAGCTCCCAGTGTTGATGAAACTCCTTCTTATACGTACATGACACAAAACATGGATGTGTATACACGCAGGTCCTGCTTACAATTGTTAGGTGAGTGTTTGCATAACGAGTCCACAATTTCCACTGTTTCCTATGGAAACATTTCTACTGTAGGATTTCACCTTCTCTCGATGGTTTCTTCCTGAAATTGTTGCAGCCAATCAGCAAAAGAGAGGCAAAGGGGAGTGGGGGCTGAAAAGCTAAAGTTTCTGTCTGCAAGACTGGGGCCTCTAAATGCTTGTTCTGACATTACATTTAAGGAGGGAAAGAAGTGAAAGGAATTTGCAACTCCTTTTTCCATCTCAGAGGTCACCATAAGAAAAATCCAAGAGCCCCCTTTTCACAAGGATTCTCATACTTTTGCTTTCCCCACTTCTGTGTAAGTATGAGTTGGCCCTTTGAACTTAATAACTTGAATACCAAAGAAATACGACTTCCTAATGCCAGCATCTTATGTTGTTGAAAGAGATCTCTTCACTAAACTTTTAAAGCATATGAATTGCTACTGGGGAAGTTAGAGAATTTGATTCACTGGAGTTTTTATCCTGTGCTATGCTGTTATTTTATAGCTTTATTATACGATTTTTTTATTTTTTCTCTTTCATAAACAATTCTCGGAATGCCGAAGACAAATATGAACTACCCCATCCCCCAGGGTTACTGTTATTAAATGAACCCAGAAACATTTTACCTGAAACTTTATAATACAAATTCAGAAATACTTCAGGATACAAGGTAAACCTTTAAAAATCGTAATGAGAGGGGGGTTACCTACAAAAAGCTAAGATATGATTTCACACAATATCTAATTCTCCAAAGATCTGTCATATTTAGGAATTAGGATATATTAGAATGTAAACTACATGGTCAAAATTAACCACGACAGTTTATATGAAAAGACAAAGATATTGATAGATGACTACCAGCTTTACAACTGAATGTTCTTCCAAAGGTTTTGCTTGTATTCATTCCACTGCTGATATCTTTCCAAATTTTTAACAACTGGCAAAACTTATTTACCGTAATTTCTTTTGGTCTGGGAAAAGACCAAGGATAGCACCAAAAACACTTTACAAACCAAAAAGAGCAGAAGGCTTAGGATTTCAAAACCATAAATGCAAATTATCTAGCTGCAATGCTAAATCATGAGACAACCTGGTTTATGCATAATGAAGCTTCAATAATGAAACAAGGCATAATCAGCACATTTAAAATGCTGTGGATTCTGTACAAAAAGAAACAGTAACATTAAAAAAAAACAATGCAACAGAAAATCAATCTAAAACAAGTACAGGGTTGAGGAACCTCAGCAAAACTATCCTAGAGTGTTTTTGCCTTGCTGGAATGTGTCCTTGAACTTTGATAATGCATTTTGCTTGCCTGGATGGAGGATAGATAGTGAGTGAGTGACTGTGTCTGTGCAGAAACTAGCTTACTGTGCAAAGAAAAATGTACATTCATAATAACAATAATATTTTATTATTTATACCCCGCCCATCTGTCTGATTTTCCCCAGCCACTCTGGGCAGCTTACAACATATCTAAAAACATAATAAAAACATCAAGCCTTAAAAACCTGATACTCTGTCCTCTTTTGTCTCCAACCCCTTCCACCACTGGCATGTGGCCCTCAAAGGCTGAAAAGGGTTCCCCATCCCTGGTCTAGTATAAAGAAAACCTAGCTCTGTACTATTTCCTAACTCAGAGTCGTAACTAAATATGTAGTAGTACAGTGGACGCTCGGGTTGCGAACGTGATCTGTGCGGGAGGCACGTTCGCAACCCGCAGTGCCGTGTCTGCGCACGCGCGGGTTGCGATTCAGCACTTCTGCACATGCGCAAGCACTGAAACCCAGAAGTAACCTGTTCCAGTACTTCCGAGTTCGGCGTGGTGCGCAACCCGCAAACAAGCAACCTGAAGCGTCTGTAACCCGAGGTATGACTGTATTAATATGAAGCAGAGAAGCAAAATGCCTCCCAAAGAAAATGTTCAAAATAGTAATAAAATTAAAGTAACTAGATAGTTGGTAAAGTTCTTACCAAGGCGAATGAAAATAGAATTTTGCAACATCAGGCTAAAGCAATCACTCCGCTGGGCAAGCTGAAATGCTTGTGGATGTACAACCCCCTGTGTCTTCCCCACTCATGCTACTCTTGAGTTCTCCACTCCAAGCCAATTTAATGGGGTGTTGTGGCTGTGGGGAGTAAAAAGCCCTGTTGCGTAAGCAGAAGTCCTTCTGCACAGCAGATGGGTCGCTTTAGGTCAGAGGTGTCCAAACTTTTTTCAAAGGGGGCCAGATTTGATGAAGTTAAGGGCCAAATTACCCTGGGAAATAAACTGCCACAGGGGCCAGATTAAACAGACCAGCAGGCCGGATTAGGCCCACAAAACGGACTTTGGACATGACTGCTTTAGGTGAATTCTGCTCTGGTTGAACTTAGACCAGTTATCTTTTAGCCTAATCTACTTCACAAAGTTGTTTATGAGGATAAAATGGGTAGGGAGCATGCACACCATCTTCAGCTTCTTGGAGGAAATGCTGGATATAAATGTAATAAAGATGGAAATAGACGTGGGCTATAGCTCCAATGGCACTGTGGTCTAAACCACTGAGCCTTGGGCTCGCCAATCAGAAGGTCGGCAGTTCGAATCCCCACGACGGGGTGAGCTCCCGTTGCTCGGTCCCTGCTCCTGCCAACCTAGCAGTTCGAAAGCACGTCAAGTGCAAGTAGATAAATAGGTACCGCTCCAGCAGGAAGGTAAACGGTGTTTCCGTGCGCTGGTCTAGTTTTGCCAGAAGCGGCTTAGTCATGACCCGGAAAAACTGTCTGCAGACAAATGGCTCCTTCGGCCTGTAAAGCGAGATGAGCGCCGCAACCCCAGAGTCGTTCGTGACTGGACTTAACTGTGAGGGGTCCTTTACCTTTTATAGCTCCAATAGAAAACTTGGGCAATAACCAACATCATGTGAATGGACCTCTACTCCCAAGATGAGACTTCCCCTTCCTGTTCTCTTTCTCCTTGCTGTACCCACTCCCAATCTGATCCAGAGAGTCCCCGGACCTAAGGTGTTATTTAACACCCAGATTAATCCAAATATACCCAGAGAAGGTGATGGTGTAGGAGGGGCATAAACACAAGAGGAGATATTGCACATATTCTGGGGGCTGTGTGAATAATCAAAGGGGTACTGGGAAGTAATTTTAGAGTATTAGAGAACTGATAGGATACAGTGGCATCTGGCACAATAGTTGCGTGATCTGGCAATATAATACATGGGATGCAGAAGGATGATTATCCATCTACAAGCAACAGCTAAAATGCCAATTAGCTACTAAACAGAGACAGAGTTTCATCATGGAGGTTTAGATGTTTAGGGTGTGGGACTAGTACTGTACCTGGGAGACCAGAGTTTGAATCCACACACAGCAAGGAAGCTCACTGGGTCACTTGAGCCAGTCACTGCCTCACAGCCTAACCTTGTGGCGATTAAATGAAGAGGGAGATAACTGTATGACACCATGAGTTCCTTGGAGAAAAGTTAGGATATGAATGCAATAAATAAATAATCTGCAATGAGATGCATATACTTAAGCTTATTATTAAGAAAAGAGAGCAGATGGAGTAATAAAAGCTTTATTGCATAAAAGTATATGTTCATTATATACTGGAATGATAAAGAACAGAATCATGCTCAGTCCTACAGTTGATTAGTTTTGTAAAATTAAGAACGTTGCCTATATTCTTATTTTTCTCAAGCAATGTACTATATCAGATGATATTTATTGTTTTATTTGCTTAATGGATTATTTGTGGATCATTTTTCTGTGGATCAATTCATCCTTTTCCATAACAATAAAAAAATTCTGAGAAATGAACTAATCCACAACATCTTTGGAGATCTACCTCACTTTTGTTTTTCTGTCTAGAACTGTCACTGCACCCTGGTGAGTCAAAGAAAAAGACACGTTGACAGATCAGGTGGAGCAAAATACTTCTTACAGAGCCAATAATCCACTCTAACTTGAATCAAGATGTCTATGCAAAGCAAACACTAACTCCCACCTGGATACAAGCTAATGGTGAATTTGCACATGCACTTGGACTCCCTCAACTGTGTTTGTTCTCTACTCTGAAGAGAAGTGCATAAACACATACAACAACATACATTGCTGGATAAAAATAGCAAGCCACCAGAACACAGGGTGATTTCTGATGCCATGTTGTCACGCAACAATATGCAGTTATGTTGGGATAGCATTCTTGGACTCCATCTTCATTTTCTCTTTAAACATTTCCCATTTAGACCAGTAATTTACTTCTCAATTAGAAGTAAATTACTGGTCTAAATTTTGTTTTAGGGGTATACCAGGGTATTGGGACAGCTTCAGATCCAAGCTGCTTCCAAGTCATCCCAAGGATGCTCTTTTTGGCTCGTGATGTCAGAGCTCAGGTGCCAGGTCAGGTCTTCAGGGGTTTCTGTGACAGTGGAGGGCAGGGAAGAGTGCAATGTCAGAGAAGGATATCCAATCTATTTTATGTTCCTGGGATCCCTTAGGCATTCCATATATATATATATATACACACACACACACACACACACACACACACACACCCCGTTGTTTGTTTTTGTTTGTTTGTTTGTTTGTTTGTTTGTTTGAAGAACTGGTTCAGGATATTTACAGCTAGACCTAGATACTGCCTACTTGATTCAGGGCAAAAATAGGACAGTTCCCCCTTTAGGTCAGCAAGGCTAGAATCTTAGATCTAATGAGTACTTCTATAATCTCTCAATTCTTATGGGGCACTGGCAAATTCTAATTAATTTCCTGCACAATCATGATATAGAAGTCCTTACTTTCATAAAGTCTGTGGAAAAACAATGCTTCCCAATGAGGTGAAGAACTAAGAAAACAAATAAGAACTAAGAAAACAAATACTCCAAAGGAATAAAGATTATAGAAACCACACTGGACAAGGCAGAAGAGGAAAAGATGTGACCGTTCAAACACATATTGCCTTTTCTATGTCAGGAAATGCATTGTGGTAACAAAGACTAGGTTGCAAAGGGGACCTACTACATTCCGTCTTACAACCAGCAAGAAATTAAAAGGTTAATGGGGAAGAAAAAAAATCCTCCCTCTGCCTCTGAAAACTATGGAGGCAGTTGAAATCTTATAGTCTGCACTGGTATCCATGAAAACAAAGATTAGCTTATGTACTATCTCCATCTTTCATAATTATACCTTTGGCATCACAGAAATGTCTCCTTCCAAAAAGTACACATACATGAATACTCATCTCCTCAGATTCTCCAATTTTTTTCTGGATTTGTTGTTTTGGAAGTGATACAATAAAACACAGTCGATGACATTATAGGAAGTTATTAATTTCAATTACAGTATCACAGCTCAGTGAGCACTCGAGGCTTGACATACTTTTCCTTAGAAAATCAACTTACTCTCTCAGACCAGTAAGAAGTGTTTAGAAAGTGAAAGTACACGTTACAAAAGGCTCCTCCATGGAAACACTGCCCTACAGCAACTTATCAGCTATTAAATTAACACAGCATTTATTTCTTATGGTCTGGATATTTGTTAACCCTGACTTTGTACTTTCACTTTAAGTGGAAATTAAATCCCCTGATACTCTGATTAGAATGGGCTAAATCAAGGACATTGTCTGTTCAAATGTACCTCCTATCTCCCAAAAGCAAACCTTATTTACATGTAGAATGGCAATTTTAAACATTAAAGAGCAAAGGTTGTATCCAAGTGTCAATCACCACTTTGTCCTAGAAAGCAGTGCCCCCCAGAGGTAAATGTTTATCATCATTTAGCCCTATTGGGTTTCTACAGATTGTAAACCTCTTAGCTTCCTGTCCAATTCAATGTGCTGTGTGCTGGCTGGGGCTTATGGAAGTTCAAGTCTAAAACATATGAATGGCACCAAGTTGACTTATGCCATAAAACATTGTTTAAATTGGGGGTATAAATAACTTCTTTCCCAACAATGCCAACACCTTAAATTGTCAGGCTAGCTTACACTGACAATTTGTATTTGATGAAGTAAACATACAAACCAATTACCGTATTTTCTGCTCTATAAGACTCACTTTTTCCCTCCTAAAAAGTAAGGGGAAATGTGTGTGCGTCCTATGGAGCGAATGCAGGCTGCACAGCTATCCCAGAAGCCAGAACAGCAAGAGGGATTGCTGCTTTCACTGCACAGCGATCCCTCTTGCTGTTCTGGCTTCTGAGATTCAGAATATTTTTTTTCTTGTTTTCCTCCTCCAAAAACTAGGCGCATCTTGTGGTCTGGTGCGTCTTATAGAGCGAAAAATATGGTATATATTTTGAACCATAATCTTACTTTAGGGCAGGAGTGGGAAACCTGTGGCTCTCAAGATGTTGCGGGTCTCCCAACTCCCATCATCCCTGACCCAGACTGGCTTGGGATGATGGGAGTCCAGTGCCTTAGGAGGCCATGCCTCTTGATAACCCATTCTTGTGTTGACACAACTTTATACAATCACATACATACACACTCACAGAGCTCATCCCTTCTGTACAAACTTTTCAGAGCTACGTTAAGAACAATGTAAATCCTATAGCTCTCTTTCCAACGGTGGTTGGTTATTGCAACCAAACTAGAATATTCTACTATTATGGTGCAGCATCAATCAGTTGCATACTGTACAGTCCTCTTTCAACATCATATTCTCCAAATAGTCACATCTTATTTATACCTCTCAATTTGAACCATGAAACCCGCTTCAGAATTAAGGGTGAAGTTCTGTGAACTGATTGTGTTAAAGATGCTAACAGGAGAATGGAGAGAAAGTCATTTCTGTATTTATATTAGAACTGGAACTGCAAATTTAGTACCAAATTGTTAAGAATTCAAATACCCCAGTTCAGCTCAATATTTACACACACTCCACCACCCTGCTAGTTTTTAAAATGCACCATTCTCAGCCCCCTGTGATCTGTGAGGTTTGCAAGACTGGCTGGTTGTGCTGGTGTAGACAGACTAAGAGTTAGGAGACAACAGGAGGACTGAACCAAAACAAAAGGGGAATGTAGACCAAGAGGCCATGGAAGACAGCATGGGAGGAGAGTTTTGAAGCAGTAGTGATCATGGGAAGCACTGGTTCAATGATGCCATTACGTAGCATTGTCAGTGAAGACAAGCCAACATGAGCAGCAGCACTCCTGCCATGGTGGTCACTTAATGTGGAAACTGATGCCCTTTGCAGAAGAATGCCTTTCCTGAGACAGCAGCAATGAATGGCAGATTTGGGGGTCATGCCCAAAGGCACTACTCCAATGAATGTTTCTTTGCCCACTATGCAAGCTGCTTGCTGCTTCTAGTGGAAACACAGTGATCCAAATTCCCCAGTAGTAGCCTTTCCCCCTTTCGATGAGGCACAGGCATTTGCACAACTTCAATTCTCTCCAACCTGGCTGATCTCTGCTTTTCAAAAGCACTAGGTAACAGCTCCTCAGCATCTTTTCCTAGTCACAGTATGGGAAGGGGTGGATGATGACACTGAAACTGGCCCCGAGCTCTAGTTTCCATTATCATCCACGCTTTTTTCTTCGCTGTCAGAACTGTAACCCTGGTGCACCTGCTTCATGACCCGGAAAGCTGTCTGCGGACAAAAGCCGGCTCCCTTGGTCTGAAAGCGAGATGAGCACTGCAACCCCACAGCCACCTTTGACAGGACTTAACAGTCCAGGGGTCCTTTACCTTACCAGTCTGAACAGAAAGAGAAGGTTCTTTTGTCTACCTGTGCCAATATGCAGGTGGGTGGCAATTCCTGGTGCCTTTCCCACAGAGGGAGGGAGCTGCACCAGGTTCTCAAATAAGGATACTTTAATCCAAACCCAGATATATTTTGCATGTGCCTCATGATCCCAGTCACAAAAGCACAAGCCCCAATAATCCCACACAAAGATGCAAGTTCCACTGATGCAAGTTTCAATTGATGCAGTTTTCCCTATAGTGGTATGTTCAAACCTGTTCATTCACCTCAGGCACCCAATACATACGGTACATATAATCATCACTGAAAGCACACATCACCAGTTCTCATCCATGCTGAATTTTGTTTTCTATCCTGTAAGTACGGTAATGTATTTCTCACTCTATACTGGGAGAAGGAGTTCTGTTAAAAACACTTCCACTGCTGTGGGTAGAATTTTTACACCCTTACCGCTATTCACACACAGTAACACAATCACCAAGTGAGAAAAAAGAAAATATAAACGGCACCTACACAGAACCACATTCCATTATTCTGTATTATTTAATATGGAATAACTATTATTTTGTGGTTCTGTATTCAATCACTAAAAGTAATGTCACTCTGGGAATATTTTACTGAAAGGTCTACAGCATATTTTTTTTAAAACGACGCTCTGTCCTGACACATGCACTGAAATTCAGGAAATTCAAGCTTATCACTCCGGTGCATTAAAGAGCACATGCTTGAGGAGAAGCCACTGCCCTCCCATACTTCACACATCCTGCTTATTGTGTGAAAGATAGAGGTCTAGTGGGCTAATCTTCAGCCTTCAGAACTACTGCTAATGTCTGAAGAGCCTCCATTATCTCCATTGCTCTCTGTAGCTGCTCAGCTCCACTACATTTCATTTATTAGACTTATTAGTTGCTTGTCACCTGGAGGTCTCCAAGCATCTGAGAGAAAAAGAATATATATACACACAATACCAGGGGAGGGGGGAATCATATAATACATTGATATTTCATATAAATTCCATTAAAAAATACCAAAATAATAAAGCAATACTCATGGGAACGGGGTGTGCAAAAACCCACTAATAGTTAGTTGCGCTGTATTTTGAGAGTGCTCATTTTCATGCTGTGCTGCCTGTATAACCAACCAGACAACCCACACACAAAAAGCGCAGAACCAAACATGGCTTCTGTTCCAACAGGCCCTCTTGCTCTTCTACTGTGCAAGTTATGCAGAGAAAAAACAAAATGGTGATACTTTCGTTGGCGAAGCAAGGTGTTCTACAAGGTATTTTGGGATCTCTCCAGTACCAGTTAAGGACAACTGACCTAAAAAGCTGTATGGTAGCCAGAGTGAACAAGGCTCCACCTGGTAATCTACTTGGCAAAATGAGGTGAATCAAAATTAAGTGGAGGCAATTTCTTCAGTATAGGTATGTGCCAAATCAAGTGCAACATATTGTTTTCACCTGGTGTTTTGTGTCCTACACTTCAAAAGCAAGGTGTCAAGGCACCAAATCAAGGAAGCTCCTGTGGGAAATTTGTTTAGAATTCCCTATTGCAAAACATAACTCCAAAACTTATTAAACAATCAGAAGCTAGTTCAAAAAATATATAATTGTTCTCTCTTTTCTATTTACCTGAGACTACAGCTACAGCTGTCTTTTACATATTAGCAACTTGTGGTCTCTGCAACAAATCCAACCCTCAGTAATACAACGAAGACCCCACAGTTGCCAAAATAGAAGCAGAAGGAGCACTTGAAGGCAAGTGCACCGAATGTACTACAAGTGCACTCTGACAAGACAGCAACTGAGCAGGGATTGACCATTTGCCACTTCTTATTCAAAATTATCCTCTAGTAAAAATAGCTACCGCACAGCAAATAGCTTAGAGAAATTGGAATGGCTTCTAAATCCCACTAGTTACTCTGCCTTTGAAAGGCATGGCAATACTCTTTTGGTCAATTTTTCCATGGCGGGTTGGATGGAGGCTGCACGCCTATCATGACATATCCAAACCCCTCACCTCCTACATAGTTAACACGGATGATAGAGTTGTGACTCACCTCAAGCTCCGGAATAGGAATGACAATGTCTCATGGTAAGGAGAGGGGAGAACTAGAAAGCCTGCTAGTCCATGTAGAATAGAGAAAGCTCCAGGCATGCACATGTATGCTTTAATTAAACACAAATTAAGGGAAGGCAAGTTCTAACCCTGCTCCAAAACAAAGCAAGGAAAACAGCAACAGAATATGGGTAAGAGATTCCTCCGGCATCTTAAAGGCAAATCAATTCATTCTGGCCTAAAATTTCATAGGCCAGAGTCCAGTTTAACAGATGCATGACAAGGCACCTAAATGGGTTTAGGGTGGCTGGGTGGGTGAGTGAGTAGGTAGAATGCACAAGTGTGTTTATTTTACACATGCATCCTCAGTACATAGAAAAGAAGACTCTTGGTTGCATTAGATTTTTGGCCAAACTCAGCAAGGCCAACAACCCGCCCAACGTGACAGTACATAGAGTAGAAAAGCACACAGAACTGAACCAAGAATTTGCCAATATAACCCTAAATTGGAGTTTGACGAGTCCCAAGCCCTAGGCAGCCTTTGCTGTGACCATTTTAGCTTGATCAGGCTTCACCTAGCCATGCAAAGTAAGCGACTCAACACTCGCTCTGGACTTGTATCTGTGCAGCTGATGGGAGAGAGAGCTCGAATAAACTTGGCAATGTGGTCAAGTCAGATACGAAACACAAGATGCCAAGCAAGGCGGGGAAAGTTCCTCAAAGACCCCAACCACCCTCTTCTTCTTCTTCTTCGCCGCCCCCGCCCCCCGAGGCGTTGCAAGAAGAGCATGCGCTCGCTGGGCAAATAATGGGTGGGTGGGTGACAGAGAGGCGTTCAATGGAGCCGGAGGGGGGGGGGCGCGACCACAGGAAAGGGAGTTGACTGGAACCCAATGGAGGAGTTCAATGGAGGCGCGGCGAGGAAGGAAGACTTCCCGGGCTCGGCGGGAAGGAGACCCCCGCCCGGCATGGAGGCGAAAGGGGACGGAGAGGAGGAGGAGGAGGAGGGCGGGCGCCGCCGGAGCCGTGGGCGTCGGCAGCAGCCGCCTGGCCATCCCTGCGGGCCTCGGCGAGGCGCCCCCGGGGCCGGCTGAGGGAAGGCGCTGCTCGCCCACACGCCGCCGGTGCCCGAGAAGCTGCCGCCTCCGCCGCCGCCCTCGACTCACCTGCTGACGAGACGCGAGAGGAGCGGGCAGAGCGAACGCGGGACGCGGCGAGGAAGCCGAGCTGCCCGGCCCGAGCTTAGCCGCCGCCGTCGCCTCCCTCCCTTCCTCGCCCGCCTCAGCCCGCTCGCTTCAGCCGCTCTCATTCAGCACCGGCGGCCGCTTATCCTCTGAGGGGAGGGAGAGGGAGGGGGAGGAGGAGGAGGAGGAGGAGGCGTCTCCCGGCGCACGCACGCACGCACGCGCACGCTCCCCCGCGCAAGGTAGGGAGGGAAAGAGAGGGACGCATGCGCGCGCGCGCGCGTCTTTCCCTCCTGGAATTCCGCTGGATGGGAAAGCGGGAGAAGAGAAGGAAGCGCGCAGGCGCGATCTGTCCTGCCCGTTTTTTGTTCGGCCCCTTTAAGAGGCTGTGAGCGCGAGCGGCCCGGCGGCGTTAGGAAAAAGCGGGCTCCGATTGGTCGCTGCCGCGAGAGAGCTCCCTCCCACCGCGAGGAGTTAACTGTCACAATGGCGGCGGCCAGCGGCCTCGGAGAGAGAGAAGCAGCGGAGGCCGGGCGCCCCCTTCGGATGCCGCGCCGCTTATCCCGGAGGAGGAGGAGGACTGGAGAAAGGAAGGTGAGATGGGGGCGGAGATGGGGGGCGGTGGGGGTGCCCCCAATGTGTCCGGGTTTATAAACTCCCTATGTATAAAAGACAAGTACAGTGGTACCTCAGGTTAAGTACTTAATTCGTTCCGGAGGTCCGTTCTTAACCTGAAACTGTTCTTAACCTGAAGCACCACTTTAGCTAATGGGGCCTCCTGCTGCCGCCGCGCCGCCAGAGCGCGATTTCTGTTCTCATCCTGAAGCAAAGTTCTTAACCCGAGGTACTATTTCTGGGTTAGTGGAGTCTGTAACCTGAAGCGTATGTAACCTGAAGTGTATGTAACCCGAGGTACCACTGTACAGTGAAACAGTCCCAGCAGGGATATTAGGAAATAATAAGTCTGTAACCTGAAGTTTATGTAACCCGAGGTACCACTGTACTTCTGACAAGACAGAAGTACTGTTTTGGGGGGACAGGGGGCGGGCTGGTGTGGAGGATTCCCTGGTCCTGAATGGGGTAACTGTGCCCCTGAAGGACCAGGTGCGCAGCCTGGGAGTTATTTTGGACTCACAGCTGTCCTTGGAGGCGCAGGTCAATTCTGTATCCAGGGCAGCTTTCTACCAGCTCCACCTGGTATGCAGTCTGAGACCCTACTTGCCCGCAGACTGTCTGGCCAGAGTGGTGCATGCTCTGGTTATTTCCCGCTTGGACTACTGCAATGCGCTCTACGTGGGGCTACCTTTGAAGGTGACCCAGAAACTACAACTAATCCAAAATGTGGCAGCTAGACTGGTGACTGGGAGCAGCCACCGAGACCACATAACACCGGTCCTGAAAGACCTACATTGGCTCCCAGTACATTTCCGAGCACAATTCAAAGTGTTGGTGTTGACCTTTAAAGCCCTAAACGGCCTCGGTCCAGAATACCTGAAGGAGCGTCTCCACCCCCATCGTTCAGCCCGGACACTGAGGTCCAGGGCCGAGGGCCTTCTGGTGGTTCCCTCACTGCGAGAAGCAAAGCTACAGGGAACCAGGCAAAGGGCCTTCTCGGTAGTGGTGCCTGCCCTGTGGAACGCCCTCCCACCAGATGTCAAAGAGATAAACAACTACCAGACTTTTAGAAGACATCTAAAGGCAGCCCTGTTTAGGGAAGCTTTTAATGTTTAATAGGTTATTGTATTTTAGTGTTTTGTTGGAAGCCACCCAGAGTGGCTGGGGAAACCCAGCCAAATGGGCGGGGTATAAATAAATTATTATTATTATTGTTGTTGTTGTTGTTGTTGTTGTTGTATAAAAACCGTTTATTTTAATTTTTGTGTGTGTTCTAGACCTTGTCAAGGTCTTTCTTAGCTGAGCTGCAAGCTCACCCTTTGCCTTGTTTCTTACATCTTTCTTTGAAACTGAGTTTCCCTTTTCTCCCTGCAGATGTTGGGCTCGCATTTAAGGAGAGGGAGGAGGAGGAGGAGGCCGAGTTCCGTCTTGTGGGAAGGATGCTAAGCGAGCCTTGATCCAGATGGATGGACCTGTCTTCCCTTTACTGGGCGTGGGTGGGGTGCTGATGGGGTACCTTGGCTCTGCCAGTGCTCTGAAGAATGTGCACTAAAGCACAGGCCATCTCCTCTTTGTTCCGGACACTGATGACTGGCTCCAGAACAGAGAATAGCATTGTGTAGTTGTTGGTCACAAATTCAGCAAACTCTTTGTACTGCTCCATGGGGAGGATGGAAATAGTCTGGTAACGACATTTTATCCGTATGGATGGACCTGTCTTCCCTTTATTGGGTGTGGGAGTGCTGATGGGATACCACTTCTCCACGAATTGCCGACCAGTCACAGCAGCTATGGGGATGTTGACCAGACCCACATAGTTGTTCTTGTCCTTTTTCTTCTTCTTTTCGACATCTTTATAGATGTGGATGGTGATGCTATGGGCAGGTGGAAGGCCAGAGAACCCAAAGTGCTCTCCCCAGAAGATATTATCATTTTTCATTTTGCTGGTTGTGTGGGCAAATGAGGTATCGTCCATACACAACAGCCCCGGGTATCATCGCTGAGAGGGGTGACATTCGGCCGGGCCAGCCTTCCAAAGAATGTCACCCCTGGGTGCGCCACCTGCCCGCGACTCCCAAGCCTCCCCCAAGCTGTCAAAACGAAGGGGGAAGGCCGCCAGCACAGAGGCGCCGGAGTGTGGCGCAGCTTTGCCGGCAGCCTTCCTCTTTCATTTCAACAGCTCAGGGGAGGCTTGGGAGTCGCGGGCAGGTGGCGCACCCAGGGGTGACATTTTTTGGAAGGCTGGCACGGCCTTCCAGAAGGCAGCACCTGGCTTGCAGCCCCCAGAGTGCAGCTCCACTTCTCCCAATGTTCCCGGAGGGCTATGGAGGAGGATGACTGGAGAATGGTAGGTTAGATGGGAATGGGGTGAGCGAGGAAGTATTGGTGGCAGGGAGGGGGCAGGAGGCGGAGATGTGGGATGGTGGGTAGGGGTGCCCCGAATGTGTCTGGGTTTTTGTAACCCTAAACTGCATTTACTTCGCATTACCCTCAAGATAACAAGTTTTATATTGTGCCTCATGATTCACTGCTCCCCTTGTGAAGTGTTAATAAAATTAGCAGGCTCAGCTTACATCGTATTGTGTGTGTGTGTGTGTGTGTGTGTGTGTGTGTACAGTCCATAAATAGTGTTTACCTAGAACCTTTAATAAAGTTTAAAAATAATGAGGCTGAAATACAGAACTATATACTTTTCTTGTTTTTAAGATTTAGAAATCACAATAGTGTGTGATGAGACAAACACTTTCCTTGTTTTAATCAAATGTCTTAGTAGATTCTACTTATTTAAAAATGACAGGCATTTTGGACAGACTTGTTAGCAGTAATTATATCCATGGCATGCTATTAGGAAAATATACTGCCCCACCAGTGTTTTGGCTTTTAAAAAAATACAGGATATTGCCATAATCAGTTTTTTAAAAATATATTGAGGTGAGGGATAATTGTAACATTCAAAACAGGTTTATTTAGAAGTGGTCTATGTTTACTTTAATTTGGATTTAGTCTGCCTTTTAGCCCAAGACGGCTGAGTACCCTACACAGATTAGAATGCTAAAATTTTATCTCATGTTGCCCCTCTTTAATTTTAAAATACCTAAGGTGTTTCCCTTTCTTGAGTCTCTCCTTGTATTACCATATGTTTTGTATGTCTCGTGACATTTAAACACTTAATAAAAGCACTGCAGGGACGCGGGTGGCGCTGTGGGTTAAACCACAGAGCCTAGGACTTGCCGATCAGAAGGTCGGCGGTTTGAATCCCCGCGACGGGGTGAGCTCCCGTTGCTCGGTCCCTGCTCCTGCCAACCTAGCAGTTCGAAAGCACATCAAAGTGCAAGTAGATAAATAGGTACCGCTCCGGTGGGAAGGTAAACGGCTTGTCCGTGCGCTGCTCTGGTTCGCCAGAAGCGGCTTAGTCGTGCTGGCCACATGACCCGGAAGCTGTACCCGGCTCCCTCGGCCAATAAAACGAGATGAGCACCGCAACCCCAGAGTCGGTCACGACTGGACCTAATGGTCAGGGGTCCCTTTACCTTTACTAAAAGCAATGCAATATTATAACGGGATGGAAATTTTCTCAACGCCTGGTAAAAAAGACTTTGGAAACTACAAAGATTGGCCAAATAAAAATTGGCACATTCTGTATCAAAAATATGTACATAGCCATCTCAAATGTAGATGTATTTTCACTGAGGTGGGGAAATTGTAGTTAAGCATCTCACTTTGGGCACATTTTAGCCAAATTTCAGCCTGGCCTGTCTCCTGCTGAAATCAGAGTTTCATGTTGCTTGGAAGTAAATCCTGCTGATTCTACTCCCAACATATGCACACAATGTTTCCCCAGATTAGCATCTCAGCTCTGAGCTCTTTCAATTGCTCATCCAATAGTTGTCAGATTATAGCAACAATCAGTGAGGCGTTCAACAGTGTCTTTTTCATATTGGGTTCTTTTTGTCTCCCCCTTAACACTGCCTTGAAAACTTGTGTCTGTCTCTTTAAGTAAACAATGCATTCTGTTCCCACACCAATGGATTCGGTTTCACTTTTATAACTAGCACCACACAGATAGAAAGTTAAAAGTAATATAAGATGAAGGTATTTGACAAACCAGAGCATCCTTATCCATTTGTAAACTTTCTTAATCACCAGTAATTAAGCTAAGCTTTTTGCTTTGTTTTTCAGCCTGTTAATTAATGCCTCTTATTATGCCAGCAGCCAAATTGCCTTCTGGGTAATAATTAATTGGCAGATGGATCACCCAAGTCGTAATTGCTTCCAGTCTCAAAAACAGTTAAAATAAGGAAGGTTTTTGCTGATCTGATGCCCTGAAGGCTAACACTGAGAACTATTGTGTCGTGTCTGGGTACAATGGGGGTTCCTCTCTCTAAGACCCTCCTCCACATCTGAAAACTTATTGTCTCAGGTGAATGGCTTCCATCAGGTCATGTAAGGTTATCCCTTATCTCCCTATCTTCAAAGAGGGAATGGGACACCAAGATCTTCATCTTGGCTATCATAATTTTTTCCGCTGACAGAAAAAAAAAGCGCTGACAGCCGAAAACTAGTCAGCCATCTCTGCTCCCCAAAAGTCAACTCCATACTCCTAATATATGTGTAATATTTGCACACTTTTTGTTTGAGAACTGCACTGCAAAATTTGGAGAATACAAATTTCGGAGAAAAGTTGTGTTTAGTTTCCCATATGGCTTGGGGGAATGCAAATTAGGCTTGAATTAAAAGGTGGACTGAGTCAGATTTCTCCCCCATCCTTATGAATACACATGCATGAATCAGCTATCAGCTCAGTAATGAGTTCACTGCCATCAAGTGTATGTCTAACCAACATATTTTCACATGACACCCATGAGAGCTGTTTGTGCCCAGAATATGTAACATACTGCCTTGTGTTACTTTTGTGAATAATGCCCCACAGAAAAATAGTTGTCAAACAAACTTGCATGTTGAAAACTACCATTATCATGTTGATCCTTTAATGAAAGTTGCAGAGAGAGGCATCTCTGAAGACATATGCTGTATACATAATGGACTAACAGAATTATGTATAATAGGATTTATGAACTATCTGTAAAGGCAAGATTCCAAAGACAACCGCTCTTGCCAGTTGTACATAGCAATGGATCGCCATTTTAAGTAAACAAAGTAAAGATTGTGTCTGCCACAAGAATTCTAGAGATTTATCCTCCAAGCTCTTCAATATAAATGCATCTGTCCTTTTGCTTAAATCCTTCCCATCTGTTCTCATATACGGTTCCAGTCTCAAGCAGTGATTAACCAGCTACTGTGGAAAAACACCTGTTCCTTTAATTCATGGTCATGGGTTAGTTATTTAAAGTAAGCTATGACTTGCTTAGAATTTTGAAAATCAGTATGAAAACCCAATTAATATAATACATCAGACAACAGAACTGCAGGTTATACAGGTTGCAGAACTGCGGTTGAGTGGTATAATTAATTAGAGACAGACAGTCTCTGGCAAGAACTTTCACCCTTAGCTCTTCAATGTGTGTGGCATAGTATTATCATTTGGGTCCATTGGTCCATGATACCAACTCCATGCCACTTTTTCAGAGCTCTTCCTTTCCACTCTCCCACTGTGTTTTTATTTACTTTCCTCCCTCCCTTCCTGAAATCATTCAGTTGATTCAGCTGCAATGAAACCAAGTGCTTGTAACCTGATTTGGATTTGGGACATAGCATTTTAATTGTCGCAGCTGTCTCCTACAATCAATTGTATGGACCCCAAATAGGAAAATAATTAGCTATTATAAGAATCCAGTTCACTTAGCTTCCATTCCCTAAAGTTAGACAACGTACTTCACACACAAGCTGATGAAAGGTTGTGATCTAATGCTCTGATCAGAGGTGCCAACTTGAATAAAATATGGGGGGGGGCAGGCAGTGCTTTTTTCAGGGGGTACTCACGGATATGCATTACTGGCACCTCTTGTCAAAAGTGTGGCACTTACTGTAACAACTTCATAAAGAGGATGGGCAACTATTTTTCTATTTAAAGAAGTACTGGGGGCAAGTTCATAATCGATCACAAGATGTGGCACATGCACACCGTTTGAATGGCAATGTCCATCAGCTTTGTGGAGGGGCAGCCCCTCAAATATTTCATTTGGGCGGGGCAAAGGGACCTGATAATAGTAATAGTAATAATAATAATTTATTATTTCTACTCCGGCCATCTGGCTGGGTTTCCCCAGCCACTCTGGGCGGCTTTCAACAGAACATTAAAAACAGAATAAAACTTCAAACATTAAAAACTTCCCTAAACAGGGCTGCCTTCAGATGTCTTCTAAAAGTCAGATAGTTGTTTATTTCCTTGATATTTGATGGGAGAGCGTTCCACAGGGCAGGTGCCACTACCAAGAATGCCCTCTGCATGATTCCCTGTAACCTTACTTCACGCAGTGAGGGAACTGCCAGAAGGCCCTCAGAGCTGGACCTCAGTGTCCAGGCTGAACAATGGGGGTGGAGGTAGGTAGCCGTGTTGGTCTGCCATATTTGAAGAAGCGTGCATGCACACGAAAACTCATACCAATAACAAACTTAGTTGGTCTCTAAGGTGCTACTGGAAGGAGTTTTTTTATTTTGTTTCGGTGGGGGTGGAGACGCTCCTTCAGGTATATTGGGCCGAGGCTGTTTGGGACCTTGGCCTCTAGGAATGGCTCCTATGGCTCTGGTAGTCTCCCATCTCCTCGTTACTGTCACTCGGGTTTCTTCCTCCTCTAGTCCCGCAAAAGTGTTATGCCCACTTTCTGGGCTATGTGCAACCCTTGTGTTTGGCTGCTCAGAGTGACCTGTCAATCAGTGCCCACCCAGGTCAAGAGCCCTTAAAAACAGAATGCTGCCAACAACCCTTTATCTTTAATCCCTTGTTGTGCAACCAACGCCAGAGACTACAGGGTCAGAAGTGACCTGAAGAGGAGGTTTTGCTGTTATATTTTCTAGCATAGGGTTACATTGGCTAATATTCCGGGTCAGTTGTTTACTACTCATTAATACCACTCCACTTAAATAAACTGCTTAATTAGGATTCTCTGGCTGGACTGATTTCTGAATGTGCTTAAGGGCTGTTCGTCCTCTCCTGTTGGTTGAACTGCACTGGTTTAAAGTGCCCTGGAGGTCAAAAAGGGGTGACGGGTGGAAGCTGCCAGGCAGGAGACATGGAGTTTGGCTGGCTGTCCTCCTACTCCCAAGTAGAACACCATAAAGTAGTGGGAATCCTGCACACCTTGCCCTAGGTGACAGAGGGGCAGATAGCAAGAAGAGAGAGTAGGGTGTGTCATCCGCTGCTAGTGAGCTACTCTGCTGGGTTGGCATTGGAGTGGAGGGACACCATCCATAACAGCATTCAAATCAAAGACTGCCCAAAGACTTCAGTCGTTCAGCTGTGATGTTATACTAGCTCTTATGAACCAAAGGCTGGAATCCAGTGAGTGTGTGCACACCAACTGGAGAGCGATAGCAAGGTGAACATTATAAGAGCTTTTAAAAGTAGCAAATGTCATATATTCAAGGGCATGAGCATGGTTGCACAAGGAAAGAAAAAATCCACAGGGGGAAAAACATTTTGCTGCATTATAGAGAAAAACTTTTCTTACTTTCTGCATCCATTCCCCTATTTGGAATGCCAGAATCCAAAACAGTCATAAACTGCATTTAAGGCTTAATCATGAGCATGACTGGAGCTATTGTTGTTGTTATGTCGGCTTTTTAAAAATTCCATGCTATGATTCTTCATTTACTGCCCCAGTTTTGCTCTGTAGCATCAAAGATTTAAGAGCTTTGAGGAAAGGCAGAATCTGCAATAAAAACACTTTTTAAGTGTACCATTAGCATTCATGCAGTCATGCTTTCACAGAGTCTTCTTAAATGGCTTAGATGCAAACAGAAGGCTTCTCTGTTTTCTTTTATAGCCCCAGCATCTTCTGGTCCATTCATTTTTAGCGCAATTGGATTCCAGCAGACATTATCCTTCAAGACGTCTTCATTCTGAATGAAGCTTGCTCTTCCAGCAACTCCCCTCCCCACCCAGCCCTATGAGGCAACTGGCTACTCATGATTTAAAGCAACGCTGCCCAAAGAGGCGGAGAGGCCTATGACAAGGAAGCAGGTTAGACAGATGCTCCAGAGACCAGAGCCTGTGATGAGTTGGCATCCAGTAAATGATTCAGTGTGGCGAAGCGACGCAGTTGTTATCTGTCAACAGCAGCAGACTGCAACCTGAACCCAGGAAAACATGTTCTCAAATGGGACACTGACCCACAACAATGCAGATACAAATGCCAACATAGAATACAGTGGTACCTCAGGTTAAGTACTTAATTCATTCTGGAGGTCTGTACTTAACCTGAAACTGTTCTTAACCTGAAGCACCACTTTAGCTAATGGGGCCTCCTGCTGCCACCGGAGCACGATTTCTGTTCTCATCCTGAAGCAAAGTTCTTAACCCGAGGTACTATTTCTGGGTTAGTGGAGTCTGTAACCTGAAGCATATGTAACCTGAAGTGTATGTAACCCGAGGTACCACTGTACAGTGAAACAGTCCCAGCAGGGATATTAGGAAAACTTCCGTCTCTTCCCTTTATCTTCTTCTTGGTAGAGGGGGAAAAATGAAAATCTCATCAACCAAAGAGGCAGGGGCAAGAAATTGTCGGATCATGGGGAAGGAATTTGCATAAAACCTGCCGACTCTTTCAGAACTGATGAGGCAAGGTGAGGTGGCTGCCTCAGGCATATGATGGGGGGGGGGCATTAAGGACAGCAGATTGAAGGCAGCCTGATATGGCCCTTACTCAGTTCTGCATAAGTCTCATGGAAATGAACAGGCATTGCACAAGGTTTCCTATCCACTATGCAGTTCTGTTCCAGGAGTAAAAGGAGATTTGTTCAGGCTGTCACATACAGCTGCTGTGGATGAACTGCATATGAAGCAATAGTGCTTGCTGCCTTTTAAAGAGCAGAGACCCATCTGAGCCCTGTGGGACTGCCGCGCTGAGACTGGAGCTCAATCTGTGCCTGCTCCTGCAGGTAGAACTTCAGATCATCTGCCCTCATATGACGCCACGTGATGGACCCTGCACATCTGTCAACAAAGGCCCTCCCACCAGGTCCACTTCCTCACCCTAGACCTAGGCAGCGTGAACCATCCTGGGATATAGTTTAATGAACGGTGGTATAGAAATGCGTTAAAATAAATGCATTCCTGTGGGGCACTATTGGGCTTCACCACAGAGAATTGGGCTTCAGGAGACAAGATCAGCAATGGTGGGGAATCTGTTTGGCATTAATGGCCTTATCATTTAATAACTCCTAGGACTCTAGGACTTTCTGACCAGAAAGCAGTTTAAAAACTGATAGTGTAACACGTAGAGGTATTGCCCTAATATGGATTTTGGAATTTTTCTTATGGGCCAACAAAACTGCCTTTAATATTTGGTCAGTATATAAAACAACATTTTAAAAATCTAACAGCATCTGATATACAGTGTGCAGTGGGAAAGTCACCCTAAATTTTGAATATTTATGGATATTTTGTTTGTCTCTAATAAAATAGATACTTCTTGGGGGGTTTTCTCAGTAGGCTCTAAGGAAAGTTGAAAAACATTCACAGTGAAATTCACATTTAATTAATTTATTGCAGTGTTCAAGTCTAAATTACATTTATAAGAGGGAGTTGCAAGATGTCTAAGCTATATTCTTACCCTTCAAAAGTAGCAGTAATGGAAATTGGTTCTTACTGACAAAACAATTAGCTTGGAACACGATGAAGTTAAAATTCCACTAGTTAATTTATTGTGGTTTCAAGAACAAGCACAAACAAAGTGTTCTTTGGGGATAAAAATCAGTAGAACACTTGATGTTTGGCACAGACCAGATGATCCCAGGTGTGCCACCACTTTCTCGCAGTTCCTTTTGGCAATAATTCATTTCCCTTACCTGATCTTTTAGGTTTCCTTATGGCAGGTGTGGGAGAGGAAGTCCCATTACATGTGCACACATAAGTCCTACTTACTGCTACGTGTACACAGAAGTTAAGAGCCTTAATAAGGTGCAATCCCTTAGCAAAAGTTGGCCCAATACACTATTAAATGTTCTCATTAAAACAAAAAACTACTGCAATATGTTCAAACCTACAAGTTCACATACATTTCCCCCCTTTTCTGTTGTGACTGCTTTGTTCCCATTCCATCCACATATAACCTGCAAATACGGTAATCCTCTGTTCTGCAATTTACGGAAGCAGTAGTTATTTCATACAGCACCTCTCAACAAAGAATAAAGGAATGAGGATGCAGGATTTGCAAGTTCTTAAAGAACTGCCTCATTGATTGAATGAAAATCCCACCGGTACAGCATTCTGTTTGCAACACCAGCCAGAGAGATGCCTTTAGGGAGCTCATAAAAAGGCAAGAATGTCTCTTGCCTATTGTCTCTCTCCAGCATCTGGTTATAGAGATACAGTATACTGCCTCTGTGTAAAGAGGTTCCATTTCTCTGTTATGGCTAATAATAATTGATAAGCATGATTATCAGTTCATGAATAGTTTTACTCCATTAATTTATCCAATATTTTAAAACAGCCATCTGAGCCAAGAACTGGAGGGCTGAATCTTCCAGTGACAAATTAGATTTGGCCCCAAAAGTATCACTGTGGAAGTGTGACCGCTTCAGTGACAAAGTGCTGTTGCAGCCACAGAGGGCAAATCTAATTTAAAGTTGTTGTTTAAAAGGAAAACAACTTGATTTGGAAGTTCACAGGTTTGCAAGCTCTGCCCATTCTTGAATATAGATTCCTACATCAACCGGAGAATTTGGGCAGCTGTACTTGAGGCTTAAAGACTGGCAAGCCACTTGCTAAGAGTAATACTAGAAACTAAGAGTTACATGCTGACAGAGGCCTGAAGGGCCGGATTCAATGTCGACATCTGTTTTCCCTCCCCTGCCACAAGGGAGAATAATAATAATCTCACTTAAGGACTAAGTAGAAAGCTAAGACCATGCGGCAGCTTCTTGGTCTGAGGGTCTGAAGTCAACAACAGAAGCCCTGTCCACCTCTGCGTCTGGTCCTTTGACCTCTCACAGAAGCTAGACTTCTGTCTCAACACACCTGGGAGATTAATAAACTGAAGGGTAGGCATGCAGGAGAAATCCATTCAGCTGGCATTTGAAGCCTTATCTATCAAATCTGCACTTCCCCAAACAATACACCGACTGGCCAGCTAAAGCAGGTGAGGGTAGCCTATAGGTCTCAAACCCTCAGTGAGTTAGGGAATTCCCCTGCGTGTAAAGACAGGCTCCGGCAAACTGAATTCACACTAAACTCCTGATGAATTTTCACTGCAGAAATGCAGAGAACTGAAATACAGTGGTACCTCGGGTTACATACGCTTCAGGTTACATACGCTTCAGGTTACAGACTCCGCTAACCCAGAAATAGTGCTTCAGGTTAACTTTGCTTCAGGATGAGAACAGAAATTGTGCTCTGGCGGCGCGGCAGCAGCAGGAGGCCCCATTAGCTAAAGTGGTGCTTCAGGTTAAGAACAGTTTCAGGTTAAGTACCTCTGGAATGAATTAAGTACTTAAACTGAGGTACCACTGTAATAATAATAATAATAATAATAATAATAATATTTTTTTTATTTATACCCCGCCCTTCCCAGTTCAAAAACCGGGCTCAGGGTGGCTAACAACAAATTTAAAACACTTAATTGTAAAAGCAGCATAAAATACAGTATAAAAACATGAATAACAATAAAATTCAAAGTTCAGAAATCAATTTAGGGGAAATCCATCTAATAAGCATTAGATAATCACCAGGGCTAGCTGGCTGAATTGGTCCTACTTGGGCCAGCAAGGAGGCCAGGGGAGAATTACCTGTTGGGTCTCAGAGCAGGTGAACTTCATAAAAGGGGAGAGGGAGGGAAGAGAAGGGAAATAAAAGATCAGGCTGAATTCAAATTAAAGGCCAGGCGGAATAGCTCTGTCTTACAGGCCCGATGGAAGGAGGTTAAATCCTGAAGGGCCCTAGTCTCCTGGGACAGAGCATTCCACCAGGTCGGAGCCATCACTGAAAAGGCCCTGGCCCTGGTGGAGGATAGTCTGACTTCCTCAGGGCCTGGGACCTCTAAACTGTGGTTATTCATGGACCTTAAGGTCCTCTGCGGGGCATACCAGGAGAGACGGTCCCGTAAATGAGGATTGGAAAATGACAAGAGGAGTGAACCACAACTGAGACAGGTCCTTCCATACTTATTGAAGAGAAATATATAGCTGAACTCCTCTTTGGTTAGCAGCTTTTGGCAAGGTAATGCAGGAATTATCCACCTATTCCTAGTTGTGTCTTGTGCAAAAGTGTGAGTAATATGTCTGCTAAAGACATGTGAAATTAATAGAGCTGTGTGTGTCCCAAGAGGCAGTGTGTAAATCCTGATGTTAATTACTTGTCCCAGACTAGCTGGGGCCACAAATGCACCAAACTAAGGCCTGAATGTGTTTGCCAAATAATAAACGTAATCTTCTAGAGGTTCCTGTGGATACAGACACAATCCATCAACACTGCAGCATCTTATAAACACAAGAAAGCTCTTATTACATGCTATCATGTTGCTGCTTGTCTGATGCTCACTGCCATGGAAGGCTTAGAGGACACATCAGAGCTGTCATTGTCTCTCAAACAAAACAGAAGAGTTACAGGAAATTCTTGATTCCACCCATGCACACCTAGGTCTAGTGCCATCTAGGAACTTTGTCTCTGTCATGACACAAGCCACACAACACACTTCCTGCCTGGAGAGCTCTTGCTCACTTTCTAAATGACATTTTGGTTGGTCTTTATAAAGATTTTGCCTGGCTATGGTATGGATGGTACTTTTTTTCTTATGGCCCAACACAATGTTTGTGAGTCTTAGAGAATACTGTATGTTAACTTCTCCAAACATGAAAATCAGGGATATCTTCCTTCCCAGTCTGATGACAGCAGTCCTTTCAGTTTCCTGGTAGAAGTCCAACCGCTGCAACATGCAGTTGCACTCACTTTCCTCACTTTGCCCAGGCTACACTTTTCAGAGAATTTGCTCTGCTGTATTGTGGCCCCATGCCATATGTAGGCGTAATATATTTTGTAGTTGCTCAGAGACATCTGACATCTTTGCATCCCCCCAACATGACATGTCTCAGAAATGATAATGAAGTAGTTGTTCACATATGGCGTAAATTGAATGCTCTTGTGAAAAACAGATCAATTGTCGTGAAGGGTTTTTGCATGCAAGAAAAATATTGTATCAAACATCTGTGCACGGGCATCTTTTTTGTGTCCAACATTTCTTAAAATTACAGTTGTATGATGGCTCAAACCTCCTGGCAAATAGAAGGGGGAGAAATGGAGGCGGTGAGAGATTTTACTTTCTTGGGTTCCATGATCATTGCAGATGGTGACAGCAGTCATGAAATTAAAAGACGCCTGCTTCTTGGGAGCAAAGCAATGACAAACCTAGGCAGCATCTTAAAAAGCAGAGACATCACCTTGCCGACAAAGGTCCGTGTAGTTAAACCTATGGTTTTCCCAGTAGTGATGTATGGAAGTGAGAGCTGGACCATAAAGAAGGCTGATCGCCAAAGAATTGATGCTTTTGAATTATGGTGCTGGAGGAGACTCTTGAGAGTCCCATGGACTGCAAGAAGATCAAACCTATCCATTCTGAAGGAAATCAGCCCCGAGTGCCCACTGGAAGGACAGATCCTGAAGCTGAGGCTCCAATACTTTGGTCACCTCATGAGAAGAGAAGATTCCCTGGAAAAGACCCTGATGTTGGGAAGAGGAAAAGGCGACGACAGAGGCATAGCTGTCAACTTTTCCCTTTTCTTGCGAGGAATCCTATTTGGAATAAGGGAATTTCCCTTTAAAAAAAGGAAACATTGACAGCTATGGACAGAGGATGAGATGGCTGGACAGTGTTCTCGAAGCTACTAACATGAGTTGAACTGCAAGAGGCAGTGCCTGGTGTGTTCTGGTCCAAGAGAGTCGGACACGACTAAACAACAACAACTTTATGAACCACATTCATTTCATTTTGAGCCATATATGAGCCCTGCCATGCTGTTAAAAACACTGCAATGTCATGTCACAATAAATTTAAATGGTCCTTATGTATTGATCCACATATAGTAAATTTAGTGCTTTCATTTATGACAAAGTACCTAATTGTGAGGAATTCTATACCAATGCACTAAAACCAGACAGTGACAAAACTGACATAGGAGTTCCTTCATCAGAGCAACAAAACCCAGCCCAATAAACCCTGCAGCCTCGGTATTTAATTTTGCCATGGCTCAGGTCTTCCTGGAGGCCAGTTCTCAGGCTTGTAAGCATTTTGCTTTCATCCCAGGCACATGAAGGTCAGCAGGGCTCGTGCTCAAGCTCTTTACTGTTTTGCATATCCAAAGGCAGAACCCCAGGACTCATAGCTAATCTACAAAGTGCAAGGGTCTGTTAGTAGACTGAGAGAGCTGCTAAATGAAAGATTACACCTAAAAGTTGGTTAACAACTGTTTGGATAAAGTCAAGCACTTAGTGCATCACTGCAGTTTGCTGCTCTGTCAAACAACAGTTTTTGGCTCGCATTTAGAACTGTGAACTCCGAGCAGCAGGCCGGGGCTATTTTTAGCAGAGCACTTAGTTTAATGAAGTTGAACTTGCCTCAAGAGGTTTCCATGAAAAGCCAAAATGCTTTCAGAAGTCTGGAATCCGGAGCTTTTGATTCCATGTGTTTGCTCAGAGCAAACTTTGTTTCCCTTCACTCTGCAGTTTCATAAAGCTTTGACAATATTCAAAATCATCTGCCTAGACCACAATTAGACCTATGTCAAATTATATTTTTATGTTTTTTTATTTTTTAAATGATATTTATTAAAATTTCAAAAAAAGGATTACATTGATAAGAAAAGTAACAATAGAAAAAAGAAAAATACAAAGTACAAAAACAAACAAACAATTAAAAACAATTCCATCTTTTCCTCACTTCTCTTACATTTACTTGTTTCCCGGACCTCCTCATACCTCCCTTTTTTGTATTCCAATTCAATTTATTAGTCCAGCAATTCCTTTCCCTCCTTTTTAATCCTGATCTTTAATCTTAATATATTATAGCATTAGGTTTTTGCATATTGAAAACCAATTTTTCCATCTTCTTTTATACCATTACAGCTAGAAACCGCTTAACTTCAATCCAACATCATTCTAACATTCATTAATTTTACAATATTTCTGTAAGTAGTCTTTAAATTTCTTCCAATCTTCTTCCACCGACTCTTCTCCCTGGTCTCTGGTCTTTCATTCAACCTATTTTTAAAGTAGGTTCCTGTTTAATTACGGTCCGGGCAGCTGATCTACCGTACTTGTAATATGTATATGCTCATTATCTTTCCTTATGGAACATGGAACATGTATATTGTATGGGAAGGTCAGGAGGAAAATAGTGGGGTAGAGGAAAGGGTTAAGAACTGGTAGCCACTGGTAGCCTTCTGACCCCTGCCTTTGCCATCCAAGTTGGAAATGGGAATTGCAACCAAACAGCCCACAAATTACAGAACACATATGCGAACACAGAGGTGACCTATGGGTTTATGATGGTTTCTGAGGAGAAGCCTTGGCAAAATAACCAAATCTAAGGTTTGCTTCCGTCTGATCCGCCACTATAAGCTGCAGTGTGAAGGTAGCTTTTGGGGACGCCATGTGAAAAACTGCAAATTCAGGGATATCCATTTTAATTCTAATGGACCCAAATTTTACGTGGACCCTGAAGAAATGCAAAGAACCTCTCTTCCCCACTCCGTTTTCTTCCTTTCTGCTGGTGTGTGTGTGTGTGGAGAGAGAAACAGCTGGAGCCTGTGGCGTCCGCACAGCCGTCCAGATTCCAAAAAGGTGAGCAAGACCTTGAGAACAACCACCTGCCACCCAGCCACAGCTTTCAGCATTCAGAAACCAAGGCAGAAATAGCGTTCAGGTGGGCTGCAAGTTCACTGGATGGAAAACAAGTTTTTCCTATGAAGAAATTGCGCTTGAATGCTGGGGAAATTAATATTCCAGCAAAAGCACTCACATCAGGAAGGAAATGGATTTGTACAACAAATGAGTAACAACTGACTCGGCAACAACAGCAGCAAAAAAATCAATATGTCTGAAATAAATACATCTGAAATCAATGCACCATCTCAAAAATCACCTTCCCTGTTCCTACACTGCCTAGGTCACATCTTGATTTTCCTGGCACTCAAACCTGCTTTTTGCCTAACTGGCTTCTGCTGGGCTTCCCCACCTTCAGACCCCCCCATCTTGGGTGGCGCCCACAGCCCCGTCCCAGAAGGCGCCCCCCTCCCCTGTGCACTGAGGAGGAGGAGGAGGCAAGTGAGCCGGCACAGGCAGACAGCCACACAAGCAAGTGAGCCGGCACAGGCAAGCAGCAACACAGGCAAGTGAGCCGGCACAGGCAGGCAGCCACACAAGCAAGTGAGTTGGCACAGGCAAGCAGCAACACGGGCAAGTAAGCCGGCACAGGCAGGCAGCGACACAGGCAAGTAAGCCGGCACAGGCAGGCAGCCACACAGGCAAGTGAGCCGGCACAGGCAAGCAGCAACACAGGCAAGTGAGCCGGCACAGGCAGGCAGCCACACAGGCAAGTGAGCTGGCACAGGCAAGCAGCAACACAGGCAAGTGAGCCGGCACAGGCAGGCAGCCACACAGGCAAGTGAGCCGGCACAGGCAGGCAGCCACACAGGCAAGTGAGCCGGCACAGGCAGGCAGCCACACAGGCAAGTGAGCCGGCACAGGCAGGCAGCCACACAGGCAAGTGAGCCAGCACAGGCAAGTAGCAACACAGGCAAGTGAGCCGGCACAGGCAGGCAGCCACACAGGCAAGTGAGCCGGCACAGGCAAGCAGCAACACAGGCAAGTGAGCCGGCACAGGCAGGCAGCCACACAAGCAAGTGAGTTGGCACAGGCAGGCAGCCACACAGGCAAGTAAGCCGGCACAGGCAGGCAGCCACACAGGCAGGTGAGCCGGCACAGGCAGGCAGCCACACAGGCAAGTGAGCCGGCACAGGCAAGTAGCAACACAGGCAAGTGAGCCAGCACAGGCAGGCAGCCACACAGGCAAGTGAGCCGGCACAGGCAAGCAGCAACACAGGCAAGTGAGCCGGCACAGGCAGGCAGCCACACAGGCAAGTGAGCCGGCACAGGCAGGCAGCCACACAGGCAAGTGAGCCGGCACAGGCAAGCAGCAACACAGGCAAGTGAGCCGGCACAGGCAGGCAGCCACACAAGCAAGTGAGCCAGCACAGGCAGGCAGCCACACCCTCACGCGTGAGGAAGTCTCTTGGCACTTACTCAGGCTTACTTCTGAGTAGGAGGCCGAGTTCTTGGCTATGTCTCGTCGCTTCTCCCTTTACTCACCTCAGGGGGCTGTTGTGACACCCATCGACCCACCCGCAATGTGCATTCCCCCTGCCCTGAGAATGTACTCAGAGCAAATATAGCACTGATAGCAAGGTGATGCAGGCGCCTGGAACACATTCTTGTTTGGTAGTCACTAAAATGAAGTTTAGTCTGTAGCAGCAAGCGAACAAGACCCCCAAGGGAAGCAGCAGAGCACATGCATTTCCCTGGCTTCTGCTGAAAAGAGGGATGGGGCGTGTCAGAGGCTCCCTTCATAAGTTGCTTTAATATTATTATTATTATTATTATTATTATTATTATTATTATTTTACACGAACTTGATCTGAAATACAAATGTGTGGTCCTGGTTCAACGGAATGTGAGAAGAGTGAACAACCAGCATTAGTAGGGAACCAGGAAGGGTCGCAACTAATGAGCAAAACAGATTGGGGAAAAGTGTGTTGCGAAAGAGCTGTAACAAGAAAAAACAGAGCAGTAAGAAATGCTCTGGCTCCATCTGGTGGGAGGAGCGAGGAAATGTCCTGCTACCATCTGCATCCCATCCCATTTTCTTTTGAGAAGTTTCAGATCATGTAGTGGAACATCTCTCAACTCTAGTAAGCTCAAGGAACTCGAAGAAGCTCAAAGCTACAAATGTTTAAAAGCTACCAAGGCACAGCCTGTGAAATCAAAACTGCCATGATCCAAAGGGTGTTGTTTGTTCCTCTGTCGTGTCAACCAGTAGTTTTGAGCATCTTATGCTTCTGAAGTAGGCTTTGGTTGTGCCAACTTGGGTGAAATGGTTTGCCTCTGCTGAGCTGTAAATATCCAAACAAGCACAGGCTTACAAAAGGGAACTCAAAATCCCAGTGTGCTGTTTCCAGTCCCTTTCCACTCCATATAAAGAGAATACTAACCGTTGACAGAGCTAAGTACTTCGAAAGCATAAGATGCTACTTCCATGTCTTTCACCCTGGCAGAAACAACCTGCTGCTCTCCGGCTGTTGGGCTCCACTGCCTTATCTGCATCAAAATTAATTTCAGTGTTCCATATTTCACACTAGAGCAAGATCGGAGCAATATCGACCCCAATCAGTTTTCTAGCAAATCAACAAAGATTGCCACTAAGAGTAAGCCTCCAGACTGGCCCATTTATCTAATTTGTTTTTAAACCGAGCAGATGGAGTTTCTTTGCTTAGCGTTGCCTCTGCTGCCTTGGAGCTATGTACCCAAGCCCGGCTCTGGGGCCATGCCAACGGAAGCAAACAACTTGCTTTGAATACCTTTCTTGTTCAAAGCTGCAGATGTTCTCCCTTGGGCCAATGGGCCTCACAAGCCGTGGACATTCTAGAGGTGTTCCCTTTCTGCTGTCTGCAGAGCTATGTTTGCAGATGCAAACTGGAGCTGAAGAGGCAGTGTTTGGCTTTTGCTTGGCTCATGGCATCCTCTGGTTATTTTCCCTATTTGAAAAAACAACAACATGTTCCACAAACATTTCCACCCACGAGAGAGCAAGGGTTTAGAACAGGAGTCAGTTTTCCATAACAAATGCAGGAAGTCTTTTTCATCCGCAGGTGAGGATGGGTGGACATCCTCTATCTGGTTTCTTTAAAAAAAAAAGTAGAGAAAAAAGCAACACTGTGGTATGTTTTAGCTTCCACTAGTGTAAAAGGTAAAGGGACCCCTGACCATTAGGTCCAGTCACGGACAACTCTGGGGTTGCAATGCTCATCTGGCTCTATAGGCCGAGGGAGCCGATGTTTGTCCGCAGACATGTGGTCATGTGGCCAGCCTGACTAAGCCGCTTCTGGTGAACCAGAGCAGCGCATGGAAACACTGTTTACCTTGCTGCAGGAGCGGTACCTATTTATCTACTTGCACTGGTGTGCTTTCGAACTGCTAGGTGGGCAGGAGCAGGGACTAAACAACAGGAGCTCACCCCTTCGGTGGGATTCGAACCACCGACCTTCCGATCGGCAAGCCACCACAGCACCACCCGCATCCACTAGTGTAGGAAACTGCTTAAAAGATGGGGTTTCCAGGACAAACTTATAATACTAGCTGGATATACCAGAAGACACGGCAAAAAAGGAGCATCTGGTAAAGGCATGAGATGTGCTTGCTTTCAATACTTCTTCGTAACTAAGCCCATGGTAGGCTGGTTGGTCAGGAAAACAGCCAATTTAAACAATTAAAACAAGTCTCCTATTTTGAAATTAACATTTTTTAAAGCAACCCTAACCAGCTATGACCTCTCAGAAGCTTTTGATACATTAAGCCATGGTATCCTAATGGAGTAGCTGTCGGAGATGCAGGGGGACCCAGTCCTACTTGGATGGTTGCTCCCAGAGGGTGATGCTTGGAGAGTTTTCTTCAGCCCTATGGGGCATTCAGTGTCGCAGGGTTTGATTTTAGCCTCCATGCAGATGAACACCTACATGAAACGGCTAAATGGGGTCATCCAGAGGTTTGGAGTACGCTGTCAGCAATATGCTGATGATGCTCAGCTCTACTTCTCCTTCACATCTGCAGGGGAGGCAGTGGAAGTGCTGGACCAGTGTCTTGCCTCGGTAAAGGACTGGATGAGAGTCAATAAACTGAAACTAAGTGCAGAACAGACTACTAGACCAGATGGATGGGAAATTGCCTCTGAAGGAGCAGGTATGTAGCTTTGGGTTACTTCTGGATCCTTTGCTGTCACTTGAGGTTCAGGTGGCTTCAGTGGTGCAGAACGAAATAGATAAAATATAGCCGGCACTAGATATTGGTTTGCAACTAAACTGAAAGCTAAGAATACACCCAGGAACCTCACCAAAATGCTGGAGAGGGTGCACCTCCACAGGCACATACCTCCACATGTGGTGGGAGTGTCCCAAAATCCAACTATTCTGGACAACAGCCATACAAGAAATATGTAAAATAACTAAGCAAGTAATAGACATCACCCTGGAATTGGCCCTACTAAATATCTTCCAAGACAACAATGCCCATTTACACCACAAAGAACTCATAACCCACCTGCTCTCAGCAGCCAGAAACACCATAACCAGACACTGGAGAGACCTGTCAGGAGTAAACATGGACCAATGGTACCAAATAGTATGGGAAACAGCCCTACTAGAAAAATTAACTAATAAACTGAAACTGACACGGGGACAAACAGAAGAAGACGCCTTCACCCCGGTATGGCTCCCCTTTATCACATACACAGCCCAACAGGACAATGACAATAATCCACCAACAGCATACAAATCAATATGGCTAACCTGATCCAAAACACCCACCCACCTCACTCACACACGAAAACAAAGATCACCACAGCCAATCACAAGCAAACAATCACACCCTAGGCCAACCCCAACCTCTCTCACCACCAAAGGAACACAAGTGAACAACACAAGCAACGCTGACACCAAACTCTACATACATTAAACATAATAGAAACATCGTCACCCAACCCCAACCCCATCCATCTTCCCTCTCTCCACCCCCCTTTCTTTTTTCTTTTTTTTCTTCTCCCCCTAATGCCTCAACAAATGAAACAGATTTGTAAAAATGTTACATGGGAAAAAAAATACGAGGCGCTACACTTACTTCTGTAAAACAAGAAAATCCTTAATAAAATATTTTTTAAAAAACCTGAAGGCTAAGATAATGCAAAATAAACATGCAATGCATGGTTCTCTCTCTGCATAAGCAAGGATAGAACACTCTGTCACTTATCCTACAAATAAGTGTCCAGAACTTCCCATTAACAAGGGCTGACAATTTCTCAATAAGAGGAAAAGTAAATAAGAAGGCTGTGTTAGATTAGCAGAGTTATAAATATTCATGACCGAAGAGTATAGACTGTGGGAGAGAATAAATAGGAGCCAAATACCAGCCATATAGGAGCCTAGGGAACTGCCTTGTATTGAGTCAAACAAGCAGTCCATTTACCTCAGTACTGTTTGCACTGACTGGCAGTGGCTGTCCAGGGGTTCAGGCAGGGGGCCTTCCAAGCTGCACCTTGAGATCCAGGGGATTCAACTAGAGACCTCCTGCAAGCAAAGCAGATGCTAATATAATCTTGTAGTGGGATAAAAGGATGGTTTCTAGTGACTGTGATTACTTGCTAGACGCTGGCTCCAAGTGGTAGCCCTAAATAATACATATCAGAGTTCATACAGCATCTAAAATTTGCTAGGCACTATACGGAGAATTAGTGATGTACAGAAGTGAGAGCTGGACCATAAAGAAGGCTGATCCCCGAAGAATTGATGCTTTTGAATTCTGGTGCTGGAGGAGACTCTTGAGAGTCCCATGGACTGCAAGAAGATCAGACCTCTCCATCCTGAAGGAAATCAGCCCTGAGTGCTCACTGGAAGGACAGATCCTGAAGCTGAGGCTCCAATACTTTGGCCACTTCAGGAGAAGAGAAGACTCCCTGGAAAAGACCCTGATGCTGGGAAAGATGGAGGGCACAAGGAGAAGGGGACGACAGAGGACGAGATGGTTGGACAGTGTTCTCGAAGCTACCAGCATGAGTTTGACCAAACTGCGGGAGAAAGTGCCTGGCGTGCTCTGGTCCAGGGGGCCACGAAGAGTCGGACACGACTGAACGACTCAACAACAACAACAATACGGAGAATTAAAAACAAGACAGTTCCTGCCCTCACAGTCTAGTGGGCAAAAGCAAAAAGATGGGAAGGGATGTCATTGCTTTCCTCTTTCCGATGCTGCTCACAGAGAGACGGAGCCGAGTGCCCAGAAGGGAACTAACTGCCCGTATACATTTCTGAGTGGGGAGAAGGGAACAAGTTATCAGACTCCAAACCTGTGAGTCAGACTTTGGGAGAGTCGTCTTGGAACAGCCCACTCACTACCCAAAGCTGTTCGCCATCCTTCAAGGAAGCAGCAATCACCATTTAAAGCATTCAGCGATGCCGCACTGCATGGCTTCTTCACGCCACAATGCCCCTCCTTGAAATGCTTGTTTAAAGCATTGCCAACCACCAGCCTTGCTTGAGGAACAGGACAGCTCAGGTGAGTTGTGGAGGAGATGCAAGGAATGGGCTGGTGGTGGTGGCACTTGCCAGAGAGAGCCCAGTGCAGTTGTCTGTTGGCATGGCTCCAGTAGTCAAATCACACACGTTATATTTAACGCATCTACCCCGCCTTCCTGTCTCCTGTCTTTCCCTCTGACTGAACTGGGAGATGGACATGACGAGGTTTTGGGAGCTGCTGGCCATCTTGCTGTTTCTGGCAGGTACAATTGTTTTGTGGGAACAAGTTCTGGGACTGGAATGGGACAGAGTCTGAAGTTGCATCTTAAGTGGGATACATGATTGATTAGGCTTAGGGTAGTAGACATCCCTGCCCCCCCCTTTTAAATGTCCATACTTTGGCCAATAGATTTAGATGTTTGCTTAGAAAAGTCAAGGTTTTGCAGCTTCTCTCATTACTCCTTCGGTATTCTAAAAGGGACTGAAAATGCATTTGTTACATTTCTCCAATACCTGAAGTTTGCACAAAAGAGATGTCTACCTGCAAGATCAGAATATTCTCAGCACCAAGCACTAATATTTTCCCCAGAAATTGAATCTGTGGGGGTGGGATGTTTGAATTTTCAGGGGGCCACAGGCTCAGACCCTTTGTCTTTGGCAAATTTGGTCTCAGAGTGGATAGCATCACAGTAAAAGAATTTAAACTGTTTCAGAATCATGACCACCTCATTAGATTTACAGTAACCTAAATTCTAACTAAAACTAGCTACAATTCCTTGTTTTCTGTTGTAATTTTGCACAACTCTTAAGTGATTGAATGCAATGTGTTCATTGCAGCCACCTCATTCATTCAGTAGTTTCAGTCCTTCAGTTGATGCTTTATATAATCACAAAGAACACAACTTTTTTCAAAGTAAAAAATTATGTTCAGGGATAAGAGAACACACTGCACAGTGTTCAAGCTGTTGTGCTTGAAAGTAGATAGCAATTTCTACTTCATTAATTCCAGGAAAACAAGAGTGGGTGGAAATAATATCCTCCCCCCCTAGTTAGAAAACAGCAGCGTCTGACAAGTGGATCCCTGGTGGCGTATGTTCAGAGACCTCAAGAATATGCATCCATAGAGATTTCCCTGTCTCACTCCTCACTTTATAAAATTCCCCATGAGCATTTCGGAGGGTGGCAGCAGTTAATGTCCTGACATCCATCTCTTTTTGTTGACAAGTAAACCTTTCTTCTTCCCCAGATGTTGGATGGAATATGATGAGCCAGTTGCTGTCTTTAGTTGACTCACACGCTGGTGACACTTTTGAGTTCCCTTTTGAGAATGGTGCTGTTTTTTAATACCGTTATGTTCAATTATTGATGGTTGATATGTTTTACATTTTGTGTATGTTTTTAACTGTTGTGCTGTGAAAGGCAATTAAGAAGCTGAACAAATCACTGTCCTTGGCACCATCCAAAGTAGCAGGGATGACAAGAGCTTCCCAGGATACTGTAACTGGCTTAGAAGATGAGCTCCGAGGGTCTCATCCTGTGCTTGTCCTGGGCCTAGAACACATGCGTCAAAGCTCTCTAGGCATGTCAGGGTGCTTTTTTGTTCGACCCTCCTCCTTCCCCAGGAAAATCCACTCTTTAGCACTGAATCGGAGCAAATGTTAATCTCCAGAAAACCCAACAGCCATTTCCTTCAATTCAGTGGTCAAGACTGGGTTTCCCCATGGAAAGCGGCAGGACTTTCAGATGTCTGGATGAGCCCTAACAATGGGCAGCCAAATACTTTTGGGAAGCTTCCAAAAGCACTCTGAGCACTCAGAATAGTACCTTGTGTGTGGGTGTGCATGCATGCGCAAAGTATGTTTCTTTTTGTCAACACATAAAACCATGCGGCAAGTAACCTTGGTTCCATTTGCTCAATGTCTTTCTGGGCTAGATGCTGGAAGAGGAATGAGAAGCATCCCTGGCAGTGAGGCGGGATCCAAAAGCAGAGCCAGCTTTGCCGATAGCATTGGAGGCGCAGCGAGTGGGATGAGCTCTGTCATTGGTGGCTTTTTTGGAGGCAGTTCTGGGAATTCTGCACAGCCTGAGGGGGATTCTGGGACCACCAACTCCCAGCCAGGTACCATATTTTTCCATGTATAAGATGACCCCTAATTTTTTTTTAACCCCAAAGTAAGAAATTAAGTTATTTAGCTTTTTTTTTGGGTGGGGGGAGGTCACTTCTGCCAATTTCTCACCTGCCTGCCTGCCACTGCCGATCGCTTGCCACACCACTGCCGATCGCGCACCTCGCCACAGTTGCCAATTACCGTATTTTCTCCTCCATAAGACGCACCTAGTTTTTAGAGGGGGAATGCAAGAAAAATAAGTCTTTAACGGGAGCGCTGAGCAGAACCTGTATGCATTCCAGGCTCTGCTCAGCGCTTCCTTTCACGAGCCGTGAGGAGCATGTGTGGAGCGCTTGCAGGCTTTTCCCTCTCACTGACAGGCTGCCCTTCTCCCTCCTCGGGGAAAAGCCCTCCGCGCAGCTCTTTAAAGGGAGGGCGGCTCTTGGGGGCTTTTGTGGCAGGTGGGGGAAGGGACAGAGCTCATGGCTCTGTCCCTTCCCCCACCTCCTGCAAAGGCCAGGGATAGCCCTGCGAAGCCTTTGCAGGGCACAGGGATGAAGGCTCCCCATGCCCTGTGGAGGCTTCCCGCGGCCAAGCCAGAAGCTAGAACCACAAGAAGGAGCGCTGTGCAGTGCTCCCTCTAGCTGTTCTGGCTTCTGGGATAGCCGCGCAGCCTGCATTCGCTCCATAAGACGCACACACATTTCCCCTTACTTTTTAGGAGGGGAAAAGTGTGTCTTATAGAGCGAAAAATACGGTATCTGCCCACTCGCCGCCACCAACAGCCCACCCACCCACTTGCCGGTGCCGCCAATCGCCTGCCCAATTGCCACAGCCAATTGCTAGCAGGCCTTGCTGCAGCCACCAATCACCCGCCCAATCGCCACTGCCAACCTCCAGTTTGCTGCTGCCATTAATCGCATGTCCCCCCCCTGCATTCACTATCCGTGTATAAGACTACGCCCAATTTTTGCCTCACTTTTTAAAAGCAAAAAGCATTGTCTTATACACAGAAAAATACGGTATTTGGGACAGCATCCTTTATTCAAATAACCCCATATTAAAGAATCTCAGGGGTGTATGAACAACATACACCTAGCTTTATACAAATACACTATTGCACGCAGGAGTGGAAAATTACGTCTGGGCGGGGGAAGAAACCACCTTGTGTGGCATCTCTAATTCAAGGCATCCCACTTGGCAACTAATCTTCTTGCTTTTCTTGCTGCTGCTCTCCATACAGATGCCATGTACCTTATTGTGAAAGTGGACTTGGTTTCATCTGGCCCAGTAACCATTTCTACTCTGAATCAGCCACTTCTGAAGGAGGTGAGGAGTGAGAGAAACCGCTGGTAGTAATTGATCACAAATTTTGGTTTATGAAAGCATCCTTCTCCCATGCCAATAATCGGCCAGGTATGTAATAATGAAGAACTGGGTGCTATATAGCCCATAAGGAGGTTTCTGCCACCCCAATTTATATTCTGAAAAAACCCAAGAATGTCTGTGCCCCCTGGGATGGCATTAAGACCCATTAAATATGGCGTCTCCACACCAGTGCAGTAAGATGGCTCATCTATTTAATATACATATAAGTGAGTAAAGTAAAAACTAAGTTTTGGATCACCTCAAAGGAAAGCCCCACACTCCCTGAGCAGTGTCCTCTTTAAAATGCTCAAACATCATATCCAGTCCAGTTTTAGGGTAGACAACCTAGAGCCTTATTCATTTCTATAAAAGCTGGTCTGAGCCCAGCCCAGGAAAATACACAAAACACTCTATTGTGCCAAAATGAAGTTTGGGGCTGTGGCGGAAGTTTGCTTTGCTGGGGCAGGTTAGGTCAACAAGTGTTTTCTTTTTCCCTGCCAGCAAATGGTTAACGAAAGGCAGCCTCTGATTGGCGGGGGTTCGAGGAGAGGGGTTTGAAAAGGAGAGGATTTGGAGAGACAGTTCTTTAGGTTGGGAGTCGGGATGGGAGAGGAGAGGCAGTTGGTTCTGGGTAGAAACATCCTCTCTGAGGGATATATCACAAGCTAGAGAAAGGAGTCTCTGAGCTTAGTGTGAAGGACAGTGTGTGGTGTCCTGTAAGAGTAATAGTCCAGGAATTAACTGGGAGGCTGAGGCAGAGCCAGGAGAAGGAGAAGCTGTGGGAATACAGTCTATTTAGGTCTCATTCCAGTCAGGAGGGGAGAGATTCTGCTCCAAAAAGAGAATAATAATAATAATAATAATAATAATATTTTTTATTTATACCCGGCCCATCTGGCTGGGTTTCCCCAGCCACTCTGGGCGGCTTCCAACAAAACACTAAAATACAATAAGAAGACTCCCAAACCAGTTAAGAGGGGTGTGGAGACTCCTTGGGTCTGTTACTTGGAGGACCTCAGGAGTAGGGTTGTCCAAGGGGTGTGTAACTGACAGAAAATACCACCTTGTTTAAGAACCAAAGTATTAAGCGGCAAGCAACAACTGAGACAGAACTGAAGTGAAACAGCATCATAATCTGAAGTATCCTATGTTTTACCCACTTGTGTCATAAACTTTGTTGTTTATTTGATCAAATCCTGCCTGAGACTCCAAATTATTAAGTTTTCCCTCACACAAGTCCCCCACAAGATAATCTGGGGTAGTTAGTAGGAATTCGTGGAATTGCTGTTCTGTGAGGGGGGTGCACTATATTTAAGCGAGGGCAGGCCCAATGGCGCCGGGGGAAAAGTCCTGTTGCACCGTTGCAGGGGCCAGACAGGATGCTGGGATGGCTGACAGAGGACACTCTGATGGAGAGGTTGACTATAAATTGTGGTGGCCCAAATCTCCATTTCCTTATGAATTTCTGCACAGACTGGCAATTGTTGGCATACCTTGTCTCTCAAAACTATGTTTACTGGAATTTGAGGCAGTGGGGGGGGGATCTTCTACTACACATAAAAGGATGGACTAATTAGCGAGGATATTTCCTCTGTGATAGCTTTGTATACGGGAAAAGCATAAACAAATATTTGAAGCTCTCACAGAAAAGTTCACTTTAGGTTAAACTCCATTCTTGGAATACTTCACCTTCTTTTTTAATGTGCCAGGTGCAACAGATGTTGGCAGGTTTTCTCAAAGGCACCTTCCACTTGACATGGGTCACCTATAAAGAGAACAAGTAGACCTAGGAAAGGCCTGGACCCAGAGGAGAGAAACTGCACTGTCATTTTGAACCATGGACTGATGCATTTCCAGATCACTGGGACAGAGATCAAGGGGGTGTTAGCAATCAGAATTACTTACCTGCTTTAACCTGACTATCCTACTTTCTTGTACTGGTGAAACTTGTTATTATTACCATATCCTCTCGAGATCTTTAACTTTTATATTCTGTTTTATTTTCCTTATACGCAACAAAATGATTTTGTAAGCGACTTTGTATATTTTGGATTAATAGAAAGCCATTGCAAATTTAATTCAAAATAGGGGGAGGGAAAGAAATGAGCAACAAGCACATGTCATGCCAAATAATTAACCCGTAAGAAAGGTTGCAAAGCCAAACTCTAACCCAACCTCATTTATGTCCAAGAAGTTCCAAACATGGGCTTGTCATCATCAAAACTGTATTTCAGAAAGTATACCAACAGTTCTCTATTGTTAAATCTGTAAAATAACTTAAAATGTGATAAAATGGTAAGACAAGTAAAATGATAAGACTTTTAAGACAAATCAGTTTTTATTATAAGTGGGATCCATGGACCAATTCATATCACAATTTGAGCGTGTTCATCTTATATGCTGTGGCGAATTCAAACTTTTCAATATCCCTTCTTGGAAAGAAAGTACTTACAAGTGTAGAAATTACGATGTAACACACAACACAAGAGCAGATTGCGTGAATGTTGCTGTATGGGCACAAGGTATAGAATGGATGGCAAATCTGTGGCTCTCCAGGTCTTGTCAGGCTACAACTCCCACCATCCCTGGCCACGGGCTTGCTAGTCAGGGCTTATAAAGCTCTACACAATATACCCCTGAAACATCATTTTTTTAATGAAAAAAGGTGAGGAAATCAAAGTGCATTTCACCTAGATTGCCACAAGGTGTCACCACATCTTTTTAGATCCTGGAGCTGTGCAATTTCAGGCAACCTCAAAGCCAGGGGTCAGCAACCTTTTTCAGCCGTGGGGCGGTCCACTGTCCCTCAGTCCATGTGGTTAGCTAGACAATATTTTTTTTTGGGGGGGGGGGGAAACGAATCAATTCCTATGCCCCACAAATAACCCAGAGATGCATTTTAAATAAAAGGACACATTCTACTCATGTAAAAACACGCTGATTCCCGGACCGTCCATGGGCCGGATTGAGAAGGCGATTGGGCCGCATCCGGCCCACGGCCTTAGGTTGCCTACCCCTGCTCAAAGCAGACCAAAAACTAGGATGAAAAATAAAGGACAAAACTAGGCATGGTATAGCTGCATGAGTGCCCGTTCTCCATCTCTTTCCTTTCTTTTTCCAAATAGGCATGGGCGGGCCCAATCGCACAGGATAGTGAAGGGAAAGAAAGGGGGGGGGTCCTACTCTGAGTAAAACTCCTGATAAAATTCCTCCCCCACCTGTTGCTTGAAGGGAGAGTGTGCAACCCTTTTCAAAACAGACTGCATACCTTGTCCCGCACCAGCTGACACACCCCCCCCCAACAAACACTATGAACTTTCAGCATGCCCAGGCCATTTAATGCTGTATTTTTAATTGAGACATTCTCAGGGTTGTGGGTTTGAGCCCCACATTGGGCAAAAGATTCCTGCACTGCAGGGGGTTGGACTAGATGGCCCTCAGGGGTCCCTTCCAACTCTGTAATTCTGATTTTATGTTTTGTCTTGTGCTGGATGTTGTGAACATGCCCAAGTCATTCAGATCAGTCTCAGGCCCTGCTCAGTGTCCCCTGTCTGCTGAAGGAAGGCAGATGGAGACTGGAAATAGGGCTCTCTCTATAGTAGCTCCTGTTCACTGAATACCTTTCCTGATCTTCTTTCTTGCCCAGGGCTTCCCATGCTTCCCATTGTATGCTTTTCCTATGCTGAGTTTTAACAACTCCTTAGATGTTGAGGTCTTGTACTCTGCTTTTACTGGCAACTATTGATTATATTGGTTTTATGCAAACCACTCTTGCAGCCATAACAAAATATTAAATATGGTCACCCACATTCTTTCCACTACCGACCTCACACATGGGTTCGTATCATCCGTAGGCTCCCTGGGGCCTAATGAAAAGGGAGACAGCATACATGTAATGTGACTAAGCCCACATTTCCAAGTAACCACACCCAGTGTGGTTTAATGTACATATTAAAACAGTATGGGAGACAAAGTGGATCATTTTGGCACCTCATAAGCTGCTGGCTGCAGGACAAAACAGCAGTCTCTTAGCAAGCAGTGCCTTCTGAGCACTGGCCCCCAAGAAAGATGAGAATCATCTAAATAAATCCAGCCCCATATTAGCAATGCATTGCAGGACACCATGAATAGCTGAAGGATGCTGAGAGGGTCCAGGACCTGTCCATCTTTCAAGGTGACTTGAGACTGAAACCACGTGGGAAGCTGAACTGAACTTCCTCCAGGAAAACATGGAACTGCTTTGCCATAAACTACCATGAATCTATCTTGAGCAGGGCTGAGCCAAGATATTTTGGCACCCAAGGCAAACCCCCTCATGGCAGGGTCTAACAGAATTTGAGCTGTGCACCAACTCCATTGAAAACTCAGATCTGCTTCGAATGATGCACAAAACCTGCCACTTTCGCTCATGGGCCCTGTAATCCTGGGGTCATAAAAGTGCAAGGCTTCATCAATGGTTTGTTCGACAACTCAACATTTCAATTTCTAGCCTGGATGAACAGCTAAAGTTTCCTTCTGAGATTTCTTAGGACATTTCCACTCACCCCAACTCACACGGCTCCATCTTTCATCAGTGCAGACACAGGCTGAGTCCGAAGTGTTTAAAGTTAAAGTTTATTTTGTAATTCTTTGTAGGAATATCAATAAAAGACCTCAAATGTATCTATATCTGTACATATACAAGAAACTGTTCAAAAATATTCACAGAACAAAAATAAATCTTCTTTAGAACAAACCCAGACAATGAAATGCAGAAGTGGTCCAGCATTACTGGCATAAAAATACAGGCTTAGAGAGGGGAAAGGGGAAACAAGGTATTGTGTGTTAAGGGGAAAACCATATCAAAATAAATTATTCAAAGCTAACATTGCAAACGAAACAAAACGAAACAAAGGAAAGGGGAGGAAACAGTCCTGTAAGATGACCTTCTTGTTAAGGCCCAGGAGGCAGCAGAAAGATTGTGAAAGGACTTGTGGAAGAAGGTCACACCAAAACACGCTGTCTCCGCTCTTTCCTCCCAACACTTTTGGGATCTAAGTCATTGGAAGGATAGAGATTTCTCTGCACCAAGATCAGAATGGTTTGGGGAAGGGGCTTGACCAAGATCAGCACAAAGCTGCCTCAATGGCCCCCAAGCCTGCCTGCCTGCCACTGGCGGACGAAGGTGGGGGCGGGAGGCCGCCCTGGGGCCCATGCCGGGGATGTGTGACATCATGACCTCCCTGCCCCTGGGGCGCTCATTGCTCACTGTGCACCTCCGAGATGCTTGGCGCTCGCCGGCCATACCGCCGCTTGCCGTGCACCCCCCTGGCGCGGGCAGGGCGCCACGCCCCCTGGGACGCACACTAGTCACACCCCCGGACGTACGCCGCTCCTGGTGCCGGTGCAGGTAGCTCCACCACTGCTGCCTGCCTCAGAGAAGAGGTGGGATCGGCTGCGCGGCTTCCTTTGACGGGGGGAGGGAGGCAGGATGGCAATCCTACCTTCCCCCCTCCCCCCATCAAAGGGAACAGTGCAGCCGATGCGGATCTCGCCTTCCCCCTCCACCCCCCCATCAAAGGGAGCCACAGGCAGCGCAGTTGGTGATGGCTGCCCTTAGCAGCTCCGTGCTGCCGTGGCTCCCGCCATCTCGCCTCGCCAAAAGCCCCTTCCCAAAGACATTCTGACCTTGGTACAGAAGGTCAGAAGAGAAGGCAGAAGAGAAGAGCAGGGAGGGAAGAGAGGAGAGAGCCTGTTTTGGTGTGACCTTCTTCCACAAGCTCTAGTTGTGCAGTATTTCTGCTGCCTCCGGGGCAGGCAGGCAGGCAGGCAGTCTTGGGGAACGTTGAGGCTGCTGTGTGGACAGGCTTGGAGTGGGTGGGAGAAATGAGGAGCTGGCAACTGGCAGGTGGGAGAAGTTGCAGTTAGCAGCTGCTGTTTTTAAATTCACCGTTCTCCGTGATGGAAAGCCTGGTGGGGTTGGTGGGGGAGATGCCGTTCCGAGCCTGCATGCTGTAGTGCTCCTTCACTTGCGTTAGGGCACTCATGAGCCGCGTGTTGGCTGAGTCCAGAGACAGGATTCTTTTTTCCTGCAACAAAACACACTGATTCAGATCAGAACTGCCTGGCGTCACTGCAGCAAGGCCTTAATGACTTCACAACCTGCAACACCTGGGTCTCAAGGTGAGCAGCAGTTCTCTAAAGGAGGGCTGTTGCTTTTTCGCCATAGGCTGATCCAGCCTGGCCAGGGCTCTGAAGCAGAACAGAACGAGCCTGCCTCTTTCTGCTGCCCAGCATCTGTCCTGTGGAAGCTGCCAATTAGCCACGTTTAAAAGCTGATTGAGTGGTGGATCATGTAAGATCACAGAGGCAGAAGTCAGCAGGGAGATTCCTGGAGATTTAATGGGTTAATTTTTGAACAGAGGAAAACAGAAAAAGGCAGCAGGAGGATATGAGAAAGAGGATTCTAGAGTGGAGGTAGAGTATGGATTGGGACCCTCCAGAGACACCCTCCCACTGAGAGAGGGCTTGCAATACACCCCAGGGACACTGAAAATTATAAATGCGGATAGATGCCAGCAGTGTGAGGGTGCAGCCGCAACACAGGGGCAGCGGGGGGTGGGGGTGGGGAGGGACAGAAAGCAGCCCGAAGCTGGAGGGAAGGAAGTATGCATGACAGGAAGGGGGAAGAGGGAGAAGGGGGGAAGTTTGTGCGAAGGGTGGCAGTGATGGTAGGGTGATGGGGAAGATGGCACTGATAAGACACAAAAACCAAACAGGGCGCCTGGCTTCTTAGACCCATTCCAGCTCAGTTACTCCAGGACTCTGCAGAATCAAAAAGCCCTTTCTGGTTTTGATTCAGAAACTAGGGGCTTTTGCGTTAAAGAGACAAGAGAAGGCCGGGGACATGATTGGAGAACATGTAAATCTCTGGTACTTATGTGGCAGGGGAGAACCAAATCAAAGAGGCACAAGGACTTGCTTTGGTTTAACCTTAACTTCCAACAAAAACTGGCAGTCGTGTCAGGCTGGCCGGCCTTCAAGTGGAAAAACCACGAGATGTGCTTGGGCATTCCTGTTTCAACAGGAACTGATGCAACATGCAAGGGCTCTGGAGGGCTCAACACAAATGAGGGAAGGCAGAACAATGTACAGAGGGCACAAACATGAAGGAATGAACACGTCACTTCCCTCTGGAGACAAAAGGCAGGAGACAGGCTGAGTGCTGCAGTTGCTGCCCAAACTCTGCTGGTGGGGCGGGGCGCAAGCCCTATGGCAATGGAGAGAGGGGGCACAGCAGGAGTGGCAAGGTCACTTCCAAAAGCACTACCTTAGCC